CCCTAGAGAAAGGTGGCAAAACTATTCTTTGCCTTCGTTCTTGATGATCAACACACTGCTCAAAATGAAAAATATCCATTTTTATTTCAACTTTTCAACTAATCTTTACAGGTTTGCGCCCAATTCAACAAGGGACATAATACACTTTTAACATTGTTAAAATGATTTGTATTATACATCTTAATCACACATGACCAGATTGAGTCCCATCCTACTGCATCCCCGTATGGTTGATTAGCTCGTCAAAGCCATTGCACCTATTATTATCATAACATAATAATAATACAACCTTGGCAATGTTATGGACTCTCTATGAGGTGGTTTATACACAGTACGTATGACAGTATGGAGGCATGGTCTGGCCATAGCCTTCATATAGATAAATATGATTGAAGGTGACTGTTATGACAGCACAGTCATGTACAGAAGCATGGTTTGTATCACTATGAACATGACAGACAAAGAAAGCGGACAAAATATACAGTTCCTCAGGTAGACAAAGGAACATCCCTTCACTGCTATTGTGTAAAAAGGTGAATATGCAAGTGACACCTGTTCTACACATGTTTACATAATAGCAGTGAAGGGATGTTCCTTTGTCTACCTAAGGAACTGTATATTTTGTCCGCTTTCTTTGTCAGTCATGTTCATAGTGTATGTGCCCCTCATCCAGACTTGTGTATATTATTTTTGAGAATAGTAGGAATAACTATTTGAACACAAAGAGCGTCAGAAACATTAAATACAGCTTAAAGATACTATGTCCCTTTTGCAGCAAATCTCAAATTCTGTAGACCTTTGCGGGAATTATGAGTATGTCATGTATATCCTATCTGTGAAATTTAAACGTTAGCAGTGTCCTTACATTCAAATTATGCAAGGAAACCCGTCTACTTGCTAAGACTTCACTGTCAGACACTACTGAGTGACTGACTGGCTTTTTCTTCTTCTTTGGTAATAACATACATAAAATGAGCTGTAAAGGATTTGTCTACTACAATAATCCACTTCTTGTAAATGCCAAAAATAAACTGATTGAATCTTTGCGCAGCATAAGACGTATGACCATGCGGTACAATGGTATGAAAATCAAGACTATTACTTATTGGCTCTATAGCTCCTAAGTCGATTTGACAAGTAATAGTCGTTATTTTCCCACTTAAAGACATTTTCAAGCCCCCCTTTTTTTAGGGGGAGTTCTAAATTAGTATTATCTTTCAAATGCCATTAGAATTTAACCTTTTCATTTGTTTGGCCTGCAAAAGGGACATAGTACCTTTAAGGGAATATACATTTCCGTACGACAGACTATTTAGATAGAAACACAACTGTGCATGCTACATGGGTATAAACCATAACTGTTATTAATACAACAGGAGGGGGGGGGGGGTTACTCCCTCGCGTATCAATATTTATTTGTGTTTAAATCATTTTCAGCTTACACAGGCATATAATTTTTATAGCCAGGGGAGGATGCTAGCCTGCTAATGCTAACCAACAACGAGGTTAAACTTTGCATTATGATACAAAAGCATGTTTGTGTATGTGCCCCTCATCCAAGCTTGCTATATTATTTTTGAGAATAGTAGGAACAACTATTTGCACACAAAGAGCGTAAAAAACATTACAGCTTAATGGAATATAAATTTTCGTTCGACAAACTAGTTACATAGAAACAAAACTGTGGTACATGGGTATAAACCATAACTGTTTTTAATATAACGGGGGGGGGGGGGGGGCTTACTACACCCTCGCGTATCAATATTTATTTGTGTTTACATCAAATAAGCATACATATAATATACAGCCAGGGGAGGCTGCTAATGCTAACCTACAGCGAGGGTAAACTGGCATTATGATACGACAAAAAAATGTAGGACCAACAAAACTCTGAAATGTACAAATAAAGCGCCCGAAAGAGTTAATGGGGGTGCCCCTCACCCCCTCTCTCCTACTCCTCTGGCAACGTTAAATTTAACACCGTTTACATGATTTATACAAGTTCTTTGATGCACAAGTAGGCCTACTCGGGGATTAGTTCATCTTATCTATACCGTTTCATAAGAATACAACAATATACGTACACAAGTACTCGGGGATTAATCCAACTTAGGCTACCGTTTCATAAGAATACAACAATACAACACAGTTGAAATGCCACTAGAACTTGCCATACAATATTATTGTTAATCCATGCATGAATAGTCTGCTCTGTCTTTTTTTTCTCATTTGTGCGATATTGTTATAACTGCGTTATATTATAGTACAGTCATCGCGAAAATATGCGACGATTTGTTCACGTTCTAACACCTCCGCACATGTGGTTTTCGTACGACCTCAAATCTTCCCTGACAAAACTTTGATACAAAATGAAATAATACCTCAGCTCCACTCAAATTTTCCCACGTGATCCAAGCACGTATTTAGTGGTGGAACATTACCTTTAGTTGATATGATCGTGCGGGGGTTTAGCTGTGTGGGTGTCCCTAACGAGCATACACTTCATGACTTTATTTCGTTGGCAACAGCCCACTTGGAATTTTGTAGTCTTTCGTAGAACAAGAAAGATTGAAATGAAGAGGTGCTTAAATATCCATCAAGCTGTTTTATTGTTGTTAGTTACCATTTACATTTCACTTGTTGTAACCATGTAATGAACAAACCAAAACCATCAGTGGCTTTATGTATATCTGCTAAGGCTTTAAAAGTTTGAAGAGGAGTTATTAACTTCTTCTATCAAGTGGCTCAAGATTAGATACAATTTGTGTTTCATAGAGTATTTTTGTTTACCTTTAACTTATATCACATTGCAATAATGGCATACTAAAGAAACAAAATCAAGTCAAGTTTTTTAAGTGCATTCAGTACCACCGCAATAGTTTTTCATAGGCTTGTCCGACATAGCAGCAATTAGTCAATACAGGGTGGACAGAGACGCTATATTAGACTTGGAGAAAATTATAGTTCGTCACCATTATAAACTCCAAGAAGGAACACTAACAATTTTGAAGTCATTGGTAAATTGATTTATTACTCCCCCCCCCCCCCGCCCACAACCAGATAATATATGGACATTATGCTTAGTATATTATAATATGTCTGGTTTCTATCTTTAATTGTCTTTTACTGTTAACGATCCACAAATATCTCATTTTCCAGAATAGATATTAATCAACTGTTCATCCGTGTCCTGCAGAGAGCAACGAAGTGCTTTAATGTCAGTATACAAGCAGAATTAAAAGCTAGTGAATAAAAAGCTATGCTTGATATTTTTTTAAATCATTGCGTTTTAAGATTGATATTTTTCTAATACCGCGAAATTAGAAGTTGCCATTTAAAATAAACATTGAACAAAATAATTAGGGATTGTATAGGAAAGGAAATATCAAATAATTATTGAAAGAATCTCTATAAAAGGAATTGGTCGATTCGTAAATTCTCTTGCTTGTCAAACAGTGTAACAATACTATAATATTATATGGATGGGTATACAGTTCATTGATTAAAGCCGACAGGTAATTTCAATGCTATTAGAGTTCCGAGTCTTTACAAATTGGGTTGTATAAGCTCAAATTAGTTTCATAATACCATAAAAGAACAATGCCTATTATCGAAAAAAAGGGATATGAAACACGTAAAGAACGTGATATGATTTTATCGCAGTTGAAAATCGTATGAAAGTGTCGGATTGGTTGTGATATATACACAATTGCATTCTAAATTGCAAAATGTTTCAGCCTTCGGCTTTGTTTTTGTATGAAATTGAAATATGTAAGTTTATAATCTTGCCCCGGGGATAAACAATTTGTTTTCAGAAATTGTATTGTGATTTCTCTCTGCCTCTGCCCCTCTCTGTCTCTCTCTATCTCTTTCTCTCTCCGTCTATTTCTCCTCCCCTCTCTATATTATCTACCTTCCTCCATTCTCCCTTTCCTTTGCCACTCTATAATTATAATCCGTATCTGTCCCTTTCCGCTCGCCCCCTCCCTCCCCCTCTCTCTCTCTTGATCTCCTTCGTCTCTCCTCCTCTTTCTACTCATCTTCCCCACCCCTCTACCTATCCCCAGCCCTCTCTATCCGTCTCTTCCCCCTTTTTGCCCCTCCCTGGACCCCCCTCCCTAGATCTAAGCCCCTCCCTGGATCCCCTCCCTACATCTAAGCCCCTCCCTCCTACATGTCAATCCATCCATCCCTCCTTTTTATATCTCTAGTTTCTTCATAATCATATTCTTCTTTTCTCTCAATCTCTCTCATTATTTTGTTGTTATTTCCAAGTATAAAACTATCCCCTATAAGTTTAATAAGATGCCGTGTTTGCTTTCGTCGGATATCGTCTTTATTTATGTACGAGCCGGTATATCGTCTTCCCTTTTCTCCCCACTTCCAATATTTCCTCGTCTCTTTCTATACCCGATGTTTTTGTATGCTTGTTATTACGACGAATAAAAACACTCGTTTGGAATGGGAGCCACTGACCTTATTCAACAAGAATAGTCTCCTGCCCTGAAAGAATCTCTTCTATTCTCTTCGGGGTGACCAGCGTTAACCTATACACAACCAAAACATCCTAAAGTGTGTCCATACCAAACTTTATTCCTGACTCAATCAGGAAACAATTAATCAGTGGTGAATTTCTAGAATGGATAGAGAAAAAGATCTGTATCTAGATGGATAACACAATATTTAAGTCTGCGTCAGTTATAAGTTGAGCCGAGCGGCATTGTTTTACTGACACGCGAAACATGAAACACAGTAAAAGTTTTGAAGAGTACATTTCTTGTGTTGAAAGGGAGTCTTTGAGATATGGATTCCTTCTTCATTTTTTCTTTAGCTACAGCCCATGAGAACGACAGCCCAAGAGACCAACAGCCCACGAGAGCGACGACCCCAACTACCAACAGCCCACGAGAGCGACAACCCACAAGACCAACAACCCACGAGACCAACAGCCCACGTGACCAACAGCCCATGAGACCAACAGCCCACGAGACCAACAGCCCATGAGACCAACAGCCTACGAGACCAACAACCCACGAGACCGAACAGCCCACGAGACCAACTGCCTACGACACCAACAGCCCACGAGACCGAACAGCCCACGAGACCAACAGCCTACGAGACCAACAGCCCACGAGACCGAACAGCCCACGAGACCAACAGCCTACGAGACCAAACAGCCCACGAGACCGAACAGCCCACGAGACCAAATGCCTACGAGACCAACATCCTACGAGACCGAACAGCCCACGAGACCAACAGCCTACGAGACCAACGGCCTACGAGACCAACAGCCTACGAGACCAACAGCCCACGAGACCGAACAGCCCACGAGACCAACAGCCTACGAGACCAACAGCCTACGAGACCAACAGCCAACGAAAGCGAAAGCATACTAGACCGACAACTCACTACAAAGCGACAATGTCGGTCTCGTTGACATTCTAACAACTTTTCTGAGGGTTCACCAGACCGTCATTGTTGATCTCGTGGGCCGTTGGTCTGTCCGGGATGTCCAGGTGTTTTCCCCTAGCATGGACGGTAATATCTTTGAGTAAGAGCCACAGAGAGAAACAAATACATAGTATAATAACAAATATTTCCATGTGTTGATCAGAACAAGCCATTGCAATCACACTACTTTTTTCATTATAGGTAATATTATTCTTTTAAGGGAAAGTGTCCTTGTTAAAAGAAGAAATTCCATAATAAGTCAAATTTCCTGATCCACCAAAGGCCTAGCATAAGTTTAAAACCTAGTAAGAACACACCACTAGTCCCGATGTATTCATTCCGACTGCCCTGGGACTAAATTGGAGCTGGGCCAGCCAGATTCTATCAGCCCCCAAAATGGCCGACAGCCAAACATTCTTTGCCAGGTTATACAAATGGATTTCAATAATTGCCGCCTTATAGAGTGGAAACTATTGCCGATTCTAATCAATAGCAAAAATATTGCGCTGTTCATCTAAATTCAATAGATTATGACTCACAGCATAAAATCATCTTGAAATTGGTGAACTATATAATTGTCAGTGAATCCGGATTTAATAAGGGCGTAAATGTAGGCCTATAGTACAGTGGTCTATTCACTTGACTTTCGTGCGAGAGGTTTAGTAGTCGAATCCCATCCTGGTTTCAAATCTTCTTTAATAAGACAAAAGTGACACATTTTCCACACTTCACACTGTTGGAAGAAACTCAAAGAGTGCAAGCGCATAACGTTATTATGTACTCGAAGCCAAATTTAATTATACACCAAAAATGTCCCCATGTAGTGTATTAACCTCACAAGTCACTGTATAAATTGTTAAGTTAGTAGTTTATTGTACCAAACAAAATTGTTGGGCCTAGAGGTGCGGATACAGACGATTGTTTATATAGAAGGAGAGTTCCCGCAGAAGTCAGAAGTTATTTTTTCCCAGGGAAGCGTTTAAGTGCTAAATTCACTAGAAGATTGGAGGAGTCGTATATAGAGTGTGAAGAGGGAGGGTGAAAGGTTGGAGAAAGAGAGAAGGAGTAAAACAAAGTACAGAGGGAGAGAGGGAGAGAAAGAGAGAGGAATGAGAGGTGGGGAAGAACGTTAAGAACGAGCGAGTGAGATGAGTATGTAGGAGGGAGAGAGAGAGAAAGAGAGAGACAGAGCGGCATAGAGATAGAGAGAGGGAGAGTGAGAGGAAGGAGAGAGTTAGGGACACACACACAATTAAAACCCAGAGTATGTGGGAGGGAGAGAGAAAGAGGGGGTGAGGGAAAGAAATAGAATGAGAGAGAGAGAGAGAGAGAGGGGGTGGGGGGAGAATTGAAGGGATACAAATCCTGCTGTTCTATTGAAAAGTGACAAAGGTTTGCTGGCATTCACTGACGACAAATCTCCGACATGAATAGCAGCAAAAGGCTATTAAAAAGCACTAGACTGGCTGGCTGAATTGCACTAACGTGGGGGGCTTTCCACTCAAATTTTCAATTACTTTTTTCTCTCTTGTAATTATAAATCTGTGTAAATAACTTTTCGCTGTTACGGCATAGCCTTCACACAGTATAGGGAGAAGCATTACAAGGCAAAGTACTACTACTAGTATTAAATGTTTCAACAAAAAAATGCTAAATGAGCCAAATGATGAAGGAAAAATCTGAGCTTGTGCAAGTTTTTATCGCATTACCACCCCGACCATAATAGCCTAGCAAAAAAATACGAATTGGGTCTACTATAACCTTTCTTTAGAGTATATAAGAATAGTGACAGCAAAGGATTATTATTAGTAGTAGTAGCAGTAGAAGTAGAAGCAATCGTAGTAGTAGTAGTAGTAGTAGTAGTAGTAGTAGCAGCAGCAGTAGTAGTAGTAGTAGTAGTAGTAGTAGTAGTAGTAGTAGTAGTAGTAGCAGCAGCAACAGCAGCAGCAGCAGCAGCAGTAGTAGTAGTAGTAGTAGTAGTAGCAGCAGCAGTAGCAGTAGTAGTAGTAGTAGTAGTAGTGGTAGTGGTAGTAGTAGTAGTAGTAGTAGTAGTAGTAGTAGTAGTAGTATAGTAGTAGTAGTAGTAGTAGTAGTGGTAGTGGTAGTGGTGGTGGTGGTAGTAGACCTAGTATAGTAGTAGTATTTATTTATATTAAATACATTAATTAACATTGGAAAAAATAGCAATTTATAACTCAGTTGACCGTTCTGTTTGGCTGTTGATCTACAGTACCGGTTTATGCTATACCGAGTACAATAAAGACATTAACTTATAAAGAATACAATGAATAGAAAACAATGCATTGAAACGGGGGGGGGGGGTGGTGTGACAGCTTTATCTGTTGTAATGTCGTATAAATTTCAAACAAACTCGTAGGAGACGTTCACGCTCGTGCGTTGATAGATGTGTATAAAACATCTGTCCATGGTAAAACCACACAAGAATAATATCAGATACGATAGTTTAGGGGGTGTACAGAATTCGAGAATATTAATTTTAGATGTAAGTTGTATGCTGCATGACGTAGGGGGCAGAATACCACTGATAACAAAGATGTGGAGAAAAGGCTAAAACTATTTGATCGACGTTACAGTGTAAAGGCCTACTGTATATGGAAATTCCACAGATAAGATGTTCAGAACTGAAACAGACAATTAAAAGATACAAAAACGAAGAAGAAGGAAATGCGGAAGATGAGGAGCTAAGGGAAGAAGACGAAGGGGAAAAAGAAGTAGGACATAATGCAATTATATTACGTCATCTATCTGGTAAAACTATTCCGAGACGCATTACGAAATTAAGAAAGTTAGGAATAAGAACCCCCCCCCCCCCCCCACCCCCAAGACTACAAGATATACATGTACTACAAAACATGTTTATAATTACATTCACGTATTGTATGCTTTCGAAATGAGGACTGTATTCAGGTTAGACTTAATTAAAATAATCAACAGTTTCTAAGGAACGTATATGAATATGGTGCAATACCTGAGAAAGCTTTGTCTGCAAGAGATGACCTTGTTCTCTGGGCTACAAGAAAGTTCTTTTCAGAAAACTGGAGTCTACGAGTTTGAACACGATGAGAAACAAGATTCCCAATATAACTTTTATGAAGGAGCAAACCATGTATTGCTTTCCAAGTAATGAGCAAACTGTTGTGCTCTATGCTTTCTCTGACTGGTAGAAGAAGAGGCTTTGGGAATGGGATAGGAATCAAATACAAACAGAGACAGAAAGAAAGAGGGGGATCTAGAGAGAATGAAAGAGAGAGAGAGAGGGGGAGAGAGAGAGAGAGAGAGAGAGAGAGAGAGAGAGAGAGAGAGAAGAAAGAGAGAGGAATATTTTAAAAGACAAGAATAACAAAGATAATATATTGTAAATCAGGTACAATATATTTCACATTTACAATTTAGATTGGACAGATGGACCTATGGACCTGCTACCAATAGACAGATATCTTGTGCAGCTGAAAAGTGCATTAATTATCGTTTTGCCTACACAAACTCGGGCACAAACTTTACAACAATAATTGTGTGAATTGCTTTGGAAATTGTATTTGGCTTCACGAATGACTGATTTCTTTTTAGTTCGGCCTCTTTTCACCAACAAACAAGAAACTACAGGAAAAACCAACCCCTTGGTTATCAATTACAACTCTATATAGACCACAAAATGTCAAATATCCGTGACAAATGCGGAAATTATTTCAATTGTTTGTAGAATGTGTGTGGTTGTGTGCTCCGACTTGCCAACCGTAAAAATGGTGTCAACTATGATTACGGTGTTGCAATTATTCATCGACTTTGATCTTGTATGAACTAATACAGCGATTATTGCTTGTGTTTGCAAACATTGGGACTATTATTGCAATGTAATGTGAGTGTGGGAGTCATAAGAAACGTCTGCGACTACGGTCTAGTTCGTTCAGAATCTACACAATCACTTTGAAAATCAATACTAATTGTGAAAAATAGAATTAAACTAAACGATGTTTCTAGAGAAACGAAACCCAATTCTTTGGGAAACACACCAGATTGCGTATGCACACTGGTATAAAGCAAACTCGGGCACATGAATATATAAACAACAGAATATAATCATATAGGCCTACATAATAAAGTATACTTTGTTCGTATATAGTCCACTTGCAGATTATTTCCTTCAGCAGTAGCGTGACTTAGAATACAAAAAGTAAAATATTGTGTACCATACTAGTTAATCACAACCCCCCATAAAATTAGACCCCAAACATGGCCCTATACCTCGGATTGATTTTTTCTTCTTCTATTGTATTGCATGTCGTATATAGGTTCATCAACTTTTAAATCTATGTAACTTCTTATGGCCACTCTTCGAAATTATTATTTGTATCATCGATATTTCATTAATTCATTGGTAGTTGCATCTGACATGGACCTACTACGTCCATGCATCTAATAATACTTTTAAGAACTAGTAGGCCTACATTGATAATACGAACATATCCATTTCAGGGGATGCTCAAGGCGCATTATACAAAGTAATATTACTCCCCTATCTTTATTCAATTATAGCTGCCCTAATTAATAAAGTATTCAAGGAATCATTTTCTGCCAGGAACTATTAACATTTTACCAAAATTACATACTCATATTCGTGTGAATAATTCACTACTAAAAATCAGTCAAAACCACGCTACTTCCACTTCCGCTTACCTAATACCTTTAATGCCAAATAAGGTCAAACAAAAGTCTATTTACTCGAATAATGTACATAACCTTGATAATTTAAATTAATGGCCGTGCCTTCGTGATTTTGGATTGTTTGCGATCAGACACGAAATCAAAAGATGTAACGACTGACTGCTCATTGCATACAATAGAAAAGTGCACAGAGACAGACCGCATGTACGAATGCCATGCATTACTCAATCGTAGGATCGCTGTGTAGGCTCAATATACGGGGGAGAATTATATGTAAATACATTATTGACGGATGTCGGGCTCCTGCCGGAATATGACAGATATTTTCTTTTCATGTTAACAAAATGACCTTGGACTGCATAATCCGTATTCCATACTGTATTTGGGCATATGCAGAATAATAGTTTATGGTATTGAGGAGTGCCCTATATGTATTCCAAAGATTTGGTTTTATTTAAAAGAACTGTTTTTTTCTTAAGTCGGCTTAATTTATTGTCTGAAATTCTCTCATGTTTATATTGTTGAAGCTAGAGCAGGAGAGTATTTTCAGCTTATATTGGTATGTCATCCATATTTTTTGATAAGCCTCAAAACATAGTCACTATATGAAGCATTCACACACTTTCAAGTTCAACAAATTAAAATCTCCCAAAACAGCCGTTGAGACGGGTCTTGGCACGAAATATGCATTAATCAGCTGTCTAAAGATGTGCTTTATAATATATGACCCCCTCCCCTTAGAGGGATTGGGTAACATTGCCTCAGATTCTGAAACAAATCCTGGATTTAGCTCATGCTGCAATGATAATTAAAAACCTTTTGGTCAGTCAAGAAACCCATGATTTTTACAAGCCGATCGCCTGTCTGATTATCAAGATATTCATGATTGGAAATCGAAATCTAAAAATTTATTTTCCTAATTAACGGTTTTTTATTACACTACAGTCTATTGGGGAAAATGAGTATGGTAAATTTTACCTTTTTTGAGGCACTTTTTTAGGGCTTCAATATTACACCATATCACAGACATTGGTAACACATCGGGCCATGCATCTCAGATTTAACATTGTTAAACGATGCCTTTAATAGGTATTGAGGAAATAATAAATCTAGCCCTACATTCCCGAAAAATGTAATAAATGTACACACTAATACTCATATTTGAATGAATTCTAATGAATCCGAAGCAAAATTAACTTTGAACGACAATCTGGAACCCCCCCCCCTCAAACAAACAAAATGGAATAAAAAAATAAAAACACACACACAGAGACACCCTTTTGTAGTTTACTTTAGGTGCATGTAAGTGTAGGTGTAATGAGGAACATTACAAACTTCCTACGTTCTATACACAAAATCGACAACAATTATGACCTACTTCAATCAATCATTCTAGATTTTTTTATCAATTACATTTGGTTTAGAAAAGCGCGCTCTCATCCGAAGCAGGCAGACACATCAATCACACTTGTTAGTAAAAACAAACATGCATGTGTTTGAGCAATATCCCACTCTCTCCCACTCTAACATTCCAAAATCCACCTCAAACAAAAAGAATGAAATTCTGTCGGTCGGATGAATTGTATTACAGAGTACATGAGGGGATCAAATGAAATAGATCACATTAGTTAAGTGCAACTGTCGCCGGGTAAATAATTCAATGGAATTTGTGGGAAACTGAGGAGGAGATATCATAATTGTTCTTCCGGCTGTACACCAAAGGTCGCATGATGGCGCTATTCTTGCAAAATGCACGCCAACGCCAAAATACAGATCAAAGTATAAATATGCATGTAATTTTTTTTATAAACTATTTGACAAGAAGAAGAACAAGCATGTATTCAGATTTGTTAAATCGATCCGTTTTTAACATCACTCGGTTTTGACGCCCGATATATACAAGTCCCGAGAGATTTGCCTAACCTACATTCCTTTGTTGATAGTAATCAATAATAATGTAAGGTTGAAAATATAATCTCAAATTGATTGTTGGAAAAGATTATTTTGGGATCTGTTGGATAGTTTGAAAATCTAAGGACCCTTTTTTCTTTCCCTTTGAAAATTTCAGGCGAACATGTCAGCAAACGTTTGTTTTGCTCCATTGGTTGCACAAGAAAGTGAGATTCATAGAGTCACATCTCCCCGGTTCGATCAACATTTCCTAAATTGTGTGCATTTCTTCGTAGGTATGTGGAATTGCCCAGCTTGGTCATTTGTTTAAATGGACACCAGTACGTCTTACTAAACATCATTCTCCAATTGTCCACTTAAAACTTTCTTCCAAGTTTTTTGAAATTCTTCCACAATTTCAAACACTTTCTCGCTAAAATACATGTGTACAATTCAACACTGGGTTCCATCAGCCATGGCTAACATTCTAGGTAAAACTGATCAGAATTTGTTGATCTAAAGTTGAACCACGAGACCTTACTTTATATACAAAGGTTCCTGATACAGGTAGTTCAAAAATATTTATATGACCAACCAGGGTGGGCAAAAAGCCGGTTTGTAAGAGAGCAGAAATAATCTGAAGATATATAAAACTTTGACAAGATCAGACAATCATTAAGAAAAGAATTCTAGCTTTATACATCACAAATACAATAGACATTGGACTATATTTCACAATTTTCTACAAATGACCATCTGCTCAACTTGCAGACTGCAACTAGGAACTGTGTAATTGCTCCAGTCAATTACAACACTTGTTCAACCGACACTATTCATAACCCTACACCTAATCTAAAGCAAATGCCAGATCACCATTAAACAGCACACAATGCAACAGCTATTCAATTGGGACATGGGACACACCACCACCATAACTATGAAAGCAAGAAGACACAACAAAAAGAAATATAGACACTCCTCTTTCTCACTCTGCATTTTATTATCCTGTTTATTAAACATTTTCAGGAGCTCACCAACACGTGAAAGAATACCTCTCAATCTTAATCTTCTTCTTCTCTGTTAAAGATAGAGACCAGTTATGGTCATGCGATTGCATTGTGAATGAAACGTTGTGGAATCGATCAGAAAAGGTTGATCATCTAGCATATAAGTATTGGTGTGTACTGCAAGGTTCTGGAATCATCAAAATGATAATAAATTTGACCCAGGCTTTGTAAAGTTACAAGCACTGTACACAGAAAGATGTATATGGGACTATGCACACGTGCGCAACACGTACGTTTATCTCTCACAGTCCAATAGATAAACTAATTTTTTATCAAATATATCTATTAGTAGGCGGTTTCCCGGCAAATTTTTTATCATCATGTATTAGTCAAAACATATTCTTTCACATGATTGGTAATAAAGAGCTTCAATTTCATTTTTTGAAATTGGAGCGTTTCCAATACTGGTCTTTACCTTTAACGGTTCAAAAGTAGTCCATCGTAGGAAGAAACATGAAAGAAAACTTCTCCCTTCCTCCCTCTCTCTCTCAACTCATCTATCCTCTTTCAAACCCAACAGATGTTTTCACATTACCCTCCTTTCAACATAGCGAAACCATACACCAAATAAATGAAAAGAGACAACAAATAGTCTGTTTTTACAGATAGTTGTAAATAATAAGACTTTATTGAATCTTCTTTCTTTCCGTGGCTGGCGGGACTTTGCCTACCTCTTGGAGGTGGGGTGTGGCGGGTGGATCTCATCCCCCTCCTTCCTCAAAATAATATATTCTCGTGAAATAAATACAAAGAAATTGAATTTTTAGAAGGCAGAGGATTGATTTAGAATATGAGCTATTACATCATGGTACACCCTTGCAATTTCTTAGCCTAAATATCTATACATTGAAAAATCTTTCCCACTTCAACCTGGCCTGAACAGGTCTTCTGATGTGACCTTCAGTTGTCATGGAGATACGATTATCCCAAAACCTATTTCTGATTTCAAAAAGACGCAGCACATCTGGCCATTTTGAAATAGAAGCGAGGACCCTTTGAGGTTCAGAATCAAATCAGGTGAGGCGAAAAAGATGGAGAAATGGTGATATCTTGTAAGCATTATCCAGTGCTGGGCAGAAAATAGGATTTTTACTTGATTAAAAACTAAACAGCACACTCATATACATGTACGAAATTTGAAAACAAAATGGCGAGGCCATCTGCCTGATAAGCTTGAAATCTTCTTTCGCACATCTTTAACCTTGTGATGTAAAATGACCCACTTCTCTTGAAAGGTCAAATAACTGACATATGAATGTAAATAAAACTACTTCACTTGTATTTGAAATAAAAATATATCCATTGAATGGCTTTCATTAGTTTACACTTGAAGAACAATGAAGTATGTATGCATGATTTCTGCATGGTTGAATTTTAGGGTAATAAATTAGTTTATAACTATTCTTTATGTTTTCCTACATATTGCATCCTAACTATTTGAAATGGCATGTCAGGACCATTGCCAAGAGTGGGTGGGTAGGTGAGGGGGGGGGGGAGGGGGGGGGGGGACTGGATTGGTACTGCTGGGCTAGACTATGAATGGAAACAAACTGACAAAAATGATTTGGAATATGGATAGCAGGGCTGGTTTTCACTTGTAGGTTTTTCCCTGGTTGACCTTGAGTGGACCAAAGTCTCCTTCCCACATGAAGAACTTCTTGACCATCTCCTTGGTCTCGGCCGTCTCAGGATCCAGTTTGGTCCAGTTGTAAGATTGGTAGTCTACTTGCCAGTCTTCACATCGCTGCAATGGGGAAAATACAAACAGCACGGTATGAATGTACAGCCCATCTTAGCAATAAGTGGAATGGCAGCTTTACTACTACTACTACTACAGTGAAGAAGAAAAAAAAACCTGTATATAAAGACCACTCAAGACCAGAAAAGTGATCTTCATGAGCAGCTGCTCTTTATGTACAGGTTCCTATAATACATGTTTCAATGGGAAACATGACGGGGAAACAAACAAATGTGGTCTTTCTATACAGGTGATCACTAAAGCAGATTTGACTGTAGATGAGTAGTATAGATTTATTTCAACAAGTTGCTTCACAGTTACCCACAAATTAGAATTACTGAATCTGCCTTGGCTATAGGACATCATTGTTGATATCATTAGTATGTCAGTGAAGCACGGGGTCTGGATCAAGAGTATAGCAAGACTCTGCCAAACACGAAAACCTCACGTGCTTAATGTACCCCCAATTCCAAATGGTACAACTACTGGCAATAACCAGTTGTATCATTGAATGTTGGGGGATGTAATTGCTCCATTCACTTCTATCGAACATACAGGGCAATTGAACCTAGCACCACTAAGTGATTCAAATTTGGGTACGATTATATGAAAACAATTTCAGGAGAACAACGAAAAGGTGGAATAAATATGGTAGGTTCAATTTCTGGCCAATACATAACTAAAGCAATAATCATACCATATCAACATATATCCTAGCGTTTTTCAGGGATCACTGTTTAACAACACAAGAAAATGTTAAAAATGTTAAATGCTAACTATCAAGAGAAGGAGAAAAAAGGTCACTGAAAATTTGAGCAAAAGCAACTAAATAACAGGGTTGACATTTCCCCCTAACTGTCAAAATAGCAATGTCACAGGGCATGTGTGTGTTACTACATGTACATAGACAAGTGTTGGCTTGGATTCCAAGTGCAAGTAATAAGCCTGTGTCAATTCCCAAAGCAACTCTCTGAAGCTGATACAACCGTGACATCCCAAAAATATCTGTACAAGAAAATAACTGACAACCGGTATAGATACATCGGTATGTCAATACCTGCAAAATTATGTATATCAAGAATTCCAAACAATTCCAAAATAATCAGATTTGACAAGAATTCTTGAAATCCAATATAGTTACCTCGAAGATGAGAGATTGTCCCTTCCAGAAAAAGACACCTTGTAATGCGGTGTCCTTGTCTTCACCGAAGATGAGAACATTACCGAATGCATTCTTGACCATTTTTTCCGTACGCTGGAAAAAACCTGGAGAGAAGAAACACACAGGAGGAAATATATTTGTAAGATGTAAGATTTTAGTATGTCTGAATTTACAAGTCATTATGAAAGCCAAGCTTAGATCAGATTACATATTAAGTAAAGTGATACGTTTCATGCATAGATAAGTTTGTAATACAAGAACGTTTGTAATGATAACCAATGGGACAGTTCAAAAGCTCAAAGCATTCATTTTATTCAAGCCATTAATAATGAATTTACAAAAGTATTCATCATCATCACAACCATCATGATCATGACTACCACCATCATGACTATCATCATAATCATCATCATCACTAAGATAATGACGATTATCACTACCATCATCATTTCCATCACTATCGCCATCATCAACATGATCATCATCACCACCATCATGACTATCATCATCATCACCACCACCATCACTTCCATGACTATCGCCATCATCATCACCATCATCACTTCCATGACTATCGCCATCATCATCACCATCATCATCATTATCATGATCAATATCATCATCATCACCACCATCACGACTATCATCATCATCCTCCTCATCATCACCACCATCATCATCATCCTCCTCCTCCTCATCATCACCACCATCACCATCATCATCATCATCACCATCACCATCATTATCATGATCAATATCATCCTCATGGTCATAATCATGATTACTGCTACTGACCTGCGACTAGATTACAGGTCTGGTAGACCATGTTTTCCTTGAGGTACTCTGGGATGTTGTACTCGCAATGCCAGATGCTGTAACCTTCCTTGTCAAACTTATCCCAGAAATAAGGCAGTGCCTCCGTCTCCGTGTCCTTGTTGCTGTAGCATCTCTTCCATGCGTCCATGTCAAAGTCGCTGAGATGGAAAGCGAGGGAATAAATATTCAAAATCAGGCATGATTGTTCTGTTAAAATTTCAATCCTCAATTAAATTTAAATTCAAAGAACATAAACAATGATAATTAAATGAATGCGTATTCACAATTAAACTGCACAATGGGGTAATATCTGTCATAAGGTCTTGAGGGAAATATTTGATGTTGAAAATTGCTCAAAGGTTGTTTTTTCTTTACTACTATAATCTGCAATCACAGATTTCACTTTCAACCCTACATGGTAATTTTTTTTATTGGATATGTCAGTGAAGCACGGGGTCTGGGGTACAAGTATGAGAAGACTAATCCAAACACGAAACCTCACATTCTTAATTTACCCCCAATTCCAAATGAAGCAACTACTGGCAAAAGCCAGTTGTATCATTGAATGTCGGGGGATGCAGGAGAAGCCTTTTCTGTCTATTTCATGAACAAAAGAGCAGGGGCCCGTTTCACAAAGCCTTTTTTCAATGACAAATGACAAAAATCAGTGACAAATCTGCTGATAACCAATCAGAAGCAAGTATTTCAGTAGCTCATAACAAAGACTGTCATTTGTCGCTGATGACAAGTTTTGTGAAACGCCCCCCAGGTGTCACTGAAGTCAGCTAAAATCCAGCATTACATCAACACTGTTTTATTAAGATTAGGTGACTAAGCAAATTGAAAAGGCACGTAAAGATGTGCCCAGAACACGATCATAATTGTTGGTGATAATGGTCTTGCAAAGTCTCCTCCCCTTATGCTCTGTACTACCAAAATGAAAAGTTCCTATTTCTTACATGCACCCTAAATATAATTATAGCAAATATGTTTGTATACAACCCCTGTATAACAAAATCCATTCTGTCATCAATAACTAAAAAAATGAAAGTTTATGAAATTTTTAGTACAGAGCAAATTGGAGAGGAACTTGCAAGATGCATCACAGTGTTGCCAATTTGTGTTTCACTGATGACAACTTCAAAAATTAATAACTTTCCTACTTTACTCAGTTGAGCTTAAACTTGCACTTATTTGTTTCTTTCTTCCCCTTTACCCCATCTTTCTAGAGCCATCATCAAATTGATTTGAGGAAATCTAATTTAGCATTTAAGATAAGGGAATTTGGTATCACCTCTTTGGGCAGTCGGCAAATAGGTCAACCTTGGGTTTGGGTGGTGGAGGGGGTTCGTCATCTTCATCATCTACTACTTCTTTCTTGGCCTTCTTTTCAGCCTTAGGCTTTTCAACCTTTGGCTTCTTCTCCTTCTTGCTACCGCCCGACAGCTCAGCGTACTTCTTAGCTGCAAATAATACACAATCAAAAACATAAACATGCGGGTCCATGTTGTCTCAAGAGTGGGTCAAACCCAGTGGAAAATTGGCTGTAAATATGTCATAAATCCTGTTGCCAACACTGTCGCATTATTAATACATGTTGTCATGGAATTCCTCAAAATACACTGAAGGACATTTAAGTTTCTCAAAAAAGTGATGTTTTTTCAATTTCTTTGCAGAAAAAAAAATTCTCTTAAATATTCTCTTAAATAACCCCCAACATTGGACAGGGTACAGAATATCACAAGATAGACAGGATACGAGGTATACCATCTTACTGGGTTACTTTTCTCACAAAGAGAGACATTTCAGGCGATAAACAATTTCTTGGTAAGGAATATCAATCAAGCCCTTCAAGGACCTTCAGGCAAAAGAAAACAGTCTAGACATAATCTCTAGCATCATAGACCTAACCTCTTGAAGCAAGGTTTCAGATTTAGACAAAATACTGGCATAACAATCTACACAAAACGAATGGGTGCATAGAAACATTTGTGTAACAACTAATATACTATATTATATCATTGTCTGTAGGGGTCTATTGTTCATTGCTTACTGCGGTATGAATTCTATTGAATTGAACAATCCTTAGGCTTGACTGGCGGTACCGGAATATCGCCTCATGTGTATTGGGTATCAATAGGAATAAACTATTAAAGGCAGGCTTTACTACTTCAGCCAGAAGGGATTAGACCACCTAGCGAGGTCACTGGGACAGGTGGCTATCTCATTAACTCAGCTCTCATTTAACATACGAAAAAGAGGATCATGGGGGACCAACAGGCACCGATTGGGGAAGTTTTCTATATAGAAGGAGCAAGTAGCTACAAGTAGGACAGTGTGCCTTTAAGAGAGCTTGCACTTACAGTCAAACTGGGCCATCTTCTCGCAGAGGGTGACCTCCCCGACGACAGCTTTGACCTCTGGCTGGTTGACCAATGTGACAAACCATCTGTTGAGATGCACAAACTCCTTGCGGAAGTTCACATCTAATACCTGGAATAAAAAACAACAACAAAAGAAACAAATTACATATCAATTACAGAGTTATTTTGTCAAGTGTTACTGCTCATTTGCCTCTGACAAACACAACCCACCCTGATCAGGGAACTTTTTTCATATATGTTTGCTAGGTCCTGTACTATATGGGACATTGTCCATATATTTCATTCCTGGGGTAACACCAAGACAACTTAGCGATAGATTGCAAATTTTGCAATGTATGCAATCAAGGCTTGGCCTACAATCAACTGACTGTATGATCAATCAATCAATCTTACAGTCATTTGCCAAGCTGTGTTAGTTTTCTGAACATTTTCTTTAGTTGAAAAGGTTGATTTGTTTAATTAATATTCAAATTTATGTTGCACATTGAAGTGTACACATATTAGTTCTACACGAACAGAAAGAGATAAAAAAGGAGGTTGGGGCGACTGAAATATACTTTTTGATTAACTTAAGTATCCAAAGGGTGATTTACTTTTTACCAGGAATGTCAGTGAAGCACGGGGTCTGGATCAAGAGTATACAAGACTCTGCCAAACACGAAAACCTCACATGCTTAATGTACCCCCAATTCCAAATGATACAACTACCGGTAATACCAGTTGTATCATTGAATGTTGGGGGAGAGCTGTGCTACCATCTTCAACCTTGATACGACTATGATTACTGGGGGGTGTTTCACAAAGACTAAGATCGACTTGAAGTTAGACTTAACTATGGCAGGCCGTTTCTGCCACTGTTTTGCTCTCACTAGTGTTATCTCAAATATGATCTTTAGATATTTTTTTCCTTCAGTAATGAACTATCAACAAATTTAATTTCTGTAGATTTGTGACCACGATTTATACGTCCCTTGAGAAACCAATGCCAGGAATGGTTAGAGGAACTAGTGGCATGAACGGCCTGCCATAATTAAGTCCAACTTACAGTCAATCTTAATCTTTGTAAAACACTCCCCTGGTTGTGGCTTACAAAGCACCATTATTAAGTGGTGCCATCAAGGAGTCTTCTGTTACTGACCTGTTTGTACGCCCCGAGCAGCTGGCATCCTACACTGATGTCTGCAAGGGTGACCCTCTCACCGACCAGGAATGTCCTCGTCTTCAGGTACTCGTTGAGGAAACCGAGAACGGCCTTCAAAGTCTCCTTTGCCTTCTCCGTTTGCTGAAGGAGGAGCAGAAAGGAAGATAAACTTCAGTCAGTCTTAAAACACTTGAGTCTATCTAAACAAAGTTTTCCAGCATTTCATGACAAAGAAATTCTGAGTGTAGGCTGATGGATCATTGAAGGTGACATTTTATACACTGAAATGTCACTCTTTTTGGGCTATGGATATTCCCTAACTTCTCTGAATGGAAATAAAAGGGAACTCATTTTCAAGGTTTACTCTGATTTTCAAGGATAGCTAGGCACCCTGTAAACCTGTAAGACATCATTCATATAGTAGTCTTCAGTTTGAATGAGAATTGTAGCTCATTATCAATCAAAGCAATTTTACATGAAAATACTTCTTTCCAACTAAACTTTCCACCCAACACTAATATCTTCTTAGTTTTAACATTTCCTTTTATTGAAAGGGATTTAGGATTATTCATGTTGCACATTGAAGTGCACATATGTATATTAGCACTACATGAACAGAAAGAGAATTCCCCAAGAGAGGTTGGGGCAACTGAAATATACATTACAATTAAATTAGGTATCAAAATCCACCAGGAATGTCAGTGAAGCACGGGGTCTGGATCAAGAGTATAACAAGACTCTGCCAAACACGAAAACCTCACATGCTTAATGTACCCCCAATTCCAAATGATACAACTACTGGCAATAACCAGTTGTATCATTGAATGTTGGGGGAGAGCTGTTGCATTCACTTCCTCTCTGATGAACATAAAGCACAACAATGTCAGTTCTGAAGGCAAAAGCTTGCTCCTGTGACAACTGATCTGCAGTAATTTACTATACAAACTGATTTCCAAACTTCCATCCCGGACCCAACATTACACCTAACCCTAAACCCAACTTAAAACCCAAACAAAATCCTTACCCTTTAATTTTGACAAAATAAATGTCAGAGCGATTGTCTGAGGAGCATTGTTGGACTTTAAAAAATACAAATTTAACACTTTAAAGAAAAAATTTGCTTATGACTTCATGAACTCTGCACAAAACAATTAACCAAATCAGTTTTTTTTTAATAGAAAAATAAATATGATCCACAAATTGTTGTGCCTAGCTGTGCTAGAAACGGTAACAGCAAAAAAAAACCCCAAACAGTCAATATTGCCTTGAATTCAAATGTACCATGTCTTTTTCTTTTTCATTTTAATCTTTACATACCTGTTTGTTGTACTGAACGACACCCAGTGTTGGGAAAACCCATGTGCTGGCAGCTGGCTCAATCTCGTTATCAGCCAGGTTGACAAACATCTGGACCTGAGCCTTTGACAACTCATCGGTGCCCCTGAGCTGCTCATTGCTCACTACAAAGGAGAAAGAGATTGTGTACATGAGGAGTCAAATCTTTAAAGTATCGATGGATATTACTTGGGATATCTAATGCTGGGCTCCACACTTACTTCATTGGAAGGGGTTCTAGATTGACCTTTTTAAGAGTCTATATGTAGTTATGTACAAGTTTAATGTAAAAATGTCAAAAGAGTCATGTATTTTTTACTAGGGATGTCAGTGAAGCACGGGGTCTGGATCAAGAGTATAACAAGACTCTGCCAAACACGAAAACCTCACATGCTTAATGTACCCCCAATTCCAAATGGTACAACTACTGGTAATAACCAGTTGTATCATTGAATGTCGGGGGAGAGCTGTAGCAATTACCTCATCTTTGACCCTTGGTCTGAAATGCAGTTTATCGACAAACCTCCTTTGTGAATTTGGGCCTTAATGTTCGTGTGCTTCTAAAGTGCCTTCAGAAATTATCAAACTAGTTCTAATCCTGGCAAAAGGTAATGGCATGCAGAGCATTTCAAAGAATAAATCCTATCCATTTTAAAGAGATAAAATGCTCTGTCTAAAGACATAAATGTACACACTGAGTAGAAATAAAAAAAACCTTAAACTCTAGATTGAATGTCTAGATTTTATTTCAAACAACATAAGTGTTGAAAAAAAAAAACAACCCAAAATTCATCCAAATGAAGGATTAACAAAACCTAGCATATCTGACTCACTGACCCTAGGAGAATATTACCAAATTGTTTTCAATTCTTAACAAGCTCTAGCTTTTCAAGCTTTGCAAATTGAATTCATTAAAACCAAGTGATGTAAATGTAGAAATCTTTTGTAATACCTACCATAGTATGCGATAGCATTGCTCTCAAACAAAGTGTCTCCACTTCCATTTTCAAAGGCTGGGACCTAAAAAGAACAGAAATTTGCAGAAATTCAAATTAAAGCCCTTTTCTACTATAGTCTATACCTTTGCATGTCATTTAAAATACATCAATACAATAATGAATCATATAAAATCCCCTAAATAAAATCAAAAAGGGGTGAAAAATATATACAAAATATATAGACACAACCAAGAATTCATTCATTCATTATGAGCATTAACATGGAGATTGGTTAAATAACATCAATATACAGAAGGCATTTGATATGGTTGATCACACTTTCCTTCTTAAAACTTCAATAGACTGGACTCGATGCAAATGCTTGTCAATGGTGTATGTGTTATGTAATCAGTTACATTTCACAGTGGATCACCTTGATGCTCCTTTTTATACAAATCCTTCCCCTTTTATCCTTACTATACATATGACCCATCAGATGTTATGAAAGAGAGTTTATAGATGTTGTTATGCAAAAAATCTGTGAGATTTTATGAAAGCGATTGTTATGAATGTTATTAATGCTGATCTTATACGTCCTTCCGAATGGTTGAATTCAGATTATGTCTAAATGCTATTGGGGTCATGCTCTTTGTATCTCAGGCAAAAGTAAAAGACACAATACTAGATGTATCATGATGTACAACAAACAGATTAACTATCGCAAATACCTAGGTATGTCTCAAATTGTATAAGCGCATATATAGTATTTAAGATATCATTAAACATGCAGTTGTCTCCTCAAGAGATAAAGAAACTCAACAGAGCAGAATATTACACTCCTCGCTTTATAAAATGACATTACACAGCAAGGTAGACTACTGGACAAATTAAAAAGAATTTACAATGGTAAAAATAAATGAACATGTAAATGAAAATCATTTGAATTTGAGGAAAGGTACTGGGATCCAAATGTTCATCTTTTAGGATTTACAAGACAGCCAAAAAAATACACGGGGGCGGAGGGCGGATTCGCCCCGGAGAGACCATAAACAGCCCCCGAAATAGGCTCAAAATCCGATTTCGGGGGCGACATCAAAAGTGAAATGATCTCAAATCGCCCCCGTAACGATTACGAGCGGTCGCGCGCTCTCTTCTAGCTTCGTATTCATTGCGTGCATTTCTTGGTCCGCGCGCTGAATCTCCGTGTAAAATTGTATAAACAAAAATCGGTCGTAAAAAAACTCGAACCATATTCCATACCTTACCTGGCTTACCATGTCGCACGCAAGTACGCCAAAACACGTACATTTTCGCAGGTGCGAGAGATCGAGACGGAGCGTAGGGGTCGAGTTTTTGGCGGTCGATTTTGTTTTGGTAGAAGCTGAATCTAGACCATGAACCACTAAATGATCGCGAAACTGCAATCAATTTCCATCACGAATTCACGATTGCCGCAATTTTATAAAGTTTCCATAAATAGAGGTATGAAATTAAAGCCTATTTTGTGATATTCTCGCCATGTTTACGTAATTTTGATAATCATTTCTTAAAAGTAAAGAAAATCAGACAAAATCACCGTGACTGACACGCATTTGTACAATACAGTGCATTGCCGCTGTGCAGTGTGTGTGAGTGAAGATGGGCTAAAGCTCCAACACCGGCAGCGCGCCGGTGTTGAAGTTTCCTGCAGCTGCAGTGTGTGTGTGAGTTGGGCTGAGCTCGAGTCGAAGAGATTTGACACTTTGAAATTGTTATCTGTTGGTTTGCATCATTATTGGCGCGATTTCAATATAGTTTCGTGAATAGATTTACAAAACCTGAGCTTAGAATTAGTAAAAGTATTACTAATGTCTACGTTTTTAAACGACTGTCTGATTTTCTTGTGAAAATTTTACTTTGAAAATGATTATCGAAATTCATGGCCAGAAATAGTCACAATCTAGGGTCTATTATGTTACAGTTCTTGCATCAAATCAATACATGAAAACTTAGTTATTGAACTAGAAAAAGGGGTTTCTTTTTTAATAGGCAATTATGAAGCAGGAAGCCCAAAACCTTAGCCTACTAAACAAATCTCAACAAACTGTAGGCCTATCCTTTTATGAATTAATGAAAAAGTAGCCCCAGAAAAAAGAGCCCCCGAAATGGAAAAAAGAGTCCCCGAAAGTTGAAAAAGTAGCCCCCGAAAATTTCCCCAAAATTTGAAATGGAGCCCCCGAAATGAAAAACTTAATTTTTTGCCTGTTACAAGAGATGAAAGAAGCTGGTTAAAGACAATGGAATTCGAGGTGACTGAAATTATACATTATGATATAGTACCATATCCAAAATTTCATTATTTTTTTACTAGGAATGTCAGTGAAGCACGGGGTCTGATTTAAGAGTACAAGAAGACTCTTCCAAACACGAAAACCTCACATGCTCAATGTACCCCCAATTCCAAATGGTACAACTACTGGCAATAAACCAGTTGTATCATTGAATGTTAGGGGAGAGCTGTAGCATTCACTTCATCTCTGATGAACATAAGGTACATAAATGTCAGTTTCAAGGCATAAGGAAGGCAGTTGCGTAGTGAATTGTACTACACTTGTACCACACTTGCATCTGCAACAACTGCTCTGTGGTAATTTTCTACACTAACCGTTTTTTAACTAGGCATGTAACCGATCATCAGGTTGGGGGCTGACCTTGAGCCGATCAGGGGTGATCGGATAATAATTTCTGATCACTGATCAATAAAAATGATCCCAAAAAAAAATCGGCAGAATTTTTTTTTTTAAATGCCGAAAATGTTCAAGTTTTTGGCTATCAAGTATCAAATGCTCAACAAAATTAATGGCTGGGATTATTTTGTCATTTAGAGTTGTTGTAGACCATGTTTGTTGATATTTAGTGCCTTTTCATGACTTTGAAATTAATAATATTGGTCTAAGAGAAGAGGCAAAACATGCGGGCCGCCATCTTGGATTATAATGTAGGCATGCATTTTTTCGCCGATTATTTTTGCTGATACCGATCGCAGGTGCGAGGGTGTCGCTCTAATCTTCCGATCTGATCAAAGCCCCAACTTACAGGGTTATTTTTAACTTCAACCCTAGACCTAACAACACTATAGCTAACCATTACCCCTAGACTACATTTGAGTTCCATTAATTTTTGTCATATAAAAATGCATTGAGAATGGTGAAAATTACATGTACGTGTATGATACAGTTGATAATCATTTGACTTTGAAGAAAGTAGTATCCAAATGTTCTTCTCATAGAAGTTATATAGGAGATGAAAGAAGCTGGTTAACAACAAAGTGGTTTTCCAGAGGCTAGCTGAGGTTTTATTGCCTTTCTACTAAGTTGGAAATATAAAGAAAATATGGCAGGCTCTTTGGAGAGTAGCACTTGTATTCAACTCTGCTTCCTGAGAACCTTCTTTGCCACATCAGTGCTTCAAAATTAATGGAGTTAAAACGCATTTAAAATCTATGAAGTATCTTAATCATTTCTTTTATCCAAATGTGTACTTTATGTATAACTTCGGAAATCTTATATTTTAGAATAAAATTCAACAAAAAAACATTGGAAGCCCTCCAAAAAAAAAGAAGCGAAGGAGAGCACAAGAAACTAGTGAGAATCAAAGCTAGACCTAATTCTTCTTTTTGACCTAACATATTACATGATTTAATTTTCTATTGCATGACTTATGTCATGAGCTCATGTCTAATGCCCTACCCCAAGTTTTGTGTGATTCCAGTCGACTTGACTTCTGCATTCGCAATGGTTGTGTGATAGCCTGTGCACTGTGCAAAGTATTTCATACCATTGCATCACAATTCTTACTCTTACTTAGTCAAGAATTCAGTCCGACAATTTGTTCCAATTAACCAGGCAAGCTTGGTAGCATTTCACAAAACCATTATAGATGCAAGTTATGACCAATATCCCATTGAAACCTGTGTCATGTACTTAACACGCATTACTTAACTAAAATTTAACAAATTAACAATGTTCAATTTTTAGTTGCAGTTATTTTTGTACACACAAAACAAAGTCAAACTCAGTCAAAGCAACTGAAAAATCTCTGATTATCTTTTTGTCAGACAAACAGGAATACATAATATACTCCTATTTTTTTGTGCCAATCATCGCTTGACCACTGTTTTACGTACAAATAAGCAAAGCCCTACCTTTCCAAGGGGAAATTTCTTGAGGAACTCGGCCGACTTGTTCGTCTCGCCAAGCTTGAAAGCCGGTGGATCCTGCACAACGGTCAGCTGTGCACCGCTGTACCCAGCAGCGATTTGGATCTTGTATGCCCGAGTATTTTCGGGATAGGTGTACAAAGTCTGCAAAATAAGAACATAATATACACGCCATTACAATAAATAATATCATATGAACATAGTAAAGTAATTTTCAGAATAAATATATATAAGATGATGAAGATATAGGTGGATTTTAAACAAGATGCACGTGTGGACTTACCCCGGAAGCCATGGCTGCTATCAGAAAAGGCCTACTGTAGCTGTTGACGTTGCAAAGCGAAGCACAAGACCTGCGCGAACAACACGCCGGGAGATCCCCGCAACTAACAGTCGCATGGTCAGGTTGATTTCAAGCAACGATCATGCGGGCCGGTGTCTTAATTTCCTGAAGTTTAAATAAAATACTTAAAGGAAAAAACACATTTCCTTTTAAGTCAGCCAAATTGGCTATCAATTCAAGAACCACCTCTTCAGTTTAAGGTTTCCGTTGAGGAAACATTTGTAAGTTTATTTCAATATTTTGTATTTTTAGTCCCACATATACATATTGATGTTGTATTATGTACAAATGTTGATGAAATTGAATGGGCATTGGGTTTGGAAATTGTAATTCGTCCAGTCTAAAAAATTGCTGTTTGCGTTGTGATGCTTTCGATATTAAAATTTCCAAAGTATGAAATTATCATTTATTCAGATGCCCTTCCAAGTAGGGGATATTATTTAAACTAGTAAATTTAAATGCGAATGTAATGTAGACTTGGCTTCATTCGCTAATTTGTAAACAAATATATATTCTGAGAATGTGATTAATATGTGAGTGATCAATCATCAATTGATCATCAATCATTCAATTCAATAGTAATACTACTAATAGTAATACTTTGTTTGTTAAAAATTTGGATTATATGATATAGAGAGCTGGCTGATAATAAGAATATGTTAATTAGCACTGGACGAAAGCAACATTAAAATTAGTGAAATTGAAAGTCAAGAGAGAGAGAGATATCTATATATAGTTTAAGATTTGTTTGCACTTTTTCTCCCCAAGCAATAAATGGAAGGAAAAAATTGTTGTTGCTAACTCATCTGTATGAATATTGGAATGAGAGATTGAAATTCAAAGTTATTTAAAGAGAAAGCAAACCAGCAAATATATTAAGCAAGTACATGCAGTCTTTGAAAATAAATTTGAACCATTTCATGATTTTTGTTGTTGGTACTATTGGATGTTTATTTGGTCCTTTACATGATGATAGTATTCATTGTTTATTTATTAACCTTGTCCAAACCAGTGATGGAGAACAATTAAGAGAACAATTAATGAACTCCATATGTTCTGTATTACTCACTGCTTATGAAGTTCTTATCTGTTTTTATCAGTAGGCCTACACTGGGTTTTGTGCTTGAAGTACAGAATGGCTCCAGGGAAACATTCCAGGCAGAGTGGCAGTGATCGCAAGCAGTACTCCAGTGTTTACTATGGAGATCGTCTGCTTCTCAAGAGAGTGCAAGAGGTAATGTTAACCTGCTTTAATCTGCGCATTTGTCTGCTTCAGGTCTGAAATTACAGGACCAATGTGAAAATCATCTTTGGCTGATATTGTCATCCTGTATAAATATATTTTTTAATAAATAAAATAAATAAATAAATAAATAAATCTGTAAGGCAATGTAGCGTATCAGTTTTGCAGTTACTATTGACATAACCGAAATAAACCACTTGTATTGACAAGGGTTAATGTCTTAATGTGAAATAAATGTACCTATATCACATATTACTCCCTACACAAAGGAAATAAGCAAGGTTACAAGATCTTTAATAGCGAGCACTGACTTTGTACTTTGATATTATAGACTGAGGCAAAGATGTTAGAGTAGAACTGTTTCCTTCCTATCATCATCTACAATGAGATATGCTCAAGCAAAGAATGTGTCTTATTATCACAAAGTGCAGGAATTATTAAAATAGCACTCATAATCCTCCAAACAGTCCCAGTTTGTCTGCTTCGTAATATTTTTATTTTCATTTTAAAGGAGCCACCCCTCCACCTCTCCCCTAAATAAATGGGTGATGGTATTATGGTTGCATAGATTATGAAATATCACATATGTTATATATCTTCTTTCATTTTTTTTTTCTGCTGTAGTATGCTGACACAGAATCAAAGAATGGTTATGTGGATTTGGATACCATGGTGGAAGAGCTCCAGTATATTTACAAGTAAGAAGCCTTCTAATTTCTAAACTATATTTTTTTTGAAGGGGTAGGATTGTTTTGCTTTGCTCTGTTATGTTATGTTTATTTTCTTTACTCTGCTTTATTTTTTTCTTATTTTGTTTGGTTTGTTATTTTTGTTGGTTTCTCAAGGTGCATAAATGAGTTTTTGTCATCAAGTCAATATTTTACTCCAGATTACTTGTTATATATTGTTTTTTTTTTACTGTCGAGAGTACAAATTGTCAAAAATAACAATGAAGGTTTCTTTAAAAACAGACAATGCTCCTTTTGTGATATTTTCTGGTGCTGACTAAATCAAATTGAACCAAAGTCAGCAAATTATTTTCTTAACTGACATAAATTGTTAGACCTCTACTTTATGAACAAAATCATATTCCTTTTCTTGTCTATTGTAATATGGCTGACATGTTCATTTTTATTATATTGTCAGGCATACAGAATGTGTTTCATCAAGTTTCTTCTTCCAAAACGAGTGATATTTGTATATTTCCCATTTTTGCATTTCAGAGAATATGGTAGAAAGAAGAAAATAACTTTCAAGAAAGCAGTTGAAAAGGGTGAGTGCTATTTAATTTAACAAATAATGCATCTTACCTGGTAAATGTTGATTGGAAGTTTTCTACATTCTTGATACATGTCTCTATTTGTTTTTCAAAGAATTGATTCCTGTAATGTTTTCTCCCCCTAAAGTCTCCTTTACAACAACAAAAAATACAGATAATGCATGTATTTCTATTTTTCCTCAAAAAAACGAATACAGTATGCTGAGAGCCAGAAGGGTATTATTAAACTCATATACTTCAACACTGATTTAGCATCCTTGTGACTCTACATATGAGACATTATACATATTGTGTCATGCTCCTACAAAGCAGAATAGATTTCTGTTGCTCAATTTTATTTATTTTTTTCTTTCTACGTAGCATACAGTTGTGTCGAGTCCAGGCAACCCAGGTCTAGCCAAGATCATGATGACTTTGAGGCGAGGCATCTATCAAAACGACGTAAACAAGAGGAGTGAGTTCTCAACAAAAATACATTAACCATTTAGTAACCTTGACGCTATATCCTGACTGATGGATCCTGTCAAGTACCGACGTAGAAGTAGAAGTATCCATTTTAAATGACAAGAAAGTCACATGTGTTGTTAGGACAATCGGTCTGCCTGAATTAGTGTACAGGAACTTATGAGATACTGCCATACTGGGCTAGAAAAGTTTTCCAGGACACAGAGTTTTGTTCACACTGTAGAAATTAAATTAAACTTAAACAAAGCAAAATAATGACCAGTTTGAAAGAAATGTCCAAAGCTCGACTATACAACTAATTGCTGGATATTTACTCAGCACCATATAGAGGGTACATTAGCAAAAGTCATTGTTTCACTTGGTACCACTCTAGTATTAAAAAGAAATATGTACAGAAGGAATTGCGATGTTCTCGTATAAGAGCTGGCAGAGTGCACAGCTAGTTATAATGTTTCCCATTGCTGTATGGATCCATATTAGTGATGGAATATTATTACAGGTCTGTAATCTCAATTTTATGACCCATGACGGCAATTCTGTATCCATGATAGTTGAGTTTGTTTGAAATATGTATGCAATGTTGTATGCATTGTTATTCATTCATTCTTCAAATTATTACCCCCCCCCCCCCCCTCCAAAAAAAAAAAAAAAAATAAATAAATAAATAAATAAATAAAAAAAATAAATAATAAAGTTAAGTTGTAATTCAGCATTTAGTAAACAAAAGAAACGATCAGAAGCAATCATATTAATTTATCTCTTACCATCTTTTCTCTTTTCTCCAATAATAGTGATGCTTTAGAGGACTCAGACAGCGATAGTTTCTCGTCTGACAATCCAGATTATGTCTCGGTTCAGGTAGAAGTTCTCTTTATTCTCATCTATGGAAATGTTTATCAGTGAAATATAACCAGTGGAACATCATAACTATTTAATAATAATGATGAAATAACCCTATGGAAAAAGGCCTTTTTTCAGTGCCTTCATTACCATGGTGAACAAGTCACTATTTATCTTTGTTGACAAGCACCTGACATATATGGTTCATGTACTAGTTTCATCCTTCTTTATTCTTTTCTCTTTCTTCTAGAAATCAGGTTTGATAGTTTAAAAACTAGTTGATGCATCTTGTTTCTTCATAGACTTGTTGTTCTGGTTCTCCATGTTGTTCAACCTCATAAGTTATTACCGCTGACATTTGGGCTCTGAAGATACACAAACAAAAATCTTCAGATATACAGTCAGAATCTTAACAATGCAAATTTATAATGTACAGTACCAGGTTTCAAGTTGTTATTTTATATAAACCATGGCCCAATCTTATAAAGAGTTGCGATTGATCCAAATTAATTACAAGTCCTATAATCAATCACAGTTTGTAGTCCTGTCTCTCATGTAATTCTTTGCAACTAATATCAATCGCAAAAAAGTTGTGATTAATATCAACTCTTGATAAGACGGGGCCCAGCTTGTACAATATATATTTTGTCATTTAGAAATATGAAATCTGTATCTCCACCCATCCCCTCCCTGACAGGACTCTAACTTAGTCAACAGTACCTTGAGCAACCTTTACAAGAAGGGAACTCCTACCAACACCCCCAAGAACCGCAGTGCTGCATCCACACCCCTTGGGGGCACACCCCAGGCCACGCCCATGCCTTCGGACAGCGATGAGGACGATGATAGGGACAGCGTGGAGATGTCCAATGTGACCCTTGACCTGGCTGGGGTCGGCGACCCGAAGGAGGATGATGGAAAGCAGTCATGTAGAAAGCCAAAGCTATTGTTGCCAAATATGAAGAGGAAAGAGGTGACTTTTTGTATTAAAGCACTATTGTACTACTTGTAGCTACTTGCTCCCTCTATATAGAAAAAAATGCCTAATTGGTGACCATTGGTCCCCAAGATCCTCTTTTTCTTATTAGAGTTAAGTTGATGAAACAGCCGCCTGTCAATGATCACCCTGGGTGGTCTAATCCCTCCTAGCCAAACTAGTACAGACGGCCTTTGAAACTGCTCTTTTCTTAATGAATGTGGGGTTAGCAAGGGAAATATTTTCCTGGTTGGGTAACAAGTTCTGTCTCCTGTGAGAAAGAAACGTTTGTTTAATTAATTAGTTTTGTATTAAATTTGCTGTTTTCTTGATGAATATAGGGTTACCAAGGGAAAAATTTCTCTGTTTGGGTAACAAGTTCTGTCCCTTGTGAGAAAGAATTGTTTGTTTAATTAATAGGTACATGTATTTTTATCTTGGATCACAAAAATGTTCAGCTAGAGAGCTTCTCATTCTTATTCAAATATTTCCATTTAAATGAGTTGCAATGGATCAAAAAGTTATATCCTTTCGTTCCAGAAGCTAATTTTACTGACAGATAACGAGTTAAACGACCAATGTTTATTAAATCTTGACAGTTGTGTACTCAATGTCAAATTTTGTATGCATAAAGCCAAGGCCGATCGCTTGGTAATATCTAGGCTCGGACTGTTAATAATTGGTTAATAATTTCTCCCACCTATTAATGTGTCAGGAATCTGCGCAAGAGAATTCATCTCAGAACGACAGTTTTTACATCTCAAAGACCCCCAGCAAGGTTGCTAGGACACCAAGAAGAAAACCATCTGCAAAGGGTGAGGATGGGGTGGAGGCCAGCGCCAAAAAGAAACCTCGCTCATCGGAATCAGAAGGAGGCAGAAAGGGAAAGAAGAAAGGTATTTGCACGCATTCAAAATGTTTGTTTGTCTTGATGTTAGTGATAATTTTTCATCTTCATTTTGTGTGTTGGCAACCGTCTGTCTTGAGAGATAATGGAGTTTGCGCCTAAAAAGTCTGTGTGGTTATAGTTTACTTGCATCTCCTGCTGTGGCTGTACAGTCCTTTTTTGAAAGCCACACCTTCTGACAGTTTGTACATTATGATGAAATAACTGAAATATTGAAGATCTTCAGATTATTGTTGTCATTTCACCTAGTAATGTGCAATAAGAAGTTTGCTATACAGGTCATCAATTTTGCTGCATTGAAAGCTACCTGTACACTCATAAGAAAATGTGGATTTTGATGCTCAGATGTATGCTTGTACACTTTGATGTATTTAAATAAGCAATTGTAGTTAACATGTTCTGTCAATTATCTATGACTAAATGAAATGTATTCAAATTTTGTTAACAGTTATAGAACCCCAGCGATCAACAAGTACCTTTGCTGACATGGGAGGGAATGATAGCACATTAGAGGTGAGATTATGGTTTGTGGTTATTTGTAATCTTGAAAACATGAACTCCCTCATCTCCAAGTTTATGTAATATTCAGTTATTTCTGAATTGAATTGAATATATATGAATATATATGAATGGATGGATGGATGGATGAACGAACGGATGGGTGAATGAACGAGACAATGAAATGAAATAAAATTGATCAATCAATCAATCAATGAACGAACGAGAGAATGAATGAATGAGTGAATGGGTGAATAAATGAATGAATGAACGAATGAATGGGTGAATGAACAATAGAACGAACAAACGAGAGAATGAATGAATGAGTTAGTAAATGAATAAATATGTAAACATTGCTATATGAATGCCAATATAATAAACCACTAAATATTTATTTTTCATTGCTTTTATTTATAGGAGGTATGTAAGCTCCTAGTCCACATGAGACATCCTGAAATCTACCAGCAACTGGGCGTGTCCCCTCCTAGGGGGGTACTACTGCATGGACCACCAGGGTGTGGCAAGACCCTCTTAGCCAATGCTATTGCTGGGGTGAGTCTAATACAGTAAAGAACAAAGAAGGGAAGCAAGGATACATATTTTCAGATACATTTTGTGTACCTGACTACAAAAGAATTATTTGTAGATTAATTTCATCAAAATTGACTGTAATTAATAATGTTTCTACGACATAGATTAAAAATAAAGTAAAAATAATTTAGTAAGCAGTTGTGCAACTTAGGGCAAGCCTACTGTATATCTACATTACCATGCACATCGACACTTACTAGCAGCATCTGAGGACATTTTGTTTTTAATTTCCATATGCCAAGACTATGCCTGGAGATTGTGTGGGGAATACATTGTTGTAGTCCCAGTTAAAGTTCCTAAATCATTTTTACAGATAATTTTGATGGTTGAAGTGTTGAGAGGTTTCAAAAGGAATTAATTATCTTCTTTGTTTTTTTGCTCCATAGGAGTTGGACCTACCTTATCTCAAGCTTGCAGCCACAGAGATAGTCTCTGGTGTTTCGGGAGAGTCTGAAGAAAACATCCGAGATCTCTTTGAACAAGCTCAGGTAAGATTAATGGCATTACTTGTAAAGGGGGCAAAAAGAAAAACAGTTTATAGCCAATGGAAGGATGTAGAAGATTTTCTAGTATTTCCTTTTTTATCCGAGGATTACATTGAATTTTATCGTTACGCAGTGACAACTGATCCATATCAAAGGTGTCATGTGGAATACCTTCTCTTCAAATGTCTAGTCACAGTCTTTACATTGTACAGGTGTATCAAAAAGTTACAGATGTAATGAAAAGTAACCTCATTCTTTTATCCAAAATTGTTCGTTGATGATGAAGTGAAGAATGAGAGATAAAGACTCTAAAGAGGTGATGGTATTGGTTTGTTCTCTTGTTATCTGAAAGTTTTTGCACTCAATTTGTTGGTCATTGGTGAAGTTGATGCCATCCTACAAAATTGAGAGGCTACGCAAAGCGAGAGGGGGACAAAAGAGTGAGTGAGTGAGTGAGTGAGTGTGTGTGTGTGTGTGTGTGTGTGTGTGTGAGAATCAGAGAGAGAGAGAGAGAAAGAAAGAAAGAAAGAAAGATATAATTCGTTCTTAAATTATTAATTATTTTTGTCTTGTTTTTCTGCAGGCTTTAGCACCTAGTGTTCTGTTCATTGATGAGATTGATGCCATCACACCGAAACGAGAGACTGCTCAGAGAGAGATGGAGAGGAGGATAGTTGCTCAGCTGTTAGCCTGTATGGATGGTGAGATGACTTAGCTACTGAAAGAATCATGAGTTTAAGGGAATCCAAGAAAAAAAATTATTAGTATTGTTTGTTTCAGTTAATTGTCTCAAGTAATTCTGACCAGGCATCAAATTAAGTACAAAGTTGCTTTGATTCCGCTTCCAAGTTAAGAAGGCCTCTCTACAATCACTGCAATGACATGAAATTTGAAATTATTTTCCCCCCATCGCCCGTGTTTGTTGTTGCTTATTCTAAAAAGATTATTTCATTTGAAACACAGTGTAACCTGTTTTGAAAGGGTTAAAATGAGCTTAAGCAGAGCGACCCTGGGTCTCTACTCCCAATGTATTACTGATTGGGATATACAATTGTACAGGTACATGTACACCAGGGTTTTCTTTGTGTATGGTGTTGTTACTGTCTATACATGTATTAGTTTGGATATTACAGTTCTTGTATCCATACTCATTTGACGTCTTTTTCTATTGCCTACTATCAGCAAAGTCACTTTCATTGGGGATAATCCGACCCTTTTAAAGCCTATCTGCGCTAGTTTGACCAGGAAGGATTTGACCTCCCTACAAGGTCAGTGACAGGTGGTTATCTCATCAAATCAGCTCTCAATTAACATAAGAAAAAGGGCATCATGGGGGACCAACAAGCACCGCTTAGTCATTGTTTGCTATATAGAGGCCGAAAGTAGCGACAAGTAATGCAGTGGGGCTTTAATACCTATGTTTATATGTGCTATATTCCCTCAGAGCTCAACAATGGAACTGCCCATGTGATGGTGATTGGTGCAACAAACAGAGTGGATTCCTTAGACCCCGCCCTGAGGAGAGCAGGGAGGTTTGATCGTGAGATCTCTCTGGGTATACCAGATGAGAAAGCAAGGACAAGGTATATTTTGTTCCCTATTTTGGTTTGCGTTGATGGTTATTTAATAATGTACATGGTAATTGCAATGCTCCATTTTGCCTAGTGGTTATAGATTTAAGAGCAGCAAAAAAGTCTGCTGCAATAGCCAACGTATATTTGCAGATTTTCTAGTGTAAAACACTTATTATAGGGGATCAATAGATAAACCCTGAACTCGCTTTACTGTAAAACCAGTACCATGAAACTATGGCAAATCTCCAATGTTGGCTGTTTTCCCTGCCTGATACTTTTGTGAATTGCAAAAATTAATGATTGTGATTTATGTAATTTGCTACATGACAATTCTTTTTTGAATCTGGACCGTGCTTGAATTGTGCATGGCAAGATCCCTGTTTTGCAGTAATGCATTCATGAACTCATCTGCATGGAACAATTTTTCACACCAGGATATTTTGATTTCTCGTCCTTGTAGGATCTTACACGTGTTGTGTCGTAAGCTGCGTCTATCAGGTGACTTCAGCTACCATACCCTGGCATCCCTGACCCCTGGCTATGTGGGTGCTGACCTGACAGCGTTATGCAGGGAAGCAGCAATGGCTGCTGTCAATAGGTAAAAATCAAATCATTTAATGCTTATTTTGTCTTTTGGGGGTTTGATATTAAACCCAGGGCTTCACAAGAACTTTTCATAGGTGTCTGGGTCAAAATATTTAGGGTTTGTATGCAAGAGCCCTGTGTTAGAATTGTTAAATTGGGGGGGGGGGGGGGGGGTCTGAACTTGATTTTAGGCACCCGTTAATGTTAAGCCATGGAAAAGCATTCAAGTTATTACAAAATACACAGGTAATGAAATGATGCATAAGTGCCAATTAAACAATTTAATAGTAATAACAATATGAATGCAAAAATCAGATGAAAGAAATAAAGCATTCATCAGTTCTTTAGTTATTATGTAGTCCATATCTAATGTTAAACTACCGTTTCTTGGTGATCAGCAATGAATATATTACGCACTTTAGATTTTGGTTGAGATTAGAAAAATACGAACGAACCTGACCAACGCTAAATAAGATCAATGAAGAAGATTTAGAACCACTAACAGTTTTATGGAATTCTTCATATATTTGGCTGTTCTTCCTAATATCCAAGAAAGAGCATGGCAATTTGATATCCTCACTAATGAAATCCAAACCGTTAATGATTTAATGCTTCTTCCTCTTGCAGAATATTCACAGATCTTCAAAGCAAAGGAAAGCCCATATTGGATGCAATTCTTGGCACATCACTACAACCTAACAGTACTGCCACAATCTGTGACCAACAACAGGTACAAGAAGAAGCAATACCATCACAACAAGTTGCTGCCACACAACAAGTTGCTGCCACGTTACAAGGAGATACAACTCCAACAGTAGAGGATATGGACACTGGATCTGTGACAGATTTGGTCAGCAAGTCTTCAAGCAACGATGCAGATACGAAGGAAACAGAGAGATACAAAATGGGTGAGAGCCAATGAGCTTGGATGCAAAATATAGAAGACTAAAGCTGGGATGTATACAGTTTCATTGGATTATTTAGTAGACATCTCAATGTATTGTTAAATTTCTACAAGGCAACAAGGAAATCTACCTTATATCAGCCTTACCTGGCTGAATTTCAGAGTGAGCTATATAATACAGTGGAACCTGCTTTGAGAATACCTATGAAGAGTGATCATATCTCCCCCCCCCCCCTTTCTCTTGAACAGTGTTTTTCATTAGAACCTGTACAGGTGTACTAAAGTAAACTACATAAAGACCACCTGATTACAAAGATCAAATGTCTTGTCTCCCTATGATGGTGCTACCTGGCTTTAGCCCAGTTGTCATTGAAATGCGGCAAAGCAAATCAAAGTTATCTATACTGGTATATTAAGCATCCATTTGAAACACGTACTGGAACAAGGGACAAATGAATAAGAAATGAGGCGTCTATTGATGTCAGGAAAGCACTAGGAAAGAATTGAAACCCTCAAATTAGGTGTCACAAATAAGTATATATTTTCCAAAATCATCCTGATGTGAAAAGTTCTCATCATGACCAGAATTTGTGAAATATGTATTTAGAGTTCTGATTAAATCTTTATGTATTACCTAAGAGTCTCAGCTTTGTCCCTGCAATATTTATTTTGAATGTAGTATAACTTAGTAGAAATTAAAATGATTGATTTTTCTATGTTTTATTTTTTTTAATGATTGTCAGTGTTAAGTTGGTTGAAGGAACATCCTCCTCTGTCTGAAGCCCAGCTAGAAGGTCTCTCTATCACCATGGAAGACTTCAAGGTGAGTCTACCACTGAAAAATTAGTACATGCTCTGATTTCCTCCCGTCTTGATTTTGGCAATGCCCTCCTAATCAACCTACCCCAGAATCTACTGTCCAAACTCCAGAAGCTTCAAAACGCTGCAGCTCGTATTGTTTCTCTGACCACCAAGCGTACCCACATTTCCCCAGTTTTGCAGTCGCTACACTGGCTCCTAGTAAAAGATCGCATTGTTTTCAAAATTTTGTTGCTAACCTTTCATTGCGTTCACAGCTCTGCTCCTCAATATCTTATCTCTCTAATCCTAAACTACACTCCTGCAAGACCTCTACGCTCATCCACTTCCAATTTTCTTGTGACCCCCAAAATTACCAAAACGTGGGGGGAAAGATCATTTGCATACTCTAGTCCTAAATTATGGAATGGCCTTCCTGAAGACATCAAAAAATGTTTATCTTCTGATTCTTTCAAAACTCATCTCAAAACATTCCTTTTCAAGTCTTGATCGTTTTTCCTGTTTACACACGCCTTGAGCACTCCACAGAGTGGATTTGGCGCGATATAAGTTACATTATTATTATTATTATTATTATGCAATAGTAAGATTAAGATTAAGATTAAGATTAAGATAAAGATTAATAGTAAGATTACTGTACAGTGAGCTATAGTCAGAACTGCAGCTGTTCTGGTAATTTCTCTCTCTTAGAACTATTTCAAATTCAAATTTTCAAATTCAAAATTTATTGTCCAATGATTGGAAATTTGTTTCGTTTGCATGTCAGTACAAGATTACAGATTATAAACATCAATTTTCACCGATCTGTTGGCTTTCATCATAGCAGTGCATAAGGCTGTATTTGTTTCCATTCATTCTGTGAAAAAAAGGAATATCAATCAGTTTTTAGTGTTAGGACATACTATGAGACCAAGGCAGTTGGAATAGCTTTCTATTCCAGTTTACAAGTAAGTCAGGATACGTTAGTCCTCTACTAATTTATGTGATTCGTTCCTGTGTGAAAGCCTTGTTGTTTTTAAGTTTGTATTATTTAATCGCTTGATTTCAGGAAGCCTTACCCAACGTTCAGCCGTCAGCTAAACGAGAAGGTTTTGCCACCATTCCTGATGTAACCTGGGATGATGTAGGAGCTCTGGAGGGCGTCAGGGAGGAACTCACCATGGCCATCCTGGTCAGTTTGAAAAAATATTGATATTCGATAAATGTTCTTAAAGGCATCGTTTAACAATGTTAAATCTGAGATACATGGCCCTACATGTTATCAGGGTCTGTGATATGGTGTAATATTGAAGCCTTAAACAAATTGCGCTTCAAAATTATCATGAAGTGCCTCAAAAAAGTAAAAATCTTTGAGTGGCCGGTTTTACCATACTCATTTTCCCCAATAGAATGTAGTGTTATAAAATAAGTTTTCTAACGGTTTTTGAAATTTCAATTTCCAATCATAAATATCTTGATAATCAGACAGGCGATCGGCTTGTAAAAGTCATGGGGTTCCTGACTGACCTAAAGGTTTATGATTATCATTGCAGCATGAGCTAAATCTAGGATTCTGTTTCAGAATCTGAGACAAAGATACCCATTCCCTTTAATCAGTTTTCTTCCTTTTTTCAAAGTAAATGAGAAGTCACATAGTTGTTCAAGTCTCGAAAGAAGTTTACTTTTGACAAATTTTGAGAGCAATTACACATATATTATTACTGTCCTGCTAGTTTGAGTCTTTTCCCCCATAATGTCAAGAAATCATCTACATTTGTCACACTTGACCCAGGTGAGGTAATGGGTACCCGGTAGGAAGAAATTCCTTGAAGTCTTGAGTGCCTTTTCATGGTAGCTCGGCTAAACCCAAGGATAACGATATGATTGCATGGCCCTCAGGGAGAACAGTATTAATACTGATGAGGCTAGCCAAGGTAAACAAGACATCATCATTATTATTATTATTATAATTATTATTAGTATATTATGAACTTAACTATTAAAAACAATCAAAACATTATTGCAATAATTGAATTATCTGGTCAGAAAGAATAATGTCACAAGGTAAAGCTTGAACTAGTAGGTCATTACCTTCAAACATAATCATACTGTGCTCAGACAAGTATCATCTTTATGACATCATATTTCTTTCTCACCAGGCTCCAGTACGTAACCCAGAAGCCTACCATGCCCTGGGTCTCACAAACCCCCTGGTATCCTCTTAGCTGGACCACCGGGGTGCGGAAAGACGCTCCTAGCGAAAGTAAGTTTGAACAAAAATTTTGCTTAGACATGTAAATTTGGTTTATAAAAACCAAAAACCAACATCGATCCAGTTTACCTTCATTCAAGTTTAGTATTTACACTTGTGAGAAATTGACACAATTGATTTACATGTAGAATGACACTGATGTTGCCAACAATGATATTTTACATACTTTGTAGTAAACAGAAAAAGTGAAGTTCAGTGTAGAAATGATGTCTGCCTCTTTTTGAAGCTCTGCAAGTTGATTTTTTTTCTTTAAACAGGAATCTTGCTCTCAAGTGAATTACATTTTAGAATTGTGGGGAATTGTGAATTTTAAAGGTTCACGCCCCTGGACTTCTGTTTTCACCTTCTATGATTTTACAGCATCCCAAGGAAATTAAAAAATAATCCAATCAATATCAAGACCTATGTATTTATTTTATCATTGCAGGCTATAGCCAATGAATCTGGGATCAATTTCATATCAGTCAAGGGACCAGAACTGATGAACATGGTAAGTGATTTTTATTTAAAGTTTTTTTTAATGTTTTTTTTTTCTTCTCCAGTTTTCCCAGTACAGTAGAGAGTGCTAACAAGGAGATAAATTTGTATTCAATAAAACCAAGAAAGATCAACTTCTGCCCCTTTTCATCATTAAAAATTTCATGAATCATTGTGAAATAAAACTCTTTTACTTCATGCAAGTACAAGTTTACCTGAGTAGAGTGCATAACAAATTGATATAAAATTTACTTCTAATTCACTTTATCTTTATTCCCATATTCACAAAGATATAATGTACTCTTTTGAAGAAGAAAAAAATTGAAATGGGTTATCACTTTGTAGTTTTTCAATGGAAATAAAGAACCTTGTTTTTTGTTGCATTTGATTTACTAGTACGTAGGAGAGAGTGAGAGAGCTGTACGTCAGTGCTTCCAGAGAGCTAGGAACTCATCACCATGTGTTATCTTCTTTGATGAGCTTGATGCTCTATGCCCTAGAAGATCAGATGTTTCTGATGTAAGTATAATTAGCTATCCTGTGCACCTTTCATGATATTTGTAAAAAACATGTATTTTGTATTCTTAACTGAAATTAAATGTAGATTGTTTCTCTGTTTAAAGTGGCATTCTTTTTTGTTTGATAGTGCTTGGAATTTGAGGTGGTTGCTTTAATACTTCAATTGATTGATTGCAAGTCTGGAATATTTTCATGGGATTCAACTTTTTTTGCTCTCTCTCTGTCTCTCGTTGCAACCCCCTCCACACCAATGTACTCTTTATTACATTTTTGCTCCATCATTAGAATCAATGTTTTTTTTTTTAGTGATACATCATTACATTGTTACCTTTATCTCAGCGTATACTTATGATTGCATAATAAGATCACATAGTCAATTCTTATTCTTGTGTGAATACCTTTATGCTTTCAGTCTGGATCTAGTGCCAGGGTTGTGAATCAGTCAACTGAGATGGACGGCCTTGAACCCATGAAACAAATCTCCGGGAATGGAAATAGGCATCATTATTCTGCCCCTCACTCTTTGCACGGATACAGTGCTTTTTAAATGTCAAGTTATTGCATATTCATAGCATGACAGATGTATGTTACACTAGGTCTAAACCCATTTAATAGCAACTAGAGATTTTGTAAAAATGGCCTATTACTAACAGGAAGATGTTGCAATATTGCTCTCATTTTGACACATTGCTCTTAACAATATGAAACATGCGCTATTTTTCTATGCAGAATCCTACTGTAGCCATCGTAAGGGTTACGCATGTATAACATTATCACGGTAGACCCTAGAACGGATACTATAGCCTGTTGAAAACGGACAAAAACGGATGGACGGTTTCGGGTGGTTCAGTGAGTAAAAGGAGAGGCGGTTTCGGGCGGTTTAGTTGTTAATAAGTTAATAAATGATTCACCTTTTCCTTTCAGTCTGGGTCTAGTGCTAGGGTTGTCAATCAGTTATTGACCGAGATGGATGGCTTAGAAGCTAGGAAGCAAGTTTTCATCATGGGGGCCACAAACAGACCAGGTTTGTACTCATAATTCATTTTGTTTGATGTATTAAACTCTATTGTTTTTACAATTTGTTACATGTGTAATGAAGAGAACAGCTGGTTCTCCCACCTAATTAAATACAAAATCACCAATTTGCACAACTGTTGTACACAATTTTACATCAAATTTATTTATATTTGTTCATATTTTGTCATTGTTGTGGCAACAATAAACTTTATCCATCATTATCTTCGTTAAAAAAATGAATAAAAAGCCCTGATACTCATTGTGCACAAGCATGCAGTGTATCCATGTAACACTGATATTTTCATGGGAAAGAGAAGTAAATTACATTGAATGAAAGATGTGCAATATGTATCCATCATTTTAGGGGGAAAATCCTATGTTATGTAACTGTTTACTGTTTGCCTTGTAGACATAATTGATCCAGCAGTACTACGCCCAGGAAGAATGGATAAGATCCTCTACGTAGGAATCCCTTCAAAGAAGGATAGAATAGCAATACTCAGGACAATCACAAAGGTAAATTTCTAGTGCTTGCTTGTTTGTTTGTTTGCTTCTTCTTCTTTTCACTTATTCCTGTTCATCTCTTTCATTTGTCAAGCTATAACACATGAAACATTTTAAATATCAGAAGTCAATATGTAACTTTATCTACTGGTATCGATTTTAATTTTAGAATGGTTGTAAACCTGTCTTAGAGCAGGAGGTCAACCTGATGAACCTAGCAGAAGATGCAAGATGTGAAGGATTCACGTAAGTTTGATACCTAAGAATAAAAATATTATCTGTAACAGCATTTTTGTTTTGTATTTATTATAATTCCCCCCCCCCAAAAAAAAGGAAGCTACGAAATGTTGTATACAGTTTTATGACATTAGTTTTTGTTTCACTAAAATTTTCTGTTGTTGCCAGGAACTAGAACTTTGTGCTTTCAAAGAATACTTCAATGACATTCATCACTGCTTGTCTCGATCACCAAGCCTTATTATGAAAAGAAATGTAGAATCACAATGAGAAGGATTGCCATAGAATATTTGAAACACATCTGAGCATGTACCAATACTGATTATACAAATGAAGTTTATATTTCAGGGTATTATGTGCATTATGTATTGCAATCAAAGTCATTTAGATTTTAAGTTTGGAGAACTATTAGAATCAAATCCTTATTATCTATTTATAGGGGTGCAGACTTGGCAGCATTTGTCAGGGAAGCCTCAATGTCGGCACTGAGAAAGGTCATCAAGAATGGTCTATTATTAGAGAGGGGTGATCCTGCAGCTACCTCTCAGAAGGACTCTCCGTCTATTGTCGTCAATGGAGACGACTTTGAGACTGCCTTCAGGAAGGTGAAACCATCAGTATCAAGAAAAGTAAGAATTTATGATTTATATTATAGATATATTGACTGCTATGAGAGGCATCACTGTTTCTATAGGCTCAAGGGGACGTTACATCCTGCTATCACCCAGAGGCCATATATCTTTTATATACCGAATTCACAAAAAAATTGACAAAAAATTCTTACTCTATCCTTTTCTTGAGTAAAGACGGGTTAAAACATCACACAAAATTAGAGACATAGTCTGTAAATCTTCGTTGGAAATTTGCCTGAATATTACGATCATTCGGGAATCGCACACACATTGCACTGTATGTGGTATCCGCGCTCGCTCAAAGAAACTTTTTACACGTAAACGAATGGGGATCTCAGCAAAATATTGAATTGAAAGTTCCAGTCAAACTACATTGTTTACTACCAGAAATTGATTTAAAAGCTTTTTTTTTCTTGTCCCAATCCAGGATCGCATCATGTACCAGAGAATGAGAACGACTGTACTGAGGGATGTCTCGGCATGTGATGATGAAGATGCTACGTTGAAGAAACCTGAGGAAAGAAAGGAAGACTCGAAACCCGAGGAAAGCAAGGAAGACCCAAAGACATGACCAAGACTAGAACAAACATCCTTCTGAAACCGATGTCAGAACACCCTTCAGTGGTTGAGAATAAGAAGTGCCCTTGGACTTGTATGCATATCTCTTTTAGAGCCAAAAGGATATTAAGTCAAGAATTTAGGAGCATTTGAAGTGCCTTTGGACTCTAATGCATGTTTGTGTCAGAGCTAAAAGGATGTTAAGTCGATGAGATTATGTAGAGCATTTGAACCAGGGGGCATTCCTGTGTTAGTGCCAAAAGGAGGTCAAGTCAAGAATTGAACAGAATGAGATGTGCCTTGGAATCTTTAATTTCTCTGTTAAAGCAGAAAGGACATCCAGTCAAAAGCTAATTAACTTCCATACTCCTTAATTGCCTTTGCCTTTGTGGATTTAATAGACTATATATCTGTGAGTTGACCGACTCTTTGAATGGATATCTGTAGGAGATTTTACAAACATCATATTTATTCTACCGTTCAAATTTGTTCTCTGCTTTTAAGTTTTAAAACTCTCCTTTTTAAATACTCTAGTAATGTTAATTTTTTACTCCCATGGCAATTTTTATTTTAGAAATGCATTGTAAGAGTCTATACAGAAAATAATTTGTAGTAATTTATATATACACATACAAAAGTCAGTATATGGTATTAGTATGGAAGTGCAAAGTTTCTATAAAAAAGTTGCAAAAATAGGTTGCGAAATGTGATGAAGATTTACTTATTGTTATATGGGGAGGGATGAAAGACATTTTGATAGATATTCCAATTAATTCACAGCTTTAGGAATTCCACACACAAAAAATAATAACAAATTGTGACATTTAGTAGATATTGCTTGTAATAACATGTTTTACCTTGAAAAGCTAGACACAATACTGGTAAATGCAAAAGCTTGGATAAATAATAATACATAACATTTATTAGGCGCTTAATACTGATGTTTCTAAGCGCACAGTGTTCTGATTAAGAGAAGACTATAATCCGTAGAATTAAATTAGAAGAAAAAGCAAAAATACAAAAGTAACATAGATAAGGTAAGAAAAACAGTGGCAATCAACTAAATAAAGACAAATATGGTGCGCACCTCCATCAGTATCAGTATCATAAAGAAAAATCCCATCAATTTTAACATACACACCCGTTTTACATTTGTACTAGTAATACCTCTTATCATTTTATGATTATTTGTCATTTGATTTCTTTTGAATGGAGTAAATAAATATGCAACTATGAATTGTACGACATCAAATAAATTCAAAGCAAGGCAAAGCTTTCTTTTCCAAACTAATGTCATGGTTTTATTTTCATTGGTATTCAACATTGTATACAACTTCTTCTTGCCGTTTCACTTTGTAGAAAATATGCCTACATTATGTCATCATAATTACAATTTCACATCACAATATTATTTGTTTTACTTCACTAGAAGGCATTGGAATTATGTATAATCTCACACTGATCAAATACAAAAGACAATTACACATGGACAGACTATTTTAAGTTCATAAATGTTCACAATTACAAATGCTTCTTTCCAAAAGCCAACTGATAAGTTATATCATTCACCTTTAAAATAGTCTGTGAATCGATTACAATACAGTATGGTACAAAAGCCAGACAACATACATTACTTGTTGATATGCCAGACAAGCCTTATACAAATGTTATGTCAAAAGCCACAATCTTTATAATATATGAACAGCATAAAAGTTTCCCTCAATCCCGTCATGTGAAGATAATTTTGACAGAATTTGTTGTTACATACAGAAATATTATAGGAGTCTTCATCTTTCTCTTCACATTCTGTAATTTGTCAGCGCTGTGGTAATTTTTGTTTTACGATCAATATTATTATTAATATTGGCTCACAAGCTGCTCTTACTATAAATTGTCAGTTCAAGTTTTGAGCGTAGGTGAAATTGTGTCACAATTTGAGATTTTTCTTTCAAGCCTAAAAGATCAATATTGTTATTAAACCCAAGTTTTGTTGTAGACATGATTTGTTTCCTTTAATTTCATACAGGGGAAAGAAGGACAACATAAATATATTGACAAATAATGATTTATAATCAAGTACAGTGTATGCATGAAATAAGTATCAAATACTGTAGATCATTTCATTCAAACATCGTGAATCTAAATATTAAATCTGTTTGAATAATGCCAGAGAGCTGAAAAAAAGAAAATATGACAAACAAAAGTATACAGCCCGAGGCAAGAGGCTAGTACTTTGGTACTTCAACCATCGCATCAAATACAAATGTAAATATTAAATGATCAAAACAATTCATGTACTGTCAAATCCGGTATGTATCACTAAAATAAATTTCAGTGATTGTAAATGCAATGTTATACCAAATACATGTATTACTATTATTAATACCAAAGGGTGTACCATAATGCTAGCTCAAATAATATGTTGTGCTGTTATGATTTGTCACAAATGCAAAATAAAGAATAGAGGTGTATTTACTTACATATACTACTTAAGTATACTACATGTATAATCAAAATTGATTCAAATTTGCACTCGTATATATTCGTCTATAATAACGTTCATATTTTATTTAATCGACACACTGATAAATACATTGAATTTTGTGAGACATTTTTAGAGCAATTATGCAACCAGCAGAGGTGGATATCGGTGTTAAAAAAGAAGTAGTCATCATCATCATCATCATCATCATTTCAAAGTGTACCCAGGCATAATTCCACTTAAAACTGAAATGAAAGAAATATTATCATGTTGATATTTAATATCTATTAAACCTAACTACAACCTCTACAAACCAATATACAAATAAATTTGCTGCTTGTAAATAGGACTACATCATATCAATAAAGAATATCTCGTACAATTGGACTACACTTTGAAGTAAGAATGCAAAATCGGTCAGGAAAGCTTTCAAACAATACCACCTTACAGCCTTACATTCACGTCAATGCTAGGGCACGCTTAAATTGGCAACAAAAAACATTGCGAGGTGGTATGGTTCGAAAACCTGTGAAGTCGCAGCAGAAGTCTGCATCTAGCTTTGGTATTAAAGGTCATTCTTCTATACCTTTGATTTCAAACCAAAGTCGTGTATCACAGCTATTCAAACAGCAGTAAATCAAAAAGTTAATAATGAAATTGACATATCGTTTACGATATGTTCACACATTGAAACAAAAAATGGTAAAGATTTGGGCTTCTTCCTTTTACACACACATTGTGAAAATCAAGGAATTATACATGCTCCCTACGTATTAAATCAATTGTTTGAAACGCTTATTTATTGCTATTTATTATCTAAGATAGACGTATTGTCCAGTCCTGGCCAATGTTGACGCCTGGTTTACGTATCGTCAAGACTTGTCTGTTGTGAGAGGTACTGAAAGACAACTGGGTGATGGCTGTGAAGAGACAAAAGATAAAGAAAAAATTAGTGAACTTGACATGCAGGTTGGACACAAGTCTGGAAATATGTACTACGGTACCTTCAAATGAAACCATCTTGCTTTTACAAAAGTATTTTCAAAACAGAGACAGATGATACTTTAGTTGTCCTGCATGAAGTGAATATATTTATTGCCCTTGACAATATGCCACATCACTCAAAACATTGTACTGCCTAATAAAAACTATTTTTTCCATATTTATGGATGAAATGGGGAAAAAAGGAGTGTTGCCGTTAAGAATGGCAATTTAGTATAATCACCACTTTTGCCTTTTCAAATAAGCTGTTAGACTTTCTGTACTATAAATCAAACAATTTCTACTGACAAAAAATATTCACAAAATTCTATACAAATTATCAAGCCCTATTAAAATGAACCAACATATATATATATATCTTTAAAAAAAATATATATATATATTTTGGGGGGAGTATACTTACTTTGTGAAATAAGTTCTACTTTCTTTGGTACTGACTTTAGTCCAATGATGACTACTCTCTCCAGCCAGGAATTGGTTTCAAATCCAGCTCCCGATAATGCCCTGTTCACATATAAGAAATGGTAATTGAAGGAAGACATATAATATGAGGAACTGGCAATGATAATTATTCATATAAATTCCATTAAATTATGTGATTTTTCTGGTTTTATATTCATTACTATTCTTGTATTATATTTGTATAACAAAATATTCATGTTCCATGTGAATGAATTTTCATAATAAATACAAATACAAAAACAAACCTAGCACAAAGGCACGTTGAGATATGGCAGCAAAAAGAGCAGCTGCATTAAAAAAAAAGACATGTTAATGGAATGGGAACAGCATGCAAGAAAGGACTTGCACGTATTCACAAAACTACACAAATGTGAAGCGTCTTTCACTCGACTTTGCCATTTTAAAAAAAATGTCAGTTTTGCCGCTTCATATCTGAGCGAGCCTTGAGATAAAGCCCTGTTCACATAATTCAAATTATAATTCTAAGGGGGACATACAATATGAGGAATTGGTTACAAAATCAAGCACCAAATAAGACCCTGTTCACATAACACATGATTATCACATTTGACCTTTTCTTGTATTAATTAATGGATCTGAATCATAGTAAAAGTCTTTCATATGAAAATCAGAATTTTGTTTTTACCTTGATTCTAGTTTGTTGGCACTGAAGGTGAATTGTCGATAAATGTATTTCTGCTGTTTGTAATCAAAGCTGTGACCATCATCGATGTAGAGATCGCCATTAGCTGAGCCCTGCACGCAAAACGGTAACCATAGCTTGGGTTATTACATGTAGTATAGAATATATACCAATATGGGTTATGAAAACATTGAAGTTTTAGGGAATTGGTCACCTAAAATAAAGGAAATAGAAAGTGGTTTCTTTCCTACCTTGTCTCGTAGCTACACCTGTTGAAACCGGCACCAATTAGTGAGCCACTAATTGTTGGGACAAATTATCTCACAAGGTGAATTATAGGTAGTCGTTCAAATATTGCACAGTACCCGTAGAAAGAATTAATGAGGCCTTAGAACCAAGTAGAGAATCGAGCTGAGAAGTAGGACATGAATTACGATGAAGCTGAATTAGCTTTGGTGTAGGCTTTAGACTCTCTCTAAAAGACGTGTGCTCTTATAAGAACAGCTCGGGAGAAGTGATGAATATGGGTGTGGCAAAAGCAAGGGTAATAATGCTATACCCGTACATTGGGTGGTTGCACATCCCAACACATAGGGTATGGAATGTGCTTGCCAGAATAACTGCACATCCCAATACAATAGGTTTTAGAATGTGCTTGCCAGATAAAATATGTGTGGCACTCTGATAATGTTACAGGTGTCACTATAGAATAAAAGGCCAGACTTCAAACCACACAATAAAGTCAAGACAATAATATTTACAAATGTAAAGTTCTTCTAAGGTCAAGTCACTACATAATCATTGCAGTAGTACAGCTGGTAAGCTTCGCTCACACATGATGCCTGAAACAGAGCCATGCATAAATAAAACCCATTGCATATAAACAGATAGCAGGGGACGTGGGGGGGGGGGGGGGAAGGGAAAAATAAATAGCTGTGTACAAATAGGGCCCCAAAAGCATATCTGTATGTTATATGATACAGAAATAAGTACACTTTGTTTTATATAGTGAAATTGGGAAACGTATTAAAATAACCACCAAAGAGAGACAAAGGGGTCTCTTTATCCAGGTGGTCATTAAGGCAGGTTTCTCTGTATTTGTGAACAAGGGTTATATTGCCATTGTTTGGGCCACTGTGAGATTTTGAGCATCATCAATACATTTGTGTTTCAGGCATTGTTTGGGGTTTTTTTTTTTGAGGGAAGGGGGGGGGGGGGTGTTAATGTTCTGGAGCATTACCTATATCAAAATATTCAGCCGATTCTGTTAACACACAGTCATCCTATTTTACAAAGCAGGTTAAAACACTATATCCAATCAATATTTGGAAAAAAAACAATAATATGAAATCTTCAGACGATGAGTAATTGTTTACATAGGAAGGCAGGTATCTATGGATAAGAGAGATCATCCACAGAGCATGAAAACCATCCAATGTACTTTTAATCTTGCATAGAAATCCCCCTCCCTTGGCCACTGATATGACCAAGCAAGGTCTACAGGCATGCTTCCCTATTCTAAAGTCAATCAAATAACAACTTGGAACAAAAAAGGTCTATGAAAATAATTGTCATATTAACAGTAAAATACAAGAAAACATGAAACACAGTAATAATAAACATACACTGACATATAATAGTTCAACAATAGCTATATATAACATAGGAATCAGACATTATGCATAAAAAAGACAATGTTGAATAGCAATAATCATATCCAAGACATAAACTTACAGCATTATTCAAGGCTACAGTCAGGGTGTAAGGATCATCGACGGTTAGCGATGAGCATCGTCTGACCCTCTCCTTCCTGGGGACGATGGACCCACCGTGTTGGAAGACTGGGATCTGAAAGAGGAGGGGGAGGGGGGAAGAGGAGTCAAGTTTCAACTTCCAGTTCAAATTATTTTCCAGAATTTGAATAGGTCCAATGACAATCCTGGGTTCTACAACACATGCTTTGGTGACAGTTACTCTTTGGTCAATTTCTGTCACTAACCAAATTTCTTACTCGGAGTCATACCAGGATGTGATAACCCCTTGAGCCTATAGAAACAGTGATGCCTCTCATAGCAGTCAATATATCTATACTATACACATACAATGCTTTGGGTTTGTTTTTTTTTTTTTTTTTTTGGGGGGGGGGGGGTGTTTATATTTTGCAGCATTACCTACATAAGAATATTCTTCATATTCTGTCAACACACAAGCATCCTATTCCACATAACAAGCTGAAACACTATATCCAATAAAAATTTAGAAAATCATTGTTATACAATACATCGACCTTCAATACAAACATATGAACGTGATTGACACTGAGTGATTGTGACATAGAAAGGTAGGCATCTATAGATAGGAGAGATCATCCACAGAGCATGAAAACCATCCAATGTACTTATAATCTTGCATGGAAATCCCGCTCCCTTGGCCACTGATATGACCAAGCAAGGTCTACAGGCACGCTTCGCTATTCTAAAGTCGATCAGATAATATATTATACAACTTCCACACAACGGCGCCAGGAGTGTCATTTTGACAGACATGGCGCATTATAAATGTTCACTATTATTATTATTATTATTAAATCCAGATTGGTTTCACAGTGTTTACCCTTATAATGATGAAAACAACATTTAAAGAGAAGGTTGAGTTCTGGGAAGAGGTGAACAATCATTTTTTAGCGTTATCATTGTATTATGCAAGTGTGGAAAAACAATCAGATAAAAAATGTTCCCTGAAAAGCGTGGATCTTCAAATGCCTTAAAAAAGGCATGTAGCATCATAAAAATTGGGACAGATTTTTATGCCACATTTTCGTGTAGTCCTGCATACATCTTTCTGTGTACAGTTCTTGTAAATTTACCAAGACTGGGCCAAAATTGTTATAAAAATTTTATGATTCCAGAACCTTGCAGTACACACCAATATGCTAGATGATCAACCTTTTCTGATCGATTCCGCAAGGTTTCTTTCACAGTGCAATCGCATGTCCAGAACTCAACTGTATCTTTAAATGACGACATACCTTATCTAGGTCAGCGTTCACATTATGAGTAGCTGGTCCCTGGTATGCGAAGAACGTATCTACATCAAACCATGGCTAGAAAGAAAGAAAGAAAAAAAAAGATGCAAAAAAATAATAGGCTTTACAAAGATAGAATCTTAAAAATCTCATATTATCAGTATAATCTAGTGATGCAAAATAGGTTGACTTTAAATATGGGCAGCAAAATTTATAGAAACAACATTCACTGTGATCATCATCATCATCATCATCACCATCACCACCACCATCCTCATCATCATCATATTCACCATATTATAATGATATCAATTACACTTTGACTTGATGGAATACCCATATCTTCTTCTCTTCACACAAGGCATAAACTAAAATGCTGTGATGTGCAAGTAAACTGGCTTTACTTTTTTTGTTTATAATAAAAGTGAAAGAAAAATTAAAAAGAAAGAGGAAAAAGTGATAAGTGAAATATTTACTCACATCATTGCCTGGGAAATACACAGACGTAGCTCTTGATCCTTGATCTGAGATTGGGCTAACCAGTAAGGCGTTACCTGAATAATGAAAAAGATGGTAGCATTTAATTTTCTTAGAATTGTAACTGATTTAACTTATCGACTACTGAACTCTTTCATTAAACCTAGGGCTTAATGCAGGTATGACCCTCATCTTGAAGGTCAAAGGTCAAAAGAGGTGAAACATGCCAAGCAAGCTCTTAACTTTGCTATATATATCTATAGACTATCAAACATCATTATGATTAGAAGATAAACATGTAATTTCAGAGAGAGAGAAAGAGAGACAGAAAGAGAGAGAGAGAAAGAGGCAGAAAGAGAGAGAGAGACAGACAGACAGAAAAAGAGAGAGACAGACAGAAAGAAAGAGAAAGAGAGAGAGACAGAGACAAAAAAGAGAGTAAAACATGAAATAAACAGTCACATCTTGTGATATACCTTCTGAAAATGATTTCTCTATCTCACGTATACTGACAGAGACCGAACAAGGTCTACGGGTATGAATAACAGAGAAATCACTTCAAATAGATTAGAGCAAGTCACCTAGATATAATCAAAATCGTTTTTGTTTGCATTTTTATTTCATGTGAAGAAGAAATTTTCACATCACTTGATAAATACCCTACGGGCCACAGTTATATATCAATTCATGCAGTAGAGTATAAAGGCGATCATCTTCATGATTACAAATTCAATGTCTTTTTTTTAACCTTCGAACAAAACAATTTACCAAGCATATACTGGTCTTCCATCGAAAAGGTATCAGCGTCCTTGGGAAATTCCATCCACATTGGTCTAAAAAACAAAAGAAAAAACATAGCAATGTTTAATTAAACAAGGGTTTTCTAAGGCACTTGTAATGACCGTGTATATACGTAGCATCTTTGAGGCACTAAGTTGAACAAATTGAATTGGCTGTGTTCTATCGTTCAGCACAGGGAAGCATGTCCTTTGTTTTGATCTCTAATAAATTCTATAGTTTTATGTTATTATCAGCATATTCTTCCACCACCACATCTTAAAATCATAACATCAGCTAAGATGTTACTACCATTTGTCTTTCTCTACTTCACTTAAAGCGGGACTGCACTATTTGTATTTACTTGCGCCCTCTATATAGCCAACAATGCTTAAGCGGTACCTGTTGGTCCCCCATGATCCCCTTTTTCTTGTGTTAATTGAGAGCTGATTTGATGAGATAACCACTTGCCAGTGACCATGCAGGGTGGTCTAATCTAATCCAACTAGTGCAGATGGGCTTCAACATTCATACCAGGCAATCAGAAAAAAAAACAATGGTATTCACAAAGAGAATTTCTCATGAATTTTATCAATATTGAAATTTGTTTTTGTTGACCTTTCTCTGAATTCCTGCATACTTACCTCATAGGTGGAAGGCCAGTCTGTGAGGAGTTGTGGAAGAGCGTGTACCAGAAGGGAAGAAGTGCGTATCTGGCGCGGATAGCGTTGCGTATGATGAGCTTGCTCTCCGGCTGTAGCAACCACGGTTCCCGACGCTTGGTGTCGATGTGAGCGTGGGCACGGAAGAAGGGCTGATAGGCGCCAGCCTGGTTGTTAAAAGATGTGAATAGTATAATGGCATGATGATCTTTTGTATAAAAACCAAGAGGTGACTCTATTTTTATTTAACATATTATTCCAATGGATTTGAATGGAGGTGCGATAGCTCAGTTGGTAGACCAGCGGTCTCGTAATCCAGCGACCCGGGTTCGAAACCAAGGTGATGTGCTAGTGCCCTTTGGTAAGGCATTAATCCTTATTACTAGGTCTCTAGGAGAGGACCTAAAGCCGTCGGTCCTCCGATTGCTTACTAACAAGCATTTATGCTTTCTTAGCAGTCAGGTAAAATAACCACCACTACACATCTCTAATCACTGACTCATTTTGAAATAAGTGGAAGTTAAATTGGATTTCTTGTAATGGAAATTAAGTAAAGTCTCACAATGCTAGGATTATTTGGGCAATGACATTCATGATAATGGTTGTGATTATCGTAATTGTAATGAATGTAAGAGTAGATTAGTCTGATGGTAGCAATTGTATTGTTCAAGACTCAAATGGAAATGCTGGTGGCAAAAATGATGATGACACTTATAATGACGAAAATGAGATGTTGGTGTTCATGATAATAATGAATGATTATGATGAATGATGATAATGATGATATTGATATTGATGATGAAGATGATAAATGATGCTGATGATGATGATGATGATGATGATGATGATGATGATGATGATGATGATGATGTTGATGATGATAATGATGATGATGATTGTGATGATGGTTGTGATGATGATGACAATGATGAATGATGATGATGATTATGATGAAAGATGATGGGTTTCATACCTGATACCATCGGGTGAGCAGTTCTTCATCTGGGTTTTTAAAGAATCCACCAACATCAGCTACAGGACAAAAGAAATAAAACAAGAGGTATCGTAAATTCACTCTTTTCTCAGCACATATACTATAAAGTTGATTATAAACATTAAGCATCTGGCTTATAATCATTGGCCTTCCATCATAGTTCTTCAAAGTGCTATCAAATTAACATATATTAACAGATATCACCAAACATCAATGACTGACCAGTAACAAAGGATGCCACTTAAAGGGAGTGGGTCGTCAGTTTCCATGTGGAGAAGGTCATAATTCGCTGACACTAGACTTGGTAGAAATACCATTAATGGGCATACAGGTCTGCACACAGCAGACCTGTCGGCCGATTAAGAAATACCCCCTCGTCTCTTGGAGAGTCTTCGGGTGATGCAAATGTCAGATAAAGACTTTATAATATGGGGAAAAGATGGAGCAAATATTACAAAAAGCCTGTTGATCACTAAAACTGAAGGCTAGTCCTAGTTATTGACAACCAGTGATATTGAGTAAACACCCAACCAGTGTCAAAATTCCCCATGAGAATCCACTTCTTTAGGCCTTCATCAGCCTGAGTTTGCCAAATAAACCACAATTTTCAGACTCAGGTTGTTATCTCGAAGTTCAAAATTGCGTCTTCACCAGGTTGATACGCTCATCACAAACTAGCTCGGGCGGGCGCGAATTAGCCTGTTATTTCCCAAATAGCGGGATATTTTGGAAACAAGACCAAGATTTCTCAGGATATTATCTTGACTAAATATCCCGATATTTGCAACTGCGGGCTGATGAAGACGCAAATTAGCTGAATAATTTGCGAACGGAATAATTAAAATAGCGGGTTATTTTGCAATCTCGAGCTGATGAAGATAGGCCTTATGTGTCTTTAACATTCATGACTACTGACCTCCAATAAATGGGATTCCTGCTAGACCAATACTTAGCAGCATAGGGTTACTAGCCTTCAAGTGACCCCACTCTGCTGCATTGTCACCTGTCCAGATAGCACCTACACACAGAGAAAGTAAATTGAATTGAATTGAATTGAATTGTAATCCACTAAAAAAATGGAAATTTGTTGCTCACTGGTATTACAAACAATGTACACAATTATAAAAATTATAAAACATAATAAAATAACAACAATGGCGTTACAACCAACAATACATAGATCTTCAAACAATTTTATATATATATACATCAACGCATTGAATGAACATTTCTTTAAAAACCTTCTATGAATGAACTGCGCATGAATATATATTTCAATATGGGTTGGGGGGGGGGGAATATTGAAAGAAATGAATTAAAATGTCTGATCTTAAAGTTTACCATAGACATTTTATGTACAATAACATTTTAAGAAAGTCTGTATAATTGTTGCCAAACTAATTTTAAAAATTCTTTGTTTTTTACAATGAAAACGTTTTTTTCAAACTGTTATCTTTTCTGTTTTTCCCAATTAGTAGTACCTCTAAAATGTTATCAAACCATTGAAAATGAAATGTACAATATCTGAAAAATATAAAGAAGATCCTTGACGAACAAATAAATGTGACTGACAACTTGCGCTGACGTTTAGTTGAGAACCATACACATAATCTTGGCATTCACTTACCATATCTCTGTGTTCCAGAATAGAAGGCTCTTGACAGAGTAAATGGTCTTTCTGTGCCTCCAGATCGCTGTATCTGACCTTCAGCGTTTGCCATGTGCTATGGGGTAAAAGAAAGCATAAACAATTCAATGTTTCAAATAGGAATAAAACTCAAAATAAGCTACTTATATGAAGACTGGCATTTTTACTAAGAACGTACAATAATTATGATTTAATTAGGCACAACACACCACTTTTATTGAGATTCCCTCTGTAGAAAATATACTAAGAGGGTAAAACATAGTTGGTGGTAATTTTTTAAAATCTAATGTGATAAATATGAAAGCTTTTAAACTACATACATTATTCATTCTAAAGATGAATGGAAATCATGCCCAAAATGATTTCTTCCATAAGTATTAAAATATCCATCAAATAGGAGAATCTTGATGGATAATAACCAATTTCAATTTTTTAACCAAGCCTTAAAGCCACACTGCACTACTTGTAAATACTTGCGCCCTCTATATAACAAAAAATGCCTAATCGGTGACCATTGGTCCCCCATGATCCTCTTTTTCTTATGTTATTTGATAGCTGAGTTGATGAGATAACCACTTGTCCAGTTACCTTGCAGGGTGGTATAATCCCTCCTTTACACTAGTACAGATGGCCTTTAAAGTGAAGACTACTTACAAAGTACAGTCCGTACAGATTGTGCACATCTCTATGCTCCCAGCCATCGGCATGGACGACATCCTTGTGCATAGTGACCTCAGGTCCGTTGAACACGGACGGCTCGTTCATGTCATTCCAGTTGAAGAGGTTGGGGCGACTGCCCTGGTAGCTGTCATGGCTCAGCCGGCTTGCCCACCAATCACGCACGTCCTTGCGGGTAAAGTCTGGGTAGCTGGATGAACCTTGGGAATGGAAGGAAAGTAGAGGGATTAAAGATGTTATCACTACATCAGGGCCCTGTTTCACAAAACTTGTCATCAGTGACAAATGACAGTTTAGATGAACCTTAGGAATGGAAGGAAAGGAGAGGGATTAAAGATGTTATCACTTCATCAGGGCCCCGTTTCACAAAACTTGTCATCAGTGACAAATGACAGTTTTTGTTATAAGCTACTGAAATCCTTGCTTCTGATTGATTATCAGCAGATTTGTCACTGATATTTGTCATTTGTCATTGAAAAAAAGCTTTGTGAAACACCCTCCAGGACCATTTTGTACCCCTACACATACAGTTATAATGGTTCGAAAAGAGATAAATTTAGCTAAGAATATTCACAAGTTTTCTACAGATTCTGTCATCGCACAAGCATCCTATTCCATTAGTATGCAATGCATTGGCCTTCAATAATACAAACAAATGAATGTGATTGACACTGAGTGGTTGTAACATAGAACGGTAGGCATCTACAGCTAGGAAAGATCATCCACAGAGCATGAAAACCATCCAATGTGCTTTTAATCTTGCATGGAAATCCCCCTCCCTTGGCCACTGATATGACCAAGCAAGGTCTACAGGCATGCTTCACTATTCAAAAGTCGATTTGGACACTGCACACGCATGTAAAAGAAGAGATACGTGTGAACCAACTCACCCATTCAGTAAAGAACATACTATGGAACTGTAAAGAGAGCAACCTTTAAGCTCAAAACATGCTACCGGTAGTTCCAATTTATTAATTCTATTATTCACTAGCATATTCACAACTTAATATAGTAAAATAATACCTGTGATGTTATAGATTAAAGTACGGGGCCCCGTCTTATAAACAGTTGCGATTAATCGCGACTTATTTGTGATTGATATCGATCATAACTATGTAAGAAAGAGATAGGGGACTGCAAACTTGCAAATGATTGGGTTCAATCGCAACTTTTTATAAGCCGGGGCCCAGGTTTTACACTAAGCCACCTTGATGTAGATAGCCCACATCTCTTTCATGTTGACAAATTTAGACAGTTAACCCTTTGCCTGCTTTAGCAGACCAGTGGAACAAACAGTAGTTTACCACAGTTAACTTTTGTCACAAGTACAAAGTGTATATAATATATATACCCTACAAAATGTGGCAGTCTATGATTTACAATCCATAATGTTAATAATAATAATAATATTCCGCTTTTATATAGCGCCCAATACATTGATACAACGATGTGTCTAAGCGCTTTACAGATATATTACTACCCCGTTCAGAACGTATCACGTATCAGCACGGCTCGCCGTATGCACGCGCGTCTCAACATTACCAGGGCGCTGACATTTTGCGCACTAAATTTCACATTTCTGTGCGTGGATACGTTCTTTTTCTCTTCTCATCTCATGCATATTCATTCCCCCCTGAACAACTGTCGAATCGATAACCAGGATTTTTGATTGTACCTCTAGGTTCAGTTAATCAAGCTCGTTCCAAAACTATATTATTTGTCCATATTTGTTTTTGCCAAAATATTCTAAATGCGATCTGAAAATGACCTTATTTGTCACTTTACGACACTTAAAATTCAAGGGGTTTTTTAAGTTGTCATGGCAATAAAATACAATTTTTTTTAATGATCTCATGTATATATTTTGATTGCTCATCATTTTCTCCTCAAATTGATCATTTGGTTTTACAAGTCTCGTTGGGCAGATTTTAAGCTACGAGTCCTCAAAGATAAGGTAATTTTTTCCAATTTCTCCTAATTTCGCACCTTTCATCCGAATTCGTAGTACATTATTGAATATGGAGCAAGATACGAGAATTGATATTTATCATACAAGTTATTATGATATTTCTGATGATTTAATTACCTAGTTTTGCAGATTTATAACGTGAAACAATAACTAAACTGAGTTTGAAAATACAACAAAAGCAGCTGATTTATAGATTTAGCGTGTACGCGAACACGTGTAGCCCGCTTCGGTCAGTGTAGTGTAACGCCACCCTATCGTTGTGTGAACAATCCCACATGCAGATAAATGTGTCTTGCGCACATTTGGAAGCATAAACACAAGTTTAAAAAAATATTAAAAATCGCTCGAATTGAATTTTATCATGACATTTTTAGATTATGTTTCTTTAGAATGTTGTTTTTAGATATGCACATGTCACAAGATTTTTTTCTATTAGATTAAAAGAAAATCAAATATTTCTTGAGCATGGTCAGGGGAAATTTTTTATCGCCTGATGAGTGATGTGTGTTATGTTATTAACTGAAGCTGAGCCAGGTGTAGACCGAAAGCTTCAGTCTCTATAATCGTCGGTTGTTCCACTGAGACTACGTCTGGCTCCACTAGACCTATAACCGGAGGTCTAGTGGAGCCAGACGTAGTCTCAGTGGAACAACCGACGATTATAGAGACTGAAGCTTTCGGTCTACACCTGGCTCAGCTTCAGTTAATAACATAACACACATCACTCATCAGGCGATAAAAAATTTCCCGACCATGCCCAAGAAATATTTGATTTTCTTTTAATCTAATAGAAAAAAAATCTTGTGACATGTGCATATCTAAAAACAACATTCTAAAGAAACATAATCTAAAAATGTCATGATAAAATTCAATTCGAGCGATTTTTAATATTTTTTTAAACTTGTGTTTATGCTTCCAAATGTGCGCAAGACACATTTATCTGCATGTGGGATTGTTCACACAACGGTAGGGTGGCGTTACACTACCCTGACCGAAGCGGGCTACACGTGTTCGCGTACACGCTAAATATAATAAATCAGCTGCTTTTGTTGTATTTTCAAACTCAGTTTAGTATTTGTTTCACGTTATAAATCTGCAAAACTAGGTAATTAAATCATCAGAAATATCATAATAAATTGTATGATAACTATCAATTCTCGTATCTTGCTCCATATTCAATAATGTACTACGATTTCGGGTGAAAGGTGCGAAATTAGGAGAAATTGGAAAAAATTACCTTATCTTTGAGGACTCGTAGCTTAAAATCTGCCCAACGAGACTTGTAAAACCAAATGATCAATTTGAGGAGAAAATGATGAGCAATCAAAATATATACATGAGATCATTAAAAAAAATTGTATTTTATTGCCATGACAACTTAAAAAAACCCTTGAATTTTAAGTGTCGTAAAGTGACAAATAAGGTCATTTTCAGATCGCATTTAGAATATTTTGGCAAAAACAAATATGGACAAATAATATAGTTTTGGAACGAGCTTGATTAACTGAACCTAGAGGTACAATAAAAAATCCTGGTTATCGATTCGACAGTTGTTCAGGGGGGAATGAATATGCATGAGATGAGAAGAGAAAAAGAACGTATCCACGCACAGAAATGTGAAATTTAGTGCGCAAAATGTCGGCGCCCATCTAATACCGGCCGTGCCGATACGTGGTATGCACATTCTCCACTCCCTGGGGAGCATAATGGTTAAAGAATGAATAGAGAGCACTTACCTGGCCAACACCAGCCTTCGTATTCACTGCCATCTTGTTTGTGGACGAAATAATCGTTGTCTTTGCCTTCCTTGTACATGTGATAGTTGTTGTCGCGGTGGACGTGGGGATCCACAATGGTCACCATCTAAACAGGAGTGCAATCAATAGAGACATTCTATGAAGTATCCATTCTTTACAACTAGACTTACAACTTCAAAAGTTCAAAATTTCATTTTTTTCCCCACAAAACTGAAAGTACAAAGTGTACAGATTACCACAAAGACTATTAGGGGAACAGCTACAACAGCTAAAAATACAAACAAAATAATAACATTGATGATTTGAAATAAGGAAACAAATTAAAAAAGAATGGACAACAAAGGAAACATATCAAATTACTGCGTGCATTGGGTATGAATGAGAGGATGTTAATACCCTCCAACAAATCAACAGTTTATAACTTTCATTAAAATACATTTTTTGATTTTGATTTTGATTTTATTTCTGCATTTTTTCCAAATAAAATATAACTGAATAACAAATAACATAATATACATGTAAGGTATAATACAACATAAACAAACAATAATTTCTTCATGTCAAAATGTTTTTTTTACATAATATATGTACATAATTATAATAACGAAACTTATTATTTCCATAACATATTATCATAAATTTAAAGTATTATCCTAACTATTCTGGTGGAAAAGTGCAGGAGACCGCAATCATAAGCAAAGCTTGACAAGGATGGCGGCCTCAAAAAAAAACAAAAAAACAAGAACAAAACAAAAAAAAAATCTTAAGGTAAAACTTAAAATGAAAAAGTGTTCAAGCGATCTTTGTGTATGAGTTGGTGAGTGTGTTGTGCAAGTGTATATATATATATATATTGTGTGTGTGCGTGTGTGCATGTGTGTGTGTGTGTGTGTGTGTGTGCACGTGCACGCGAGCGTGCGTGTTTGTATGTGTTTGTAACAAATAGTGGAAGTGTACGTAGCTCTGTGTGGTATAGTCGAGTAGAAACAAATACAGCCTTTACAATAAAGGAAATTAAGAAATACGAAATAGAAAACAAAATTTGCAAAACTGAGTTGCAATGTGACCGAAATTTGACAATTGCCTACTGCATGTTGAAATCAGTTATGTAGATACTTCGATATAAGAGTTTTTTTGAGAGATGCTTTAAAAGAATAGAGAGATGAACAATGCCTTATTGAATTTGGTAAGGAGTTCCAAACATCTGGTCCATGATGTCTTACTGATTTTTGTGCTAAAAGTATTTTAGGATTTTCTAAGTGATAATTTGTTGAACAACGTGTGGGGTATGTGTGAATGTTTGAGTTTAAACTGTAAATATTGTGAAATAGGGATGGTAATTGATTATGAGAATATTTATACATAAAAATGCATGTCTGAAAAATGTGGATATCTTGTATTTTTAATGTTTTTAAACGCTGAAATAAAGGTTCCGTGTGTGATATATAATGTGAGTTAGTGATCATGCGAATCGCTCTCTTTTGAAGCAAAAATAAGGAATTAATTCTTGTTAAGCTACAATTACCCCATACAATATTACAATAAATCACATGTGATAAAATTAGAGAATTGTATAATATAATCATAGATCTTTCAGAAAGAATTTGTTTTAACTTATACAGTATTCCAATATTCCTTGATATTGATGTATGTATATTACGTATATGCTCATTAAAATTTAGATGAGAGTCAATAGAGACTCCTAAAAATTTAACAGATTGTTTTTCAATGAGAGGCAAGCCATCAATCTCAATATTACAATTTCTCATATCATGTACGTTGGTCTGTTTAAAATGAATGAAATTTGTTTTACTAAGGTTTAATGACAATTTATTAGATTTAAACCACCTAGAAATTTTCATTAATTCACAGTTTAACCGCGTTATGAGCGTATCAAAGTTTTTATGGGAATAAGAAATACTCGTATCATCAGCAAAGATGATAAAATTTAAAAGTGAAGAGGTTTCAATAATATCATTTATATAAATAATAAATAGCAATGGACCCAATATAGATCCTTGCGGTACTCCACATTTAATTGTTAATTTTGTTGATTCATGATTTTGGAAAGATACGTATTGTTGTCTGTCTTGTAAATAATTAGTGAACCATGAAAGAGCTTGACCTCTTACGCCATAGTATTGTAATTTATGTATTAATATTTTATGATCAATCGTATCGAAAGCTTTTGACAAGTCCATAAATACTCCAACAATATGTTCACAGTTCGCAAAAGCCTCAATTATTTTATCATACATATGCAGAATTGCGTAATCGGTAGAATGACCAATTCTGAAACCGAACTGGTTAGGAATCAATGAATTATTTTTTTGTAAGAAAGTGTTAAGTCTTTTATATATTATTTTTTCGAGAATTTTAGAGATACTTGGTAATAATGAAATTGGCCTATAATTACTTATTACTGAGGAGTCGTCCTTTTTATAAATAGGAATCACTTTAGCGATTTTAAGCAAATGTGGGAATACACCCGTTGAAATTGATAAATTAAATATATATGTCAGGGGGGTTACCATATTAAAGATTATTTGTTTCAATAAGTGAACACTTATACTATCATGGCCACTAGATTTTGTAGAATTAAGGTGTTGAACTACATTAATAATTTCATAATCATTGGTTGGAGTAAAAATAAGGAATTTTCACGTGGGAAATTCAAGGACTTATTGTAGTCCATGTCACCTGAATCAATATTAGCTGCTAAATTAGGGCCTACATCTATATAATACTCATTAAAAGCTTTTGAAATTTTAATTGGATCTGTTATTTGTTGTTCATCAATTAAGAAACATTTATTACTTTCTGTCTTTTTCTTGCCTAAGAGTTCCTTTACAGTTTTCCATAATAAATTATTGTTACTTTTATTACTTTCTATGTTGTTAGAATAATATAACTTCTTAGACAATCGTATAAGAGATGTAAGATGATTCCTATACGTTTTATACTTCTTAAGCTTGTCGTTACATTGACTTGTAAGGGCTTCCTTATACAACTTATTACGGGCGACTATGGAACGCAAAATACCCTTAGTAATCCATGGTTGTTTGGCCTTTTTACCTTTTTTTATTTTGACAAGGGGTATATTCTTATGATAATAATGTAATACAATTTCTAGAAATTTTTCATATGCTACATTTACGTCAGATACACATAATACCTCGACCCAATCTTCTTTGGCTAAATCAAAGTTTAATGATTCAATATTATGTTTTGTTTGTTTTCTATGCATTGCACAATTATTTTTAGTAATTTTTTTAACAAGGTGAACTTTAGAAATAATAAATATCGGTAAATGGTCAGAAATATCGTAATACAACAGACCATTTGTAAAATTGTTATGAGCTACATTCGAAAAAATATTGTCAATGAGAGTTTGAGAAATACATGAAATTCTTGTTGGTTTATCAATATGTGGGTTAAATGCGTAAGATTGCAGTGTACTACTAAATTTCACAATGTGGTTATCATCAGAATTTAAAAGATTAATGTTAAAATCGCCCATTATATAAACTTCTTTATTTTCTCGGGAAACAGTATCAAGACATCTATCAAAATTGTCCAAGAAAATGTCTACATTATGATTAGGGGGTCTATACATTATGCCAACTATTATGTTTTTGGTTTTATCATTTAATATTTCAATATATAAATCTTCAGCACCTTCAGTGTGTAAGTCAGACCTAACTTTAATTTTAAAATGATTATGTATGTATAGCGCTACTCCGCCCCCTCTACCATTGTCACGATCAGAACGAAACATGTGATAGTTTGGTATATTAAATAGAGGTGGGGAATTGTTATGGAGCCAAGTTTCAGATAAGCCTATTATGGAAAACTGGAAGTTATTTAATTGTAAAAAAAGTTCTTGTACGGACTCAAAATTCTTATTCATACTTCTACTATTAACGTGAAATAGGCTAAAGTCAGGATTGGCTTGAAGATTCATGGAGTTTGAATCATCGTACATTTGATCGTTATTATTGGATGAATTAAAACTAGAATTAAATTCTTCTACTGTATAATACTTGCTTTCAACATTTATCAAACCTTGGTCAAAATTTGCGTTAGGAAAAATCATTAAGAATTCTGGAATATCTCAAGTATACAAGAAAAACCACAGAGAGCACGCTGTGTGAGTTTTTGTCCATGTGTGGAAGTGTGAGTCTGTGCATGTAATTCTGTGAACGTGTGTACGTTCTTGTGTACATGGTTGTGCTAGTGCTGAAAATAAAAGTGTTGTAAGAAAACATAAGTAAAGGTAAAAATGGCAACATAATCATAATCACTTACAGGTCTCAAAAGCAAAGTGTTGTAGCCCATGGGACATTAATACAGCTTTTCAAATTAATTATGCAAGTATATCGAGTTATCTCTTTGGTATTCTCATAACTTTATCATGAATTGTGAACATAGAGAATCGAATTTAAAAGAAAAAGTATAGAGATTAAGCTCAATCTAATGCGCACTTTAAACATGCAATATCATTTATGTTTTTAAATAACCTCATGTAATGTAATATGTAAAACTTTCTTTAAAAAAAAAAGAAGAAAAAAGATCCTAAACTTAACCAACAGAAAGGTCTAATTTGCACTCGTGATTAGACTAAACAAATTATGGGAGACATTGACAACAGTCAGAGTACGAGCAGCTGTATGTACGAGCCAGAACCTTGTTGGCATATAATTCAAGAACACACGAAACCGAATCCAATGCACTAAGCCCAGACGAGCGCCCCGCCTCAAAGCCATTCAACCCACCCGCCACGAATAACTGCATCCCGACAGCCAGAAAGCAAACCGCGCACACTACGTGCCGCCAGGCAGGAAAGGCATTAATGCTTGTCTCACCTAGCAACAAAGAAACGTACGCCATTCACCCGACCACCGAAACACAATCACCCGTAGCAGGCGAAAGAACAGACCCGTAGCGAGGCAGCCAACAAAGATTAAATCACGAAAAAGGACCATTCAATCAACGACACAGGTCATGTGAAATAGTCCGCACCGTCCAAGAACATTGTGTATGTTCTATCTATGCAAGCCACCCATGAATACCTTACATTTAGTTATAAATGTATCTATACAAATAAAGGCTCATGTGTAAAACTTGTTAGTAAGTACTAATAATTACAAAATGTATCCTTGAAACGCAGGCCTAACACATTGGGCAGGCTTGATTTGCCTTTATAAATTATCATTGATGTGATTGAAAATAGAAAAATATCACAACATTATGAAACATGTACCCCTAATTATCTTACGCAAAAGCATATGATATTATCACCAGCATCTTGGGTGTTCGATGTGACAAATGGCTTATCACACCAGAATAACAATATGCATAATTTATTGAGCAATATGCTTTGCAAATCATATTTAAATTGTATACATGTTTATATTTCAACATTTATACATTTGTGGCTCGCGATTTATGATGAAAAAAACGGGTACTATAAACCATGCTATAAACGCTCATAAGTTTAACTTGTGCATGTGAAGTATGCGTCTCCTTAATGAAATTTGAGTTATACTAGATGTATTAAGTAGACACATACATGCATATAAATGAGTATTCTTTAAATTGAATAACAAACGAAGAACACTTAAAGTTCTCATTGTGTATCATGAGAAAGTGAATTATCATAAACTATCATAATATATTCCTACATAAGCTTAAATGCCTGTATGCATAAATACATCCAGAATAGCATATCAAGCAAAACCAAACCCAAATTGTATCATGTGAATATGAATTATCATAATATATTTTGACATACTAGCCCTTGTATGCATAAATACACCTAGAACATCGTACCAAGCAAAACTAACCTTAAAGTGTATTTTACATGCGTAAGTAATGGATGTATGATAAGAATGCTTGAAGAAAGACAAACCAAATAAGAACAAAAAACACAAAACACTTTCGTGTTAAACCAGATTAATGTATCAATAACTAATACAAACCTAGTCATTGAAATTCACATGTATATAGTTTATCAAGAAGTGTTTGTTTCAATACAAACGAGATGCATCATACCTCTTTCGGGTATGAAGAATATAATGAGCTTATAAAAGCATCTTCAAGTATAATGTAAAATCACGATTCGACAAAGGTGAAAAGGTATATACTTATTCAAATTTGAACGGAGTACCACCCGCTTGGCGCCATTTTCCAGCGTAAAATCGGAGTCTAGTGCCTGCTTGGTACAGATCTCGGACTTGTTTGCTCCATTTTTGCTTCTCTCGCAAATCTAATAATTAATTGATAACTTACATCTAATAATTAATTGATAACTTACCTTTCTTCCCTTAGCAGCCAAATGATCCAACATTCTCCCAGGATCTGGGAATTTATGGTTATCCCACGTCAAATATCTACAAAAGAAAGATAAAAATAAATGTTCAAAATGCCATTGTTGACACAACCATGTTTAATAAACATTCTGTTTCTTGGTTGTCAAATGTATACTTTGGGTTTAGGGAGGAATATGTATGTTATAATAGACACAAAGACATTCCTTCAAGTGACATTAAAGGTCAATGAATTCTGCAACAGCACGAACAATTGAAATACATATGTTTTTCTGAAAATGATTTATTATGAATAAGAACTTAGAAGGATTCACGTACCTCTTTCCGTCGGTGTGTTCAATATCAAGCCAGATCACATCACATGGGATATCATGCTCATCAAAGTTAGCATCAACTCTGAAAACAGAAAGACAAAGTAACATATGTTACCACTCCATGTTTAATATGTACACCATTTCCACTTCTTATGTACTTGGTTTGTTTTTTCTTTGCACTATTACGCTTTCTGTACAAGGTTGAATGGAAATAAAACAAATCTCAATATCAAAGAGAGTTCATAGATACCATCTGCGCATGGGCAAATAAAGGTCATTTGTATAAAATTGTTAAAACAATTGAGACCAATGTTCATGAGCGTTATGTAATCATATTTATTTATGCACCAACAGTATATTTTATGGAACATAGGTGGAAATATTCTTCTCAAGAGGGCATACAAAAGGTAATCATGAAAACCCTTGATAACTTTGGCAGTGATTATTCTAAAATGTGCAAAATGGGACTTCTTCATGTTTAAAAGATCAGTGGATATTCAGGGTCATTTGACCCATGTGCTAATCATGAACTGGTCTATATACTCACTGTTTAACATCTTCTTCATCATTGTAATTCCAGCGACACTGATGGTATGCTATTGAAAATAGCTGTAAACAAAGAAACATACAAAATTCAACTATCAGAGGGACTGATAAAATTAGCATTGCATTCATGATTTACAACTATTAAAAGCCGATATCACTTCTATTATCTATTTCTAAATTCCAGTGGAACCTGTTAGATAATTTATTTCGTTTTGATAGGCCAAGTAAGGCCTTAATGCACAATGATCAAAACTTAAATTGATCATTTGCCACTGCGCCACTCTCAATTTTGAGCAATATACTATAATGACTACTACTTCTTTACTTCTTTACTTCTACTTCCCTAGAGAAAGTTGTCGATGCCGCCAGGATTATGAACCCTTGCTCCTGCAACAACTGCTCTGCGTCAATCTACTTTAACCTTACATCCAACGCTAACCCTAAACTAAAACCTACAACCCAATTTGCAACCATAACCCGACCCAATATCTTTAAAGAAATAAAGCTCAAAACAATTGTCACAGGAGCAAATGTTGGGTCACCGCTACCAGACTCTCATTACCAATGGGTGTACACCTGATGGACATCAATCTCCCCCTTCACTTATTACCCCAAATTAATAACAATTACTAAAATGTACTAAGAAATTTTATTAGTATGGATGAAGGTTTACTTACTGGAGGAAGGAATGGCTTGCCAGTGAGGTCAGTATACTGAGATAAGACATCCATTGGGGAAGGTCCGAAGAGAAGGAAGGTGTCGATGATACCAGACTCAGAGTACCAATGGGTGTCGACCTGTGGGACATCACTCTCCCCCTTCACGTAGTCAAACATCCTTCCAAAGACAGACTAGAACAAGAACAGAACCAAGTATGAAATCGTCACACTAGCAATCAATAGTTAAGCAATCCCTTAAAGCCCCACTGTACTACTTGTAGCTACTTGCTCCCTCTATATAGAAAACTTCCCCAATTGGTGCCTGTTGGTCCCCCATGATCCTCTTTTTCTAATGTTAATTGAGAGCTGTCACCTGTCAGTGACCTCGCTGGGTGGTCTAATCCCTTCTGGCCAAACTAGTGCAGAGGGCCTTTAATGTTTGAATAACTTTCATTGAATTATGTTATTCCCACATTGATAAAAAGTTAGTTCAAATCTCACACCTCAATCTCTATACTTCTAAATTGGACGCACAAAATATGACGTTCTACAGAGGGTGAAATCAATCGTTTTATACGTATTAACTCCCTGTTGCTTTACTTGAAAATTTAAGATATAATTATCTCTGTAAACAAATTAGGATTTTTAATACAAAACTCATTGGCAGACGACTTATTGCATGGTACTTTTGAAAATGGGCAGACAGGCAACAAGAACAAAACAAAACAATACAACTACACAAAATAGGAAGTCTAAAGTATAGAATGTATTTGATCTCACCTTGTCAGCAGTGTTAGATGAAATATCAATATAAGTCTCAGCAGCATTCAACCAGAACAACCCAACTGTCCTCTCTTTGCTAAAAAAATAAATAATAGAAATAATCAAACAAATAATCAAACATAATCAATTCAATGTCCCACTTCATATCTCAGTACCAGCCATTATAGAGGAGAAGTAGAGTGTACATTATTCACTGAAATGACAGACAATAATACAAATGCAAACTACATGTACAAGAAGGCAATGTGAAATTAATTCTTAAGATAGAAAAGAGAGAGGGGGAAAGAGAGAGACAGACACTTATATCACAAATGTAATCAGATAAAATGACTTAGATAATATTGGGGTGAACAAATATGACATGAGAAGAGAGAGAGGGGGGGGGGGGGGGTGAGAGAGAAAGATGGGGAGAGCGGGGGAGAAAGGGGGGAAAGAGGGGGAGAGAGGGGAAGGAGGGGGAGAGAGGGGGAAGAGAGAAAGGGAGAGAGAAGGAGAGAGAGAGGGAGAGAGAAAGGGAGAGAGAAAGAGAGAGAGGGAGAGAGAAAGAGAGAGAGAGAGAGAGAGAGAGAGAGAGAGAGAGAGAGATGGGGGGGAAGGAGATAGAGAGACAGCAAATGTGAAAGATACATGGAAAAAGCACAACTGCTCATGAGAGGTAAAGATAGTACAGCTACTAATAAACTTACTTGTGGGCTTGCATAAAAGGTACAGATCCATAGAGAGCCATGCGCTTGTCCAAGTCGTACTCAAATACATCCAGATTGTAAAGACGATATGGATCAGATGGTCTGCATATAATATTCCATGGGAAGGCAAAATTAACACAGAGTTTCATTAACAACACCAATGATTATCTTTCTGTAGTCAAAATAACTTGACCCATGCAAAATTTGACTTAGGAAGTGTAAATAAAACATGTTTTGCATAGTTTGGTAAAAAGGGAATATTTGACTTGTGCCACTTTAAAGGGATCTGGTAACTTTGTCTCAGATTCTAAACAACATTCTGGATTTAGCTCATGCTGCAATGATAATTATAAACCTTTAGGTCAGTCAGGAACCCCATGACTTTTACAAGCCGATCTCCTGTCTGATTATAAAGATATTTATGATTAGAACTACAAATTTTGAAAACCATTTGCCAAACGGTTTTCATAACACTACAGTCTATTGGGGGAAACGAGTATGGTAAAACCTGTCACTCAAAGATTTTTACTTTTTTAACTTCTTGATCATTTTGAAGCGCAATTTTTTTAGGGCTTTAATATTACACCATATCACAGACACTGATAACACGTAGGGCCGTGTATCTCAGATTTAACATTGTTAAACGATCCCTTTAAGTTATGCAGAGTTACAATGTAACAGTATACTTTCTGATTATAGTAAACATTGTAGCAACGGTAATACTGGTGGTGTGCACTGTCAATACAAGAAGGCAGGTAAATTTATCCCCAAAGAAAATGTTTGATCATTCTTTTACTTTTACCTTTATTATACTCATAACTTCATAACAAATATATAATTAGCAGCAAAAACCCTTCCATCCTACAAGTGGAGGGCTATCTGTTGAAAAATTAGTTTTAACGTAGCCAAGATCTGACAAAGAGGCGAGACTAAAAACCTTTTTTGAAAGATACAAACACTAAAGAGGCCTCTGCCCCTGGCTACAGACCTTGTGCCAGTGTCAAAAATACATTTTTCTTTGGGTTGAGCTTTTTTGGAATTCGTTGATAAAAAAGTGTGACTTTCTCAGAACGTTTGTAAAGTATTCTATTGTGTTTTTGTTACCCAGAGCTCTTTTTTCAGTTTACCAGAACTGTTTTGGAGCTCACAAGAGCTAAATTGCTCACCACGCCTGTATATGTTTATACCTTGCACTTCTATCTTGTACTTACTTGTAATTACAGAAAAACATTGTGCATTGACTTACAGTATTTTCCATGAAAGATTTAAAAGGTAAATCAATTTCTCAAAAAATATATTATCTCTAACTGATATCATACCCTGTTGGCTTGAGGGCAAGCGAATCGGCATGTTCTGGGATTCCGTAGACATGCTCAAAACCTGGAAAGGAGAAGTCCAGTCCAATCGATGAAGGGCCTGCAGAAATGAAACAACATTGGATTCATCGTAAGCAGTGTTCTTGCTAGTGCATATTACACCCTTAGATGCTAATTACCAAGTATAAGGTAGTTCAGACAATAATACCACAGGTGAATACAGTGATAGAAGTACCTACAAAAGGTTTTCAAATGAGTCCATACATGTACCTGCTAAAATTGTTTTGATTTTCCAAAAACAACCACTGAGATGCTCCGAGAACTCATTCAATTCAATTTGAAGCAAAGGGTATCGGTAAACGTTTTCTTGGCGAATTATTAGAGTGCTCAAAAGATATCCTTGCTATGAACAGTGGATATTTTATGTACTAAAATGATGTAACAGCCCCAGGTGAATTATATGCCATCACTTTTTTCATAATATGCACACATTTGATTTGATCTTATTTCTGCATTTTTCCTAATACAATAACTGAATTACAAAGAACATGTAAATGTAAAGTTTAATACAAATACGGAAACATTGATGACTTCATGTCAGAATGTAGTTTACATATAATATACCTTTAATAACACACTTAGTATTTCTATAATATAGTATTATAAATTCTAAGTATTATCCTAGCTATCTGTGGGAAAGTGCAGGAGACTGCCGTATGATATTAAGACTGCTTGGTTTCCATCAAATTTACCTTGATTTGTTTTCTCTATGACTTTATAGTCATCTCTGTCAAATATTTGCATACTGTAATGAACATATTGAAAGGCACGAGTACAAATATAACTTCTGCAATGAAATTGCTAAGGGAACACGAATGAGGTGGTTTATTAAATCATCAGGAAGAAGCCCAAAATCCATTCTTATTTCTTATTACACATAGACTTCATGAACACCTCCAATATTTAGGGAGCTTCCAGCAAACATGGACTCACCGTATGGTTTCCTGTCGGTGTGTGATTTGAAGGTCTCCTCCCACATATCTGGCTCCTCCGGCTCCTCCTCAAGCTCCTCCTGCTCCTGCTCCTCCACCACCGCCGGCTCCACGTTGTCCACCTCCTCTCCACCCTCCGCCTGATCAACACAAGGAGCCATTTCAAATCATGTGCTCAACCACTCATCACACTAACCCAAGGATTTATAGAAGAAATGGGCCATCTTGGCTGTTGCAGGTTTTCACAAGTTGCATTTAAGCGCTTTTCTTTCCATTTAAAAAAACAAAACAATTAAGACGTACCTATAATAATAGTCAGCTTTGGCACACTGCAAAATACTACAAATTTAGCAATCTGAAAACATTTGCTCTTGCTTTTTAGATAGGTAGATATAAAAAACACACAGCTCTAAAAGCAAACAAAGATCATCCCCTTCAACATAAATATACCTATATGTACTTGTACATGTATTCCCATCACCTGGGTAGAAATAGATAGATAAATAATAAATCCAAATAGATAAATAAATGAAAATTAATACTACAAATTTTGATTCAAAGGATTTTGTGATTCTCTCTCCCTCCACCATTTTTGGATATAGAGTAAATAAAGTATCCATAAATGAAAATTGTATTGAAAAAAAATCATGCTCCATATTTTTTTATTTGCAATCTTCAAAATAAAATACAAGAATGAATAAATATCATCTGAATAAAAAAAAAGCAGCTATAAGAAATAGTTTTCTATGAATAAATACTAATAATTAGCTATTACTAACAAATCACGCACATTTTTCATCACTATAAGTATAAGTTTTAATATTGATATATTTTTCATTGAAGTACTTGAAATGGATTTACTATTTTCGAAATTTTGCAAAAAGTGACAGAAAAAAAAACAAGAGTACCGGTAGCTGCAAATTTCAATAGAAAATGAAAGAAAACGCTAAAAGTTTGTCTTTGAAAAATATTCTGTGAAGCCTAAGACTTGAGAGACTAAACGCTGGACTACTCACCGGCTGGTCTTGGTCTTCCACGGATCTGTAACCAACCAAATCAAGAATGGCATCTTTAGCAAGGTCAAGTAGACCAGGGCCTTCTTCACCCTGGTCCAAAGAGCTAGGATAACACGTTAATAATTAAAAACAGGTTATGGGTTGTCAGACACCGCACATCCTCGGTACAGCTAATTCATATTCCTATTGTTCACCATTTTCATTGTTCATTGATTTTGATAAATGAGATAAGATGTTAATAAAATGGATTAAATATTTCTGTGTAATGGCATGTACCGGTATGCATAATAAGATGAAGGCAATGACCTGCAATGACCTGCAATGACCTGCAAATTGACCTTCATGACCTATAACCAAACTACCTACCATACCAGTTTGTCTCTCTAAGGCCATGATACATACTAGCACCAAATTTGAACTTTATGCTTCACATGATTCTTAACGCCCCACTGTACGACTTATAGCTACTTGTGCCCTCTATATAGCAAACAAATACAATGCCTAATCGTTGCATGTTGGTCCCCCATGATCCTCGTTTTCTTATGTTAATTGAGTGCTGATTTGATGAGATAACCACCTGTCAGTGACCTTGCAGGGAGGTCTAACCCCCCCCCCCTCCCCCACCTGGCCAAACTAGTGCAGACAGGCTTAAGATATTGCAATAACATGAATTTGAAGAAAGCAGGATGAAGAAATGTTTGGACGACCCACATTTGGTGGGCGGGGGGATAAAAGCTGAACACCTGCTATTTACTCAGACTCTGCATTGCATTATTGGCTGGCATTGGATATTAGATGTCTAACAACCCTTATACTGTTTCAGTGAGTCCATGAAGTAACATGTTAGAGCTATTAGTACAAGGATACAATGTAATGTAAACCTTGTACTGTCTGGCATGCAAGGACATACATTCACACAGAATGGTATCGAAAGACACCTGCAGACGATGGCAGACTATGGTTAATTGACATTCATATGAATGATACAGAAAGATTATATCTTATGGGTGTGACTGTGTACACGGCAGGAAGGTACAATGACAATATGTGTTTTACAAGTGCTTCTTACATTAAGTGTCTTTTATAATGGGCCAAGTCAATGGTGTAGATTTTACACCGCTTTCATTCTTTCAAATATCATTTCGAGCTAATAAACAAGCTTTTGTCCCGTCATATAAACTCTGAAAAATATTAATTAATGCATGCACACACCGTCACAAACAGATGAAATCATACGATTCCAAGGGGAATCATCTTCACTCATTATTTCCCCTTTTGTCACTTACTTGTTTGTCTCTTTACATTATAGTGTATCTGCATGTTTTTTTTTAAAGTGGTATTTGGAACGTGGAAACTAAATGAAATGAAACTAATTCCAATTAAAAAGATACTGATCTGAATTTGTAAAGAAAAACAATACTGCACACACTATGTTGAATTAATAATGCTGCAAAGTGAATCTGCCACTTGATTTAGCATGATAAACAAGAAACATTAGTTTGAAAGGAAATACATGTTGTTAGTATACTGCTCTTCATCTGTCCCGGATGCTAATCTACGAGCTTATAACATTTATAATTCAAACGTCATACTGGTGAGCTTTTATAATATTGGTTTGTTAAAGCAACAGTTTCTGATAGATGACATACATGTAGCTTGACACAAAATGCATTTGAAACAGGACCAGAAAGACCAGAAACAAAACCCTCCAAGGCACTGAAACTACTGTTTCAACAATTCAGGATAACATTGGCGTATGGTAAGACTGTACATGTATGTGTACATGTGGGAGCAAACAAGCTCTAAGCTAGACAATCATAGTACCAGTCAGACCAAAAATGAAATCCATGTTTTAGGAATTTTTAATTTTCTCTTCCTTTTACAGCCACCATTCAAATTTCCTAAAGTTTGTATGGACCCCTTTTTTCTTTTTTATTCTCACAAAATGTATTAATTCAACATATTATCTGAAGAAAGTCAACATATATTCCAAAATAGGAATTATTATAATTGCAATTTACTAATGGTGACTGGTACCATACTTTGTGCTGTTGTAGTAGTATGCACAAGATATGTATGAGATCTGTACAAGTAGGTTTAGAGAATATGGATGCTGAAAAACAGGTAAAATATGTCTGAAGAAGAAGATCTTTATAGCTCAGGTATGAGGTAGCATGCTTGGTTCTTCAGAAATATTGTGGTATACCAGCAAGATGATCGGCTGGAAGAGAATCAGAAATATCTGAATATGAAAAATATATGTGAAATCATAAAAACATAAAGATGTTCTAGAAAAGAATTTGGAGTATTGTTTTTCTTGTGAAGAGAAGTGCATGCTTTAGTTGAAAGAAAAATTAATTTGTTTCCTCCAGTAATCAAATTAAACATCTTTGGTATCAAAATTAGGTTCTATTCTTGTAACTTTACCTGGTGAGCCTCAATTGTCTTGGCATTTGTTGTTGTTAACCTACCACTAAGTGCCCTCTCCCTCCCCTTCCCCATGTCACATTTTGAATTCTTAGGGGGTACCGAGTGCAATTTTAAGGGTCCTTGTAAACTAACCCAATATTGTCAAGCTCTGCTCGAGAAAACTTACCCCCTCCCAGCAAAACTACCCCTTGACAACTACTGACTAAAATTCATTTAAAACCTAATTGTAAAGGGTCATTTTCCTACGTTGGATAATATTCATCTTTTGAAAGTATTGTATCTTATACTATTTAAGCAACTAACATTCAAACCACTATTAGGCCTAACTTTCACCCACATATCACTCTCCTCAGTCACAAAGTTCCAAATAGTATACTATTTAGCTTTCAAACACACAGCGCCTACACTCAAGATAGATTCAAATTAATACTCGGAAAATAAATCAAATGTATCTATAAATAATGCACACATAACAAATAGAAATACAAATCACGACCAGTAACTTTTTAAATATTTATCCAACCCTGACAAGAAGATGCAAAAAGATTAAGAATTCAAGAAATGGAATAAAGTACTGGTATATAAAAAATAAACAGACATATAAAAGCATGCAAAAATCATCAAAGAGAGCACGGCTTACATAGGAAAGAATAACTACAAAATTTTGCAAATCCCACCACCACAGTATTTTGGCCTTGATATGGTTTTCACTAGATTCCTTTTTTGCCGAGCTCCCTGAATTTCATTTGATCTTACTTTCTCCTCTCCCGCTGATGTTCAAACTTCATGAGCCCTCTCGGGTTGATACTGAAGACGAGCTGCTTGTTGTCGTAGAAGTCCATGCGGAACGGCTCCGAGGAGAGCAGCACCGTGATGCCCGAGCTGGTGGCGGCCTCGATGGACGTTGAGTCCTGCTTGTTGATTTTCCATCTTTCAGGGGGGGGGGGGGGGTGGGGTGAGAAAGGAAAGACAAGACCAGAGATGACAATTAGTGTCTCTCACATTGGATGGTTTGGTGAATCGATTCATGACACGATCATCAACAACTTCAAAACCTGTTCTATAAATGCTTGTCCACCACTCACCACTATTAGGGACTTTTAGATTCTGCACGACGAGAACGTGGACTGCCCTTTTAAGGCACTGGCAGTGACGTCACATTGCCTTAAAAGGGCAGTCCACGTTCTCTTCGTGCAGAATCTAAAAGCCCCTATTAAAGCCCCACTATCCTACTTGTAGCTACTTGCTCCCTCTATATAGAAAACTTCCCCAATCGGTGCCTGTTGGTCCCCCATGATCCTCTCTTTCTTATGTTAGTTGAGAGCTGAGTTGATGAGATAGCCACCTGTCAGTGACATGGCTGGGTCGTCTAATCCCTTCTGACCCAGTAGTATTGACGGTCTTTAAGGCAGTGTGACGTCCTTTTAAGGCACTGACTGGCAGTGATGTCACATTGCCTTAAAAGGGTAGTCCACGTTCTCGTTGTGCAGAATCTAAAAGTCCCTATTTAAACAACTTTGGATTTCCTACAAGAGAGTGATTTTTTCTACAACAATTTTTTTACAACCAATTCTGGTAATATTTCTAGGGCTCTTATTGGGAACTTCCAGAACTAAATCACTCTCAGCTACATTATATTTGTCCACAGATTAAAGGGAGAGTGTATAGTATTGAGAAAAAGATGCAGTACAAAATGATCTTTGTTTGTAAACCAAATGTATTCCATAAGTTATTGCGAGAGCATCTGAAGATCATGAGATAACAAAAGATATCCAGTTTATAGGCCTTTAACCCTCGTTCAAACAAAACCTGATTAAAATAAAAGGAGGAAGGAAGAAAAAAAGCGGCAGCAAAATAACATGAGAATAGGGTAGAGCGTATCACCAATCCATATGCAATAGCCCATAAGGAACGAGACTGCGCAGAGGCCTTCGTTAAAAACAGCTACTTTCATCCCACTTGTCATTCACTGACACGCAAAATTATCCCTGCTACAATTTTGTTGAGGCAGTTTACCATGGCTGGTGTAACAATGACACTTTATCAGGGAGAAAATTAATTAATTACAACAATTTGGGGGCTACTTTTCAAGCTTACTTGCATGAAAATAACATTCTTTAATTTATTTTGCATTGAGCTCAATGCAAATTTCGGGGGCTCTTTTGGGCATTTCGGGGGCTAATTCGCCGGAGCCCCCATGTATTTTTCCCCCTGCACTTTATACACTGTTCATTACCTGATAGGAGTTGGTTCTACAACCAGGACATCCGGGACCTCGTATCTTGGTCTGATGGGACTCAGTTCGTTGACCTTGAACCGGACCATCCTATCCTCCAGGCCAAAGACCTCTAGACTGAGCAGGATACCATTCTTGGTGTTGAGGATGTTTCCCCGCATCACCCCATCAGCCTCGATGTGGAAGGAATCTAGGACAGCTGCATAGGGGGACTGGCCTTCAGGGATGTCTTTGTGCCGCCTGTAGGGAGATAATATTTACTTGAATTATGACTTTTCACGATGAATTTTGTGAGACATTGTAGAGCAAGCACCATGAGCACCCAGCAGAGGTGGATACCATTATCATTATCATCATCATCAGAGCAACGAGTGTAAATCAGTTCAAATCCATCCTTGGGAACTATTGGTACAGCCACCCCCTTAAGTACAGTCCATACCAGAGAGATAGCATTACCTGGAGGGGCAAATAAGTTTATCTTTACGCTTCAACATCAAAGCAAACATCAAAGTAAGTTTACATCATGGGTTGGTTGATTTCTTACAATTACCCACATGCCCTGGTGACAATTTCCTTGCAGTCAATATCCTACACAAACAAATTCTTAACTTCCCTCCTCTAGATCTAGTCCTGAGTACGGTATAACCCTAAACAAACTTGCCTAATATAGAAATCATTCATGTGCATATGATGGCAGTGTAAATATCTTCTCAGGAGCTTGAAAATATTTTGATTCATTAAACAACATTTGTAATCAATCTTCTATTGTGAGTGTGAGTGTCATAATTTATGACTGACTGATTAACAACATGTTCGTCATCCATGCATTAAAATGTTCACTGCCTGAACAATGAACAATGGATTGACCTTTTGAAATGTGCAAGTGCTGAGGTATAGTGGTTCTGTCACTTGACTTACAACTGAAAGGTCAAGGGTTTGAATCCCTGTTCGGTACTCCCCATTCCCCACCAAGTTTCAAATGGGCAAGTGGTATAGTGCTACATATCTGGCCACCAAGATATAGCTGGGGTAATATTACACTGCAGCACTTCGAGCAGCTGCATGCAATTGGATTTGTGCTATACATCATTACAAGTTATATAACTAGTTGATATAAAAAGTAAAACTGCATGTACTTTGGTGATGGCTGTAATTAAAAATAGTATGTAATTTCACACATTTTCATCACAAATCAAATATTACATTCATATTCTATCAGGATATGTTAAAAGTGCTGATCCAACTTCACTTTGATCACACCATTCTTTTTATTTTTTTTCCAAATCCTAATTTGATTTACATGTACACACTGTGAGATAAATTCAAAGTAACTGATATTTAGCATCTTACCTTGCAAATCCACATTGATCAACAGTTTTGAAATTGGACTTGTCGACTGCATGACCAGGTTCAAATAGTAGCACAAGGGCGAGGCCGATCATAGACAACTGCATGAAAGCCATATTTCTAGATGCAAATATATAAAAAAAGAGCAAACAATAGCAGAGAAAGTTTGTTATCAAAGAAGAATTAGGCCTAACGTTAGATCTCGTTCTTTTGATCGTCTCAGGACTACGGTAGATAACTTCACACAGGCGCGCGCCCGCCTGCAACCCAGCATCGGTATGTACTTGTATTCTGCAGCGGTTTGCCGTGAAACCCGAGAAAAAGTGTATAGAGTCTAGATCTACTTAGATCTATATCATTGTTTTTCCGAAAAATACTCCAAAAATAACGAGAAAATTAACACGAAACAGGTAATTAACATCTAGATCTAGCCCAACAACTTTTAACTCATGATCTTTATTTGGACATTTAATGAATATTTACTTCATTTTGGGTATGTTTTTGTAGGGTATCTCCAGGCCGGAGTTACGGGTCATATTTTGGATACCTTACTGAACAAGCGCCAATTTACAGCCATGGACTTCTTCACTTTTCTTTTCTTTTTCATTCAGTGACAATTTGTCACGGACCCGCCTGCCTGGGACAATGCGCTGCGCTGCCAGTGCAGTGAACAGCTCAGTTGAACTATCGGCACTCTCGAAGTCGAAATCCCTCGACTCTTATCTCTCGTACTCGAACTCGTATCTGTCTTCCCATACTTTATTTACAATTTCAATATATTCTAAAATGAAATGAAAATCTGAATTACGGAAACATTACATCATAATAACAACAATACCAATGCAATGCCATCGCAATGATCAAAACGAAACTGAGAAAATCAGACTCACGAATTATTACACGTTGACTTACGCTTCGCCATGATAAATAAGCTATGGTAGCTTTGCGGCGTCAGATTTTTTTTTTAGTTTTCCGCAGACTAGTTATATTGTAGACTAGGTCTAGTCTATTAATATAAGATTGTTCTATTTACATTATTTGTTTTAATTGTGATTTGTTTCTACACCAAATTTAGAACAGAGGATGGAGATTAGAGGGAGAGAGATTAGCTAGAGAGAGAGAGAGAGAGAGAGAGAGAGAGAGAGAGAGAGAGAGAGAGAGAGAGAGAGAGAGAAGATGGGGTACTATAATGGAGAATGTATGAATAGGTGCCCCTATAGCTATACACGCGTGCCCCTTTTTCTCTCCGAATTCTAATAAATGCCTGTAGGTTGGAGGCAGGGGACACAATGCCCAAAACGTGAGAGCATGAACTGTGCCCCCTTCAGAAATATAATCGTGCTAATTCCCCTTCGATCGATCGAGTCATTAAAGAATCAACGGTGCTCGATTTACACTAAAACGTGTGCTAGTTAGCTTCATAAAACATAATTATCTTAGGCCTACTCGACTGCTAACATAGCCAGAGGCATCTCCAAACATATCAATTATTATCCTTAAACGCCGTGCCCTTTTCAACTTTACAGAATGCCAAGGTAATTAAAGACATTGAATGAGTTTTAAAACTCAGGCAACTGTCACAAAGAACATTACCAAATGTTAAACAAAAGGAAATTATGACAAGTTAAAAATGCCACCCATCCAGTGTTCATAAACAATAGATTTCTCATAGCCTCGCTCGCATGTGCCCCTACCGCTTTTAAACGATTGAGCACATTTTCTTTTAATATCCCCAAAGCTCGCTCACTATGCATGCTCACTCGCCATTTATATCTAATTATATTCCTTTATGAGACTTTGGATAAAACCCCATCAAGATTGGGTATTTTCTCTAATCAGATCTGCTCGGTCGCTAGCTATGCGACCTCACAAATCATATTATCATCATAATTATTATTATTATTGCTTGCTCGCTCATAAAAGAATAGGCATATTCAGACCATCAAACACAAACTGAAAAATAATAATGTATTGCAGAAGCAGTATCTTAAAGATACTATGTCCCTTTTGAAGCCAACATCAAATTATGTAGAACTTTGCAGGAATTATGAATGTCATGTCCTATCTGTGATTTTTTTTCTTGCCAAATCCCCCCCCCCCAACTCAGGGGGGGGGGGGGTGTCAATGAGGGAGCACATTTTTTTTTTTTGCCCTCGAAAATTTGAAAAATTGCACCCCCCCCCCCCTTGAGCGCCGGGGGGGGGGGGTGCCATCCCCCCAAAAGCTAAAAAATCACGTGTTTTTACATGTTTTTTCCCCAGGGGGCGCCCCTTACCCCCTGGATCCGTCACTGGTTCCAGGAGTGGGGGGGGGGGGGGGGGCATATGATGTATTTTGTTTAATGTGTAGACTTGTATGAATATGTACCTGCTGGAAACTGCGTTTTGGTGCAGATAATTATTATTTTTAACATTGATTGATCCCCCTCCCCAACCGGATACCCCCCCCCCCCCTTAGGGGCCCAATCGGGCCACCCTGGGAACTGTAATGAACACCTACATACCTTGACTGTTGTACTGCTGAATTTGGAGAAGATAGTTGAAATCTACATAGGTTAGGCCCTTTCGGGCTCTCCCCCTTGGTCCCCATGGGGGCCACGTTTTCTATTTAAACAACTTTGGACCCCCTTCCTCTAAGGATGATTCCTGCCTAGTTTGGTTAAAATCTGACCTTGCGTTTTTAGGAAGAAGATGAACATGTAAAGGGTTTACGCATCACGGACGGGGACGGCGGCAATAGCTCATGCACCTTCAGCCTCCGGCTGAAGGTGCATGAAGCGAGCTTTAAAAAAAAAGCCTGATTATTGTAGTATTTGGGTCATAAATAGGGCAAGAAGGAGCAACTCATTTTTACTACGCGCTTTAAAGAAGTTTCAATTTAAGGAAATGGGTTCAAACTTTGTATAGTAGTGCAAAGGGAAAGGTGATGAAGTACGGATGCAGGCGCGTACGCAGGGGGGGGGGGGGTTGAACCCCCCCCTTTGTATTTTTTATATGTGTATTTTAAAGGAACCCCCCCCTTTGGTAATGTTTTAAAGGGTCCATTACCCCCCCCCCCCCCCCCCCGCTTATCCAGCGGCTGGCTGGGTCGTTGCGATTTTTTGGGACCAAATAAAAAAAAATTAAATTAAATTTTTAAAAAAAGTGTCCTCTTACCCAACCCCCCCTCCCCGGCTGGCCGAGTCGTTGCGATTTTTTGGGACCAAATTAAAAAAATATGAAAAAAGTGCCCCCCCCCCCTTATTCAGCGACTGGCTGAGTCGTTGCGAAATTTTCGGCCCGATTTAAAAATGTTAAACCCCTCCCCCCTCCCCCTTGAAAAAATCCTGCGTACGCGCCTGTACGGATGGATGTCAAAGTCTTTCTCTATTGAGCAAGGGGTAAGACAGGGATGTCCATTGTTTTCCTTACTTTTCGTTATTGTAGCAGAATTTCTAGCATGTAAGATACTAAAAAACGAAGATATAAAAGGAATTGATTTAATTATTAGTACTGTATTGTCCGAATTAAAAGTGTCACACAATAATCAAGTAATCAAGAAAAAAGAATCTGTGAAGTAATTAGGCATTGAGTTGGCTAGCGCAATTTCATTTTCGTTTTTAGTAGAATCAGTTGTGAAAGCAAATTCTCGTCGGATTCTCGTCTGAAATTTGTGTACAGATATCAAAGTTGTATGGATTAACAAGCAAGACGTATACTCTGCTTTGCTCTTATTCAATGTTTATCTCACAGGTATAGTAACAGAAACAAGTCAGATCAAAAGAAGTTGCAAATTATACAGAAAAAAAATGGTGACATTATTTCGTCAACTGTTCTGGTCCAAAAAATCATTTTGGCTACAGCGAGCTTTCTACTCGTATTGCATCACGCGCATAAAATATATCATATATTAAACAATAATCTAATCACTATATTCGATCCAACTTCGATCTTGTTACTGTCTTACATGATTGTAATACAAGAAATAGCCGATTCAACTCTAACTTACCAGAAAGAGTAGGTAATAGGTATAGTATTGGAAATTAGTTTTATTACTATGTCATAAAACATTGGAATTCCCTTCCTAATGATATAAAAAAAAAATAGAAAACTTTGCTCATTTTAAGAGGAATTTAAAGGAATACCTAACACTTGAGAGTCAGAGGAGAGAAGCGAATGATTATGATTAAAATTGTTATTCTTCTGCCGGTTCATAATTTTCATTTTGTATATATTTATGTTTTAGTACGTTATAGAACTTCTACCTAATTGTATTCATCATTATTTTCCTCATCTTCCTCCTCCTCCTCTTTTTCTTCTTCTCCTTTTTCTTTTTCTTCTTGTACTTATTATTATTTCTATCATCAGTTTAATGTGGTTAGTATCATCATCATCATTATTATCTTTACTAAGTTTTTCTTTCTTACCTGTCTGTTAATATTACTATTTTAACTTATTAATTTTGTACATGACTCGTCTGTCGGGTACCCCACTGGAAATAAGCTCGAAAGCTTTCGTGGGTTATCCTGTTCAAGCTGACTTAATTTTGATTTGTTATTATCGTATATTGTATGTTGGAAGCTTGGCGAATAAAAATCAATCAATCAATACAGGTTGAATATTGGTAATGGCTGTATATTAGGCTTATCGAAAAAGAATAACGAAGGATTCTCTGCAGTCATTTTTTCAGCGCTGCTTTATCTTCTTCTTTCTTTAAATTTTATTTATATACCTTTCGGCCCACAAATTGTGACTTTTTGCTCGATTATTGCCGAGGGGCCGATCTGGGTAGGGGGGCACTTCTTTCCCGGGCTTGTACGCCAAGGTCATGAATCACAGAGTGTTGCGTATGCTTTTTTGAAATCTAGAAACATAATAATACAAGGCAATTTCTTATCTAAACAATAATCAATAACATCCTGACATCCTGACATTTTCTGTTGCTGACCTTTTTTAAAAAAAGCCAGTTTGATCTGTGGAAATGATACCACCTATAACATTTTGTAATCATTTTGGTAAAACTTGTGCACATAATTTATAGTCTACGTTTTAGAGGGATATAGGTCTCCAATTATCTAGAATTCTTTTATTTCCCTTTTTAAACAACAATGTTAAAACAGCTTGCCTTTGACTTGGTGACAAACTCTGTTTACCGTACCCGTAATTCAAACAATCTATTATTAAATATTTTACCTCTGACCAAAAACATTTGTAGAACTCTACACTTAAGCCGTCGCTTCCAGGTGCTTTGTTATTATGCCCTTTGTATTATGCATAGAAGACAGTGCTTCAGCACATCTCTTTTCCGTAAGGTCACCTTCACAGCCTTAGTGCCTCATTTTCTTTTAAAGTTGTCAACTTAACATTACGAACAAAATTGTCATATATTCTTCTTTTTCGGTATATTATACAAATCTTTGTAATAATTATAAATTTCGAATAATATCTTTTCCTGTTTAACAAATTTCTTTCCTGACTTTTCTATACAATCTATTTCCTTTTTTATACCATTTCTTTTTTCAAGCTGCAAGAAATAACGGGTTGATTTTTTCCCTTCTTCTAACCATGTTCTCCTGGAACGGATGAAGGCTCCTTTACATTTTTCAATTAAAAAATTATCAACCTGATTTTGAACATCTTTTAACTCTTGCATATTTTCCTCAGTGGTGTTCCTATTTACTTCATTTTGCAATGAACGGTATTTCTTTTCTAAATCTTCATAAATCACTCTTTTCTTTTTACTAATATCTTTTGAATATTTCATTGAAAATTCTTCAATATTCACTTTACACATTTCCCTTTTCATTTGTGCACATAACGAATCATTTAATTTAACCTTTCTAATTATATTCGAGATATTTCCTTTATACACTGCATCATTTAACAATTGTTTGTTTATTTTCCAATAACCTCTCCCACGTATTTCCTCTGAAGTTTTTATTTTCAAAGAGACCGCATTATGGTCACATTTGATAGCAGGTCTAATATCTGTTGAGTAAAGAGAGTCACACACTTGGCGAGAGACGAGCCAATAATCTAGACGTGAGAATAATTAAGGATACTTGTCTCCAAGTGAATTACCCCCATCCGGATTAACTTTTCTCCATATATCAATTAGACCTAATTTTTTCTTGAACAAAGTAAAGTACTTTTTGGGTAAATATACATTAGACAAACCTTCACAGTCATGAAATTTGTTTTGAATACAGTTCCAATCTCCTTCAGCATTTTGCCCTTTGAAATTTAAAAGCCAATCTAATAGACCTTTAAAATAGAAATCCTTTTCTGTCCGTTTGGTAGAAGCATATACATTCAGCCCTAAAAATGGTTCACCTTTGTATATAGCGATTGCTCTACCATCATTTTTAGAATATGTATCTAATAACTCAAATTTAATATTCTTACTTGGTAAAATTGCAACACCCTTTGCGTGTTTGAACCATGATTAAATAAACATTTACCATTCCATTCAGAATCGATAGTGAGATAAAAACATCTTGATATATTGACCATGCCTCATTTACATCTGTAAAGTCAGTTATCCCTGACCAATCAACAGCAGATAGTTGAGGATTGAAAGTCTCTTCTGTATATTTTTCAGGGATCTGATATCATTAGTCATGTGATGAACTCAGGCGCGCCGGAAGCAGTTTGGGATTGGGGGGGGGGGGGCAAACATTGCAGGGGCTCACCCGGTGGCGCATCCAGGGGGGCCCGGGGGCCCAGGCCCCCACCCCTGGGGCAAAAAAAATGTGTAAAAACACGTTAATTTTACTTTTTTTAAGATGGGCCTCCTCCCCTGGCGCTGAAGGGGGAGGGGTGCGATTTTTCAAATTTTCGAGGACCAAAAAAAAAAAAAAAAAATTAGTGATCACTTTTTTAGGCATTAAATTACGGTCAGATAGGCATATTTAGATACCTTATTTCTGACACTGGCAGTTCACTAATTGGCTGGGAGTTCAGGGGCAGAGCCCCCGGAAGCTCAGGGGTTTTAGGTATTTAATGACGATTAGATGAGAACCCAGGGGCATTCTTTAAGGCCATTGATGTAGTCCAGAGGGCAGAGCCCCCTGAAGCTCAGAGGTTTTAGATATTTAACTACGGTCAGATGAGCATCCAGGGGCCCGCCTTAGGGGCCCTTGGTGGAGTCAAGGGGGCAGAGTCCAGGGGGCAGAGTCCCCGGAAGCTCAGGGGTTTTAGGTATTTAATAACGGTCAGAAGAGCATTAAGGGGGCTCGCCCTAGGGCCCTTGGTAGGGTCCGGTGGCGGAGCCCCCGTTAGCTCTGGGGTTTTAGGCATTGAATTACGGTCAGATGATCATATTTTGATACTTCATTTGTGACATTAGCAGGTCACTTATTTTTTTCTCTCTCTTTCTTTCTTGTTCTCTGTAACATACTTTTTTCAAAAAAGTGAGGGGGGGGGGGGGGGGCTCGAGCCCCCGAGCCCAGCCATTCTTCAGGCCCTGACATGAAGGCTTCTAAATAAGTATATATTTCGCCCGACTGTAAGTTGGGGAATTTCTAATTTTCCAACAAACGCTTTAAAAAGGTATGACTTACACAAAAATTGAGAAAAAATACCGGAAAATCATGTCATTTAAGCAACATTTGTAAATCACTGGTATAGAATAAGAAATTACCCCCCCCCCCATAATTACGCCAGCGTTCAGGGTCTCATGTCTTCTCACCCCTATAACAAAAAAACACACGCTTTCCCATCCTCTCACAATATTTCCACGATATGCGCGTATCGCTAAAATGCAAAAACCTCCATTGATAAATACAGGTGGCATGCGGAATGTTTAGGATATTTAATTCCTGTTAACGTTCCTTTTCTTTGAATGGAATTTTCATGGCTAGGGTACGTCGACGCCCCCACAAAAACAAAAAACAAAGAAAATGCAATAAATTTTCAATAATTCATTGCATTTCCCCCAGTCCCCAATAGGAAAAATACCTCCGCAGGGCCATGCATAATGGTTCAAGGCATGCCCACATAGAAGATTTTTTAATGTTGGGGGTCGGGGCAAAATGCAATGAATTATTGAAAAATTATTGTTTTTTGTTTTTGTGGGGGCGTCGACGTACCCTAGCACCCGCTGCGTTTAGTCATGATTCATTGGCTAAGCATTGGCCTCGTTACTGTGAGCCCCCAGGATCAAAACCGTGTCGATGTCCTATATTAGTGCCCTTTTATGAGGTATTAATCCCCATTACTGTCAGTTATGACTTCAGGACGTAGGTCCCCTAGTTGATTAGCATTGTAACACACAAATACTTTAGCATTTACGCAAAACAAACACTCCCCAATTGTCATTCAATTAAATCTGAGAATTATACTTTTATCTATTAGAAATAAATCATTGTCAAAATCATTCAATAAATTGGGGTAAAAATAATTATTCCACCATTATGACCAACAGTGCATATGCATTCAATTTGATTACATTACGAAAATGGCCTGTTCCATATCACCACTGCTCAAGCTTCTTGAATATTTATCAGCAGGTATTTGCATTATAAAATGGCATTATCGCCATATCAATGAGACTCGGAAAATAATAAAACTAACAACTTTTAAATAAACAATTATTTTAAACTCTGAAGTAGAAGCAAAAAGAAAAGGGCAAATTTAAATGACCTTGAATAAACTATAATCATATATTGCCTTTCTAGTAATAAGAATGTGCTAGTTAAGACTTCAAACAAAAATGACTAGAGACGAGAGAAATATGTGTTAGTTCAGTCAATTTTTATTGAACATTATAAGATGCACAAAATACACATCCGATATATACCAAGAGCCACATACAGCACAATATTACATAACCTTCTCTTTCTTATTATTTATTAATGACAATTATTAATGGCATTCCCGGGCTAAATCATGACAAAACTTTCCTCTGTTTTATACCTTTTCTTTTTGAAAGATAACAGCTCCTTTACTCACACAGATGCAAATATTTCACTTGCAGAATATAAAACTATTTTTCTACTTTTGCAACTATTACCTGAAGAGGAATAAATGACATAAGACAGGCACGTAGCCACGGGGGGGGGGGGGGGGCACGTGCCCCCCCCCCCATTTTTTTCTCTAAGATCGATTGAACTTTTTTAGACCCCTCCCTAGGACGTCGATCAATTACAATATGTGCCCCTCCCCCAAACATCAAACTCTGGCTACGGCTACGGCTCTCTGTATGAGAGCATTGTTCATGCTACAGACTTTAAAAAGCTTTGTGAAATTTAGTTTTTCCTGTACATATATACTTTCTATTTTGTTGACATATACTGTACATTCCACAAAAAAGAACGAATACCCTTTTAGTATCTCTTATTATATAATTCATCCCAAGTATACCTTTTTGTAGTAAAATTGTTCACGTTAAACTTTTAACATCGTCCATGTACACATGTTTTCAACACAAGCAAATCCTGACTACAGAAATTTGCTTTGAATATTTCTTTGTACAAATGACTAAAACATTTTATAAAAAATATTAGTTTTAGTCGATACCTTTCTCCAATATAAAGTCAATACAATGAACATATCTTTGTTAGTCATAGAACTCATAATGTCTTTCATAAAAAAGACCATCTTCTAAAGTGACATTACAATTGAACTTGTGCTATTCCATTGATGCAATGTAAAATAAATTTACACTTCTTCCTTTCTTTTTCTTTTTTTTTCCTTCTTCTTTTTGGCAGTCACAAAATAAGCAGCACAAATGTTCCTGGAAGTTTATCGCAACTTGCAACCATTGCTCTTTCTTTCTCCATTGTTTCTCCCTGTATGTTGACACTGTATGAAGTGTGACAAATAATCATGCTCAGTTGCTATGGAAACCCCTCCTCTTCTTCAGTACATCAGAGGTCAGAGGTCAACTGCATCATGAAGAGGTGATTGTTTGAATGCTATCACAAGTCAGATTCACAAAGTTTCATCACTCCATGTAGAGTAGTCCGATGATTCAATGATAAGCTAGTATTGAAGCTGCAACGACAAACCCTCAACCTGGTCGCTAAAGCCATTACCACAAGACGCTCAGAGCAAGCTGACGAAGGCGAAGAGATGTTTTGATGATTGCCAATGGGTGGAGAGGTCGGGTGAGGACTTCGAAGCGAAACAGAAGTGAGATGGAGAGAGATGGGGTTGCTTGGCTTATTTTTGCAGGGGGACATCATCCGTGTATACATTGAACTTTTCAAATTGAGACTGCTCTTCATGCTGGGTGGCCAATGTACCTGCAAAGGAAATGGGGTAGGAGGTTGTTGGAAGAAAGATATTCTAGAAATATTCGCAGTGACTGCATCGTAACACACCGCTATCATTCTAACTAAACCATCATCATATGCTCTTATTGAAAATCATGAATTGTTGCCGCATTTGAGATATTGTTATTTCCTACTCTTTGCTCCTTCATCGACATCACAATCTACTCTTCTTAATTCAGGATAGGATGGTGGTAGGGTTTGCATTTCCATCATTATCATCAATCTTGGCATCCTTGGCACACGTCTTAATATCACTACCAAGCTCCCATCTTGACTACAGCCAAGAAAATTACCATTGATTCTCTTTATTTCTCTGATTTTTAGCACCATTATCACTCTAACTTACTACCATCACAACTCAGCTGGGCAGTACACTTGCTCATCACCATTCTAATCATCAACATCATTATCGCCATCATCATCATTCCTACCACAACTATCATAGTCACTATTACTATTATCATTTCCATTATCACCACTACTATCTTCATCTCCTTCTTTTTCATCACAAACCCCATCCCTGACACAACAACAACCACCATCGTTACCATCATCATCATCATCAGCAGCACCACCCCACCACCACTATCATCATCATCATCATTATCACCACCGCCACGACCCTACCATCATCATCACCACCACCACCACCACCACCACCACCATCATCATCATTATCCCCCCCCCCCCCACCACCACCACCACCATCACCATCCCCTTCATGACGTATCCTTGCCTGCTGGTGGTGGAGTAAGCCGTGCGCGCTCTTGTGTGAAATCTCGATCAAAATATGTTGTGTCTGCATCACTTTTAATTTCAGGTTTGAAGGGAGGTTGCACCTGGAAATTGAAAAACAAAAATACAATATCTAATTATTCCCAAAGCCAGTCTCTCATCTACAGAAAAATATTACACAGTGGCTGCTTCCAAAACGTGGAACAATATCCCTCTTTCCATCAGAGAATTAACCTGTCGTGCTACTTTCGAAAGATCCCTTAAAACATACTCCTTCCCTCGGTAATATGATTTTATCTACCTATTTTATGAGTCTATATATTTTATGTTTCTCTTCAACTTTTGTGTTCTGTACGCGGTATGGACTATATGTTTTAGCGCTCCTAAATATATTATTATATGTTTACAAGATAGATGTGACAAATCTACCCCGAGTTCTTATAAAAAAATCTAACATATGACCTAGAGATTAAATGTGCCAAAAATAATATCAGATTTGAACAAGAACAAGCATATTTTCCCTAGATCTTATTTTGATAAAGCAAAAATAAGCACGTCCTATATTTCTGATTAAGTTATTTTGCACATATTTGTTTTCCTATTAAGATTACTATAGGATTGCATAAAACAGAGATTTGTGGAAATATGTTGTAATCAACCTCCAAACTGGGAGAAGATGCCTTAATTGATAGATAGATTATGATGAAATTCCAAAGCTCACAAAAGCTCTAAAATCGGATATTATCTCAGTGGCTTTGACATGATTTTGCATCAACATAATATCGCAATGGAAATGACTACAATTTTAGGTTTACCAGTTTTCCTCTCAGGAATGTGCAGTTAGATGTACATGCGTTATTAAACCAGGGCTTGTACCTCCCTGATTAAACCATGCAGACAATCTCCTGCACGTCCAGTTACTTTATAAGCCTTATCCAGATACACAGGGGTAAACTACAGTGTTCTTATTTCCAAAGATGAGGTACTGTGAACAACGCTATACATTTATGTATCTTATAACACATATCTACAGTTAAGTGAATATGCATAAGACCCCTGTGGCACGCAGTTGCTATTCATTTAAACGTTTACAAAAAACACGCCGTTTTTTAAATGTTGTGGTGCTTTACCGCGCCATATGTCATCATCATCATCATCACCATCATATCATCATCATCATCATCATCATCATCATCATCAGCGTTTAAAGTCTTTGTGGGGTTGGACATTTCATTTCCTTAATGGCTGCTTTCCAAGCTTTCCTGTCTGTGGGATCCATACCCGATGTTTTGACATCTTCTTCTATGGTTTCCCTCCAAGTTTTCCTGGGTCATCCGCGAGGTCTTCTTCCGGTGACCGAAAAGTTTAGAGCCATCTGGAGCCAGTGTGTTGCCTCTCTTCTTGCCACATGTCCAAACCATCTAAGTCTATTTATCCTCATAACCTGTGCCACCCCCATCAAGCACATTGATTGAAGGAGGACTTTGTTCTTCCTTCTCTCGTGAAGTGATACCCTGCGCATCCACCTCACCATCCTCATCTCAGTTTTCCCCTAGACTAGATGATTTCATTGCCCATGTTTCGCTCCCGTACGTCATGCATTTTCTAACACAGGCGTCATACACCTTCCCTTTCACTCTTAACGGGGTTGCCCTTTACTGAGTGGTGTGCAAATACCCACCTTTTTCTCAAAGATGTCTTCCCAGTTGATCGGAGCAAAGAATGGATGTCTCATGATTTCTTTGGCATCATCAGGCCCATATCCTAACCTGTACAACAGAGACATTTAGAATAAATTAGAATTGAAGAACATAATGAATTGCTGATTTTTAAAACATATTATTAAGATCAATTGTTTTCTATATTTTCATTTTTTCTGGTCATTAGCATGTTTTAAATACAGAATTGGCATTCGGAAGGTTGCATTCACATATATCAACAGCAGAGAAGGCATTGAATCAATGAAACAACACTTAAAGAATTTTTTTTTTTTCTTAATTGAATATGGCAAACAGCTCATCTTAAACATCTTTCTTTGCTCATTACTCAGATAGTATACTACTTCTTTTGAATAGTATTGTGACTATATTTAGTCTTTCCCATTTTACTTTTTGCTCCCGTACTGTACCTGAGCTTTATAAGCCCCAACTTTGTTAATACGGGGAGTAGCCTTGACAGGTCAATGGCCTTTGCTACTCCCTCACATCCACTTCATCACAATGTCCGCATCTTTTCTTATTTGTATCATTTATCTATATGCTGTGCAATGTTGTTCTTAAATTGTTTATTTCTGCCTACATTTTATTAAGAGATGCGGAATAAATGAACTTGAATCTGAAATGAATTTGAACTGTCGTACCTCTTCTTAGGATCCTTCTCCAGTAATCCACTCAGGAGAGACTTGGCCTCTTCGGACAGCCGGTTCGGAAACCTGACTTCCTCCTTCAGGATCAGATTAAAGAGAACCTCATGGTCCCTGTTGTAGAACGGTAGCCGACCGCACATCATCTCGTACATGACCACGCCCGTGCCCCACCAGTCTACCGCCATCCCGTAGTCGTTTTCATCAAGGATCTGGAAATGGGGTGAAGGAAGCAATGACAGTGATCTTTGGATCTTCTCAGAGTGAGGGTTCAATCAGAGCTGTGGTTTTAATCCACATCCAACATGTACCCCCTTACCCTCCCCTATTCATTCAGTATAGAGAATAAGTCAGTATTTTATTAAATTTGTTGCTTGGCTTATCAAAAAGTAATGTTTCATCTGAGCATTTAACTTAAGCAAGCTGACTTTAAGGCAAAATACTTACTGCTGATAAACAATTGTGATGTTACATGGTCAATCCGAAATAATGCTCAATAAACTGCCCAGATATTTTGGGTTTTATAGCTGATTTTAGTAGTGCGAAATTAAGTGAGATCTACAATATAATTATTGCTATGGATTGTGGGGCGGGGATGCCAAGAAGTGTATTCAAGTTTAATGTGTCTTCTTCTAGCTTGTAACTTCTTTTAAAATACACCATAAACCCAATTTCATTTTTAAAATTAAACTGTGATCATTATCATTTCTCTCTCATTTAAAAAAAATTAGGGATTAAAGAAACCAAGGGGAGTACTTACTTCGGGTGCTAGATATTCTGGTGTTCCACAGAAGGTCTTTGTCGTGTCACTGTAGGAGATTTCTTGTTTACAGAGCCCAAAGTCTGTGATCTTAATATGTCCTTCTTCTTCTCTACCAACAGATTCTCCAGCTGGAATTAAAGATAAACAAAAATGTTGCCATGGTTTTAAAGCTAAACAGACCGGATTACTTGGGTGGTTTCACAATAAGAGAAGACATAAACATTACACCAATATTGCACGCTCTTGTGTTCAATATAACTAAATATATCAACTAACAAATCCAGAATTTCCAGAGTGATATTATATTTCACCGTGACCGCAAGAAGAGGATTTCTTGTACCATTCTCGACAATTAATCCTTGTCTGAATTCAGTTTTTCCCCGCTCGCGCGAAGTGCGGAAGCTTTGACCTGTCATTAACTATTAGAGAAAAAAGACGATTTGTTGTATCATTCTAGACTCTTATTTCTTGTCTGAATTCAGTTCCCCCACCCCTCCTGCGCAAAGCGCGTAAGCCTTTGACCCTTCATAGTTCAATGGAATTATTAGAGAAAGAAAACGATTCGTTGTACCATTCTCGACCCTTTTTCCTTGTCTGAATTTAGTCCCCCCCCCCCTCCCGCGCGAAGCGCGGGAGCTTTGACCTTTCATAGTTTAATGAATTTTTTAGAGAAAGAAGACGATTCGTTGTTCCATTCTTGACTCTGGCTACGCGCCTGCTTTAAAGGGAAATTGAAACAATCATGATTGTGATAGCACACAATTATTTTAGTAGAAATGAAAAAGAAAAAAATGTATTACGCCAACCATGGATAAATCAAGGCCGGGAGCGTGGCGGGGTGTCATATCATAGTTTTGTGTTATTGGGTTACTTCTCTCTCTCTGTTTCTTTTCTCTTCTTTCTTTTCTCTTCTCGTTTTTTCTCTTCTCCTTTCTTTTTTCCTTTTTTTTTTCTTCCTCTTTTCCCTTCCTCTTTTTTTTGGCGCCGCCAATAGGGGGCGGCGGCCGTTTCGACCCCCCGGATCCGCCACTGAATAGTATGCGCAGGGAAGAGAGCGCTCAGTTTAATTCACTTTTGTACACTTTTTTCATGTAAAAAAATGTTATGTTGCACGCTCGTGCACATATAACAAATTGTAGAGTGTCATGTGACATCTTTTCAGCGTAAAGGATACTTGCTAAAAAGCGCTTACAAATACCATATTATATATAACTGCATATTTGTCTATATATCATTGCAATTATCTAAAGCAAGTAAAACCCATCTGAGAGAACAACATTGGTCATCGTTCGAATACCCATCTTCTCATTTTCTTTTCTTCTTTTTTCCAAATAAAAATTGCAGTGTCGAGATGTTTAATAATAACTGTTGAAGCAAACACCGTCTTAATTGATGTTGGTTTATTTCACTATACATACTTTTTCTTTCTGTTAAAAAAAACAACCTTATTCTAATGACATCTAACAGTTTTTTCTATTGACTAGGTCCTCAAAAATGTCATTCAAGCATTATTGAAAATCAATAATAAATCAATTTTATTTTCAGTTTCACAAGGGGCTATAGTCACTTACGAATCGTAATGATTTCCATAGTTCTGAAAGACCTTTCAACAACTACAAATATAACTTTTGCCAAGAGGAATGTTGCTCTTCCGGAAGAATGAAAGAAATAACCTTGTGAGTCAATTAACACGCTATGAAGTATTCATCAAGAATAAAACATGTCTGCCTCCATTATCTCTATCATCATTACAATAAACTTCTCCACCGTTTTAATTCTCAATATCCATTTTACATACTAAATATTTGCTGATTAAAGGAATTGTAAAGTATCCTGATATTGATGAAAGTAACATGAACATTCTATATATATATATATATATATATGTAAAAAAAGATTATCTATGAAACATGTTAACATTTTCAATATTTTGTATCGCAATTGCAATACTGGTCTGACATCACTACGGATCTGAGTTGACATAGCATCTCATTAATGTATTTTATTAAAGGAAACTGAACCTCAGAAATGACTTTACTTATTCTGAGAGATCTATTATATTATTGCCCATTAGTCAAGTTTCCGCACCAAAATGTATGAGAGGTATAAAGTAAGAATAATGTAGTTTCTCAGCACGACAAGGGCATCGCCATTTTCTTGATAACGTGACGTATAGCCTACTATGCGAAGTCGTTTATCAAGTAAATGTATTCAAATTTATGGATGCTTCCTTCCCAGACGTGTGTGGTGATGAAGCATTTCATTCACCCGCTATTCTCCTTTGTACTAAAATTGCCAGAACGCAAATTGTATAAATAAGTTGGTGCTCTTCTGGGGTGAAGGTTTCTCATAAATGAAATAGATTTGTCCACTACTATAGTGTAGTATTTATAAATGAATTTAGTTACATTTTTTCCCCTGTTATTTATTTTTCACAAAATATAATTTCTATCTTCTCAGTTATGATTTTTCCTCACTGAAAAGTAAAGGTTTCGTTATAAACTTCAACGGGTACGTCACATTTTCAAGAAAATGGCTGCGCCCATGTCATGCTAAAAGGCATCACATCATGCCAGCAATATCTTCGTTTATATATTTCTTGTAAATTTTCGTAAGGAATATCATCAAAGGGTACCTACACCTATTCTTTGGGGTTCGGTTTCCTTTAATCATACGTATATTCAGATTCTCGGTCATTAAGATTTAACATGTTTGAATGCTCATATGAAATGCTATTACAAGTCTTATTCAAAATAGGATTGTAGTTAGATCGTATACTGCGGTGGGCCTATAGCACTTTGAACCGTTACAACTAAAGAACAATAAACCGAATTTTTTTAAAAACCTTCATATCTCTATAGATGACATCCTGTGCGTGAAGATAACTAAGGGCGGAGACGATCTCTGCGCAGTAGAACCGTGCCCTCTCCTCCGTGAACACCCTATCTCTGGATAAATGGAAGAAGAGCTCACCTCCATTCACATACTCCATCACAAAGTAGAGTCTATCTGATGTCTGAAACAAATACTCGAGGGACTAGACGGAGAAAAGATAGAAACGTTTAACTTGAATGCATCTTCCTCATCTAAGCCCATCACATCCTATACAATCAAACTTTGATTCAATTTCAAAAGAAATTCGCATTCACTTAACATTTTTAACTTGTTCCGACATACATAATTATTTATGGCCATATGAACAGTTTAATATAAGGTGTCGGATATCGTAGAACTTTAACACATACAAAAAGCAAAATCTCTTGTCATTTGGGGCCATGTTATTTGAATTATCTGCAATCGCAACAGATATGACCAATTTTCACTGAAAGGCTAACAATATTCCAAAACGGTTTTACTGTCCACATGACCTTTACAGAGTCCTAATAATCAATAAATTACTTCTTTACATTTTCATGTCTAATGTTATTGCAATTTCGTTCGAGATAACAGTGAGGTCATACATTTTGACACGCACAAGCCCCTGTCAGTGAGAATGAATAACATTGTCTGACTGTAAGACTACTCTCATTTCTGAAAGTGGCAAATCAGAGTCTGTGTAAATCTGCATTCGCAGACTATGAAGCTATACCACTCCACATGGTACTTGTAAAATACAGTTAACATCGCATAAATCCCCCCCCCCCCCCCGAGTCATATCAATTTGTTTAACCACACTATGCAACTTAACGTGCTATTTACACTTCCTAACTTGAATTTGCATAAATCGAAATATTTTCTTTCGCAGTCCAACAGATTTGACTTATGCCCAGTAAACTGGATACTAAAAGTTGATCAACTAGCATTACAACTGTGTCAGATAGTATGATTTGACAGAAAAAACACACAAGAAGATCAAATTGGTGGGAGAGAATGGTAGAAGGCCAGCTGACATTTTCCACATCCCTTAAAGATAAACTTGAGTTCTGGTAATGCGATTGCATTGTGAAAGAAAAGGTGTGGAATGGATCAGAAAAGTTGATCATATAGCATGTAAGTAATGGTGTGTAATGCAAGGTTCTGGAGTCATCAAAATCATCATAAATTTGGCAGAGTCTTGGTAAAGTAACAATCACTTACACAGAAAGATGTATGGGGGATCACACATGGTGTCGGGGCTAGTACTACCCGGCTGATTTCCTTATCTTTCTATACTCATTACTCAGTCAGTATACATTTTCTTCCAAAATTGTTTGGCACATGACATTTATTTGTAATCTTGAACATTCAGTGTAAGTTTCGTTAGATTCTGTGAAAATTCATTTTTTTACCAGAACTCAAGTCTAACTTTAAGAACAATCATTACAAAAAACACAGCTAGAAATAGTTTACCCCAGTACGAATGATCTCCTACTTGGTGTCTAATGGGTTAATGACTTTAAAATTTATTATTATTTCATATGTAATAATATGCTATTTGTGTTCATCTTCTAACAGTTTTTGCTGTTTGATTTTTTCTTCTATTTTATTCAAACAGAACAAGTCCTCGAGAAGGAAAGCTGCAAACCCTGCAGAGATACTTACCGCTAAAAAGGGGTGACTTATCTTTTGTACCATTCTGTTCTTTGTCAATGAGTTCTCTAGCTCTACTTCATCCTGTGATTAAAAGAGGAGGGAGAGAAGGAGTGAGAGAAGGAGGGAGAGAGAGAGAGAGGGAGAGAAAGAAGGGAGAAGGAGATTAGGATACTAAAGGAAGAAAAGGCTGGGTCACGAGGGAAGCCGGTAAGGTTCACAATGTAGGTCATGTAGACTTTCTATTTAAAACTACTGAAATGTTGTGCTTATGACAATTACATTAACCGATGTGAAATAAAAGTTATCTGTTACAATATCATATTTTTTAACTCGGACTTAGTAATATTGTTCAGATGAGAAAAAATGGTGCTAAGGTAGTGACTTCAATGCTAAATGTACAGTTAAATATAATCTGAAAGTTTGAGTGACTGAAACGGGCCATTATTAATGATACAAATTGGGAAAAACTGATCTGATCGATTCCTTAATTCTCCCAACTATATTATTACTATTTAATTACATTTTAGGTGAATGTAAATCGTCACAAAGCAATGAATTAGCTCTACATACCTTTTCAGACATTTAAATGTTGAAGAAAAAAAATTAAAAGCCTGTTTGATGTCTTATTTTCAAGGAAAACGGTTGGGAGATGTTACTGTTAATTATGGTGGTTTAGAAGGGAAATCGCGGACAGACCAAATCGCGAATTATTCACGACAAAATTGGCATCGAAATTCACGATATCGTCAATTTCGTCGTGAATAATTGGCGATAAAATTCACGACGTCGTCAATATACGAAATCGCGAATTATTCACGACGAAATTGGTGACGAAATTCACGATATCGTCAATTTCGTCGTGAATAATTGGCGATAAAATTCACGACGAGATTCACACCTGGCTGGTTTCGCCGCCAATTATACGTCGTCAATTTTATGTGTCCTTGCTTAGGCGCCACGGATTTATTCAACTGGCATTCTGGAATGTATCCGGAATGCCGGAATTGAGTGATTTCAAGTTGGGTGTTTAAGGCTGGTGTTAGTGTTTAATAAACACTAACACCAGCCTAAACACCGAAATGGAAATCAGCTGGTGTTAAGGCTTTGACCTCTGAATATCGTCAACTTCCGGTAGCTAGTGTTATCGATTTTGTAAAATTGTCGTCTGCTGAACCGACCTTTGTGGCTGGTGTTAATATTTTACGTACAAATGTCCTATTCACTAACAATAGCCCCTAGGGATTTAGCAAAAGTGATTTCCAGTTCGGTGTTAGTGTTGTACCGCACAACAGTCAACGCACGAACGACGCCAATTATTTATTGTCTGACGATCAAATAAAATATGTGAAACAGGTAATTCATTATATTCTTTTGTGTAAAATGAGTTATTTTATAAGACCAGAGAAATAGGTATAAATTTATTCTGTACTTTTCATGATATCTTTAGTTTTGATGTAGGCCCTACTATTTTTAAATCATCGTCGTGAAGTCAAGTATGTGGTGACGTCACATCTGGTGTTAAGCTATCTATATTGATATCGGTATCGAGCTCTTAATTTCATCAGCAAATTTTTCGCTCGATTTAAGAGCTCTTGACTGCTCTTAACACTAACACTAACGCTAACACTAACACCCAACTTGAAATCACTCTGTGCGCATTCTGGAATGCATTCTGGAATGCATTCTGGAATGCATTCTGGAATGCTCCTTTGTTCCCTAGACAAAAGGCGCAGATCGCATCGATTTTTGAGAATTGGGCGATTAAAAAGCATGCCCGAGACGCTGGCGATTAATCAGATATGCGTGATTTCAAATGCCTGCCAAAGTGACTATACCTATAGTTCCAACAGCGGCTCACTTTTAGAAGGAGTAAGAACTATTTCAATTTATCTTTTTAAACAGGGTATAACATTTGTTCTCTCAACTTTTGATAACAGCGAAAACACGTTGTCTCCTAATTGAAGGGGAAAATATCTTGGAATTACGTTTCCATTTTCCAATTAAAAAAAGTTACGATCGCTTTTTTTCTTAACCGTTAAAATGAATTTTGACGCTACGAGCTGGTTTTAATATAATTTTTTTCCTGCTCGAAAAAAGATTGCATTTATATAAAATAAATTGTTTGTCTTTTCAAATTTCTGCCGACATAGTGTTGGAAGTATCATTTTTATATAGACAGCGCGGGGCACCTTTCGAAGGAAAGAGAGCTATTTTTATTTATCTTTTTAAACAACGTATAACATTTGTTCTCTCAACTTTTGATTTTCTGAAGTTGATAACAGCGGAAACAACCTGGTAAAATGAATTTTGACGTTACGAAAGACTTCTAATACAAGTATTTTCCCGCTCGAAAAAGATTACATTTATAAATAATAAATTGTTTGTATTTCCAAATTTTCTGCCGACATATGTGTTGGAATATGAAAATTCTCTTTCAAGTCTGGAATTCCTGAATGTTGGTGCTCCCCGTGAATTGGATCTCAGCTTGGGCGACCAGGGCTCGGAAGGCAGGCATTCTTCGGATGCAGGTCTTCATCCTCCACTCTCCGCCGCTCTTGACTCCCCCCCCCCCCCCCCGTGGAAGTTAGAAACGGCTAGCTCCTCTGGCCGATCACCTTGTCCATGAGTCGGATGATGAGATCCTGTGGTCCACTGCAAGCCTGGTACGCCCTCTCGTAGACCTCTCTGTTGACGACGTAGTTTGCGTTTTCGACGCCGATGAGGACACTCCCGTCGTCGAGTTCAAGGTAGATCGGCATCCTCTTGGCACGACTTCGGTTTGCGTCGACCTGACTCTGCAGTTGCGTCACCTTCGATGTGAGCTCGGCCTTCTGCACCTTGAGTTCCACGTTCTGTGCCGAGAGTTCCACATTCCGCTGATGGAGGCTGTTGAAAAGAGCTACGATGTCCCTATTTGGTAGTTGGTTGTCGACGGCGAAGGCTGGTGGTCGGATGTTGGCGGCGGAGACTGGTTGTCGGTCGGCGAAGGCTGGTGGTCGGGCGTCGAAGGCAGCATAGATTGGTTGTCGGTTAATGGCGGCGGAAAATGATGGTCGGGCGCCGGCATGGAATGGTCTTCGAAGGGAGGCGTCCTCGGGGATTGGTTCTCGAAGGGTTGCGGCGAACTCTGGTTGTCGGTAGGGCTGCTCCTCGGGCTCATCGTCTTCCAAGTCGCTTGGTATGTAGAATTGATCGTCGGCTTGGGTTGGTTGTTGGTTATCGGCGGCGAAGGCTGGTGGTCGGGCGTCGAAGGCGGCATAGATTGGTTGTCGGTTGTTGGCGGCGAAAAATGATGGTCGGGCGCCGACATGGATTGGTCTTCGAAGGGAGGCGTCCTCGGGGATTGGTTCTCGAAGGGTTGCGGCGAACTCTGGTTGTCGGTAGGGCTGCTCCTCGGGCTCATCGTCTTCCAAGTCGCTTGGTATGTAGAATTGATCGTCGGCTTGGGTTGGTTGTTGGTTATCGGTGGCGAAGGCTGGTGGTCGGGCGTCGAAGTCGGCATGGATCGGTTGTCGGTTGTTGGCGGCGGAGACTGTTGGTCGGACGTCGGCATGGATTGGTCGATGGAGGTTGTTTTCGACAGGGATTAGTTGTCGGTAGGTTTGGTACTCGGGCTCGTCTTCATAGTCGAATTGATCGTCGTTGATTGGTTGTACGGCCTCGGCGATGATGATTGTTTTACCTTACTGCTAATATGCTTGTAAGTAAACATCCATGGGACCGACGCACAGTGGGCCAGTGTAGAATCGCCTCAAAGTGTGCCAAAATTCAAAATTGGCGAATGTTAATTTTTAATTTTTTTTCATTCGCTTGGGGAAGAAAACATTCTAAAGAATATTTTTCCACCCATATTTTAATATTTAGCTAGTTTTAAAAGTGTCATATACCCCTGCGAACATGGGAAATCTATATGTTGCTCCAAAAATGATAAAAGAGGCAACTTTACAATAGGTGTTGAGAATTTATGAAGGGAAAAGCAATCAACTTGATACTGCGTGCACTTCTTGCCTATTGGTAACCCAATAAGAAAATACAATGACCACATTTATGGAAGCTTCATTTTGAGAAAAATTACCAACAAATTTCACAAAAAAGGAAAAAATTGCAATTTTTATATAAAAGTAGCATGTTTATTAGGATTCCGGCGATTCCCGCAGTGATGTTAATCTCAAAATGTCCGCCCAAACCTAAGCTTCCATGTACTGTATTTCTTTTTGCTAGAATTTGCTACACTGCATGTGCAGCGCTTTTCCTCCCCACGTCCATCGATTATTATTAGGCATAATCGGTACACATTTGTAGTTTACATTTACGCACAGCCGATTCAACGCTCGTCCGCGTAACCATGGCAACGGTTACGTGAGTGTAGAGCGTATAGCGTAGTGTATATTGCTTTCACACGTTGATGCAATTCGCAATCATATATGGTATCATTCTAGGAGAACTTGGATTGAAATAAACGATGGCGGTATTAAAAAGGCAGCTTTTTCATGCTGTGCATTCAGCTGGCTTCATTTCAGACATCAAACTGGCATCCGAAACATCCATTGATGCATTATGTGCATATCATAATGTGGGTAACAAGTCAAACATCCCACAAAAAACTTCTCAAGAGTTTGTCAAAGACTATTGGATGCTTTCTGTATCATATGCGAGAGAAATGGAACAAGTGTGGTCGTTACCAGGAATATTTCATGAAAGAAAATGAGGACTGGCTTAATCAGATATTGACATTCAATACTGAAGTAGAAACATTTCTTGCACAGCAAAACAGCACAGATACCGGGACAGAAACAGAGCCAACTTCAGACTTGCCAGGCACTGTCTATGTCTATGTGTTACAATGCATTTTGGCCTTTTCCAATCAGAAAACTGTATTTTAATGACGTGAGAGAAATTTGAATTGCTCCAATAGTGTTTCTTAGGTCCAGAAACCCCTTATAAGTTTCACTAATCAGTGTTATATGAACCTGCCTATGTGTTACAATGATTATTTGCCTTGCCCAATCAGAAAACAGTATTTTGATGACGTCATAGAAATTTAAAATGCTCCAACTGTGTTTCTTAGGTCAAGAAACCCCTTAAAAGTTCCACTAATCTGTGTAATATGAATCTTTCTATGTGTTTAATACAATGAATATTTGCCTTGTCCAATCAGAAAATAGTATTTTAATGACGTCAGAGAAATTTGAAAATGCTCCAATTGTGTTTCTTAGGTCCAGAAACCCCTTATAAGTTCCACTAATCAGTGTAATATGAATCTGTCTATGTGTTACAATGCATATTTGCCTTGTCCAATCAGAATACAGTATTTTGATGACGTCACACGGATTTGAAAATACTCCCATCGAATTCTATGGGTCTGAAAGCCCCTTAGATACTTTAACCAGGAACTTTATTAACCTTCTTCAATGAGGAATTAATTTTGGCACACTTTGAGGCGGTTCTGGCCCACTGTGCGACGGCTTTAAGTTCTCTTCGAGGGACTTGGTAATGAGGATAAATGCCTTACCAAAGGACATGATTGAGTGCATTGACTGGTTTTCGAACCGGGACCTCCCGTTTACAAGACTACTGCTCTACCACTGAGCCATCAGATACTAACCTCTTGAAGAAATGCTTCTTTCTTGAAAACCTTGATGGCGAACACTTCGCCCGTCTTCTTCTCTCGCCCCAGGACCACCTTGCCAAGGGTTCCCTTTCCTAGAACTTTCAGCACATCAAAATCATCCATTGTCTGCAAAGAAGGGGCGCATCAAAAGTAGAACGGCGTATGTAGTTATATCAAAGGGCGATTTCGTGAGATGCGTCCTATACAACATGACTCTTTTATTCACTAATTTCATCCAAACATGATTAATATATGGATATGGCCAACAGCTCTTTCTGGTAACATTATCATTCATAAGTGGTCACATTAAGAGATTTGTTAATTTCATTTTTGAATGAAATCTATTATGTGAAACAATTCACAAAAATATACAAACGATGTTGTTGTCATCAACATCTCAAAGCTATGACGTGACTGCATGCCCACACGCGTCCCAATAGTAAACAGCAGAGATTGTTTTCTGTAAGTAAAAACCTTCAAGCTTATAAAGAGGATAAAGTACGCAGCATGTCAAAATCGTTATCAGTAGGAATATTGCCATATCTTGAGCTCATTAATATTCATAAAATCTGAAAACGACAAAATCACAAATAAGTTTTATCTACTTTTATGTTGTCGTTATGATAAAACATAATCAAGACTAAAACAAAGAAAGAAAATACATATCATCATTGAAGACTCTAATACAAGTTCAAATTTATGTTAAAAAACAATGCCTATCAAAAAAAACCTGATTAAAAAAATGATAAAACCTAAGTGTGCCCATGCCTTGAGCCATAATGCATGGCCGTCCAGAGGATTTTTTATGTTGGGGACCGAGGTAAAATGCAATAAATTATTGAAAATTTATTGCATTTTCTGTTTTTTTATTTTTTTATAATGGAAACTGCCCCCTAACCCTAGCCCCCGCTGCGTACAGTCATGGTTCAGTGACAAAGCAATGGCCTCGTAACTGTGAGGCCCCAGGATCAACCCGTGTCGATGTGCTATATT